ACATGATCTACCTGATCAACATGATCTACCTGATCAACATGATCTACCTGATCAACATGATCTACCTGATCAACATGATCTACCTAATCAACATGATCTACCTAATCAACATGATCAACTAGATCAACATGATCAACATGATCTACCTGATCAACATGATCAACATGATCAACATGATCTACCTGATCAACATAATCAACATGATCTACCTGATCAACATGATCTACCTGATCAACGTGATCTACCTGACCAACATGATCTACCTGATCAACATGATCTACCTGATCAACATGATCTACCTGATCAACATAATCAACATGATCTACCTGATCAACATGATCTACCTAATCAACATGATCTACCTAATCAACATGATCAACTAGATCAACATGATCAACATGATCAACATGATCTACTTGATCAACATGATCTACTTGATCAACATAATCAACATGATCTACATGATCAACATGATCAACATTCACATCAACAAACCCAGATTCCACCACGTTATCTCACTATACATTAATCACGATACACACATTTTTTTTACAGTACTTAGTGCCACATACACTTCTTTCACACTACCATGAATGGCATGAGATTGTCTTTTCTTCTTCTTCGTTCTTAATTTGTAGTGTTGGAAGGGATCGAGCCTTATCTGTCAGAGGGTTTGAACTCGAGACTTTTTCGAATTCATCAACCATGAGCTTTGCCGACTCGACCATGCTTCCATCACAATTAAGGATTACGTGTCAACTGGTTATGCGCCATTGAGGCAATTGACTCCGATTTTAGCCTGCTTTTCTTTTTGGATTTGCTTCCATAGCCTTTATCCAACCCAGAACAAACTACAAGACAGCAGTTGTTTTGATTTTGGAGTTGTCTCTCCTAGAAGATTTGCTGTCCCCAGCTATCAAGCATCATCTACCTAGTGGTTTGAACTCGAGACTATTCAGTTTAGTAACCATGAGCTTTACTGACTCGACCATGCCGACCCCTGCATGAGATTGTGATATTTTGAATTTGGTTCTACTTTTACATCAAATCATTATCACATCTGTGCCGAATACACACCTACCGTGACCTAAGTATGCTATTTGTCTGAAATGATTCTAGAGTATAATCTACAATAAAATCTAAAGGTAATTTAAGGTTTTCATGAAACACAACAATCGCTAGTCGTCCCGCTCTTTGACAATGGTTAAATTACTAATTTCGTAGCATTTGAAATATAAAAGTAGAAGCCATCAAGTTAAATTCAACACTTTATTAGACATGTAGAGTACAGGTCGGACGAAACGTCTTCTCTCAACAACACAGCTACACAGTACACGTAGACTCGATATTCAAGGGACATCACAAAGATAAACACAAGGGACGTAACAATAACTAACAAGACAAAACGTGACAATGATGTTCGGAATAATCCGACTTTATTTGCTGCCTTTTTTTTCGTGGTCATCCGAGTAGGAACTTCAGTAAGGACGAGTAACCAGACGGAGATTTGACCGTTATTTCGGTTGTTAAAATCGAGAAAAAACATTAGCGGTAAATTATCTATAGATGGAACTACTTGTTTTTTTTTTAATCAAAAAAATAAAATAAACAAGTTATACAACAAAACAGTCATGTGTCATGTAATGTAGCCTATAATAAATCATCCAATGTTCCCCTGGACATCCATGTATCATATACATATAATCAATCGATATGTCGATATCAAATCTATCAATGTCTCCACTTCTTCAATCCTTGTAGCCCACACACCCTGTTATTACAGTTTAGCACGGATTCTATACCAAGTGTCATAGTACTGCTTGAAGGGAGGTAATTGCTCGACCAGAAAAAAACAAAACCTCGATTGCTTTTTAAAATAATCTTTGGTTTTTAATTTCCTCTAGATTTATTTTTTGCACGGCATGATAAGATGTGTGGGGAGGGTTGTTAGATAAATTTGGGGGGGGGAGCTGGGTCTTTATGCTATTAATTTCGACTCAACGAGTGAACCGTTGAATAGATTATAAACAACGCCTAGTGATATGGCGCGTCCCCATTGGTGGCTTGTGTTTGGTTGGCTAAACAGACGGCTAGGAAATGGAGAGTCGATCGCTATCAATGAGAGTATTGAACAGTTTAGTATCGATTTTAAATCAGGCCGATAGGGAGAAGTAATAATAGTAAAACCCGCGAAGGAGGGTAGGGTGGGTGGGGGGGGGGGAGAAAACAACGACCGACAACTTTGAAATTTCTAAAGGGGAGATAATGTGTCTCTTGAAATATAATCTTTGTAATCATAAGCGCGGCTATTATCCCCTAATGATGAATGGGTTGCTTTTTTCTCCTTCTAGCTTTAGTCATGTCTCATTATTCTTAATTCTCGGGTTTGTTTCTTTTGTCCCCAGTTATTTTTTTTTTATATTGCAGACTGACAAAAATAGTTTCTAATAAGCCTATTATAAAAGACTGCATGAAAAACCTGTTTGAAAAATCGATCACCATGCCGCCAAATTATTCTACAGTTAATCGGTCAAAACTTTTTTAAAAAAAACTAATGTCACATTGTAGTCTAAACAAAACGAATAGTATTGCTAAATTAGTCAAATTGTTAAAATGATAACCAAACATATTTTTCGAAAAAAAAATATGACAGGATTAAACAAATGTGAATGTTGATTAGAAATAATTTGTGTCATTAACCATACAAAACAACCTAATTAAAAATCTAATTAAATAAAAACAAAAACTTGTCTCCTTGCCTGGTAATGTTCAATAATGAACGCCAAGCAGATAATTGTGTAGATGATTTAGCATGAGGAAGTTATTTCTCTTAAATTACTATAGTTTAGATCTTTGTGCTGCAAAATCTATAATATAAAGGCCAGAGCTAATGGCACTGTGAGAAGTTATCTGTTGAAACCTCAATAAGTAGCCAGGGGCGGTCTACTGACTTGAACCCGGATTCGAACTCGAGAAAAGTACTTATAGTTCACCATAATTATTTGTTAGCGGGTGTGTAGACTCCGCATGTACATATCATTGTATTGTTGGTATTCTGTTGTTGTGGATTGGTATACTGTTCTTGGGTGGATTGGTATAGGCCTACTGTTGTTATGTGGATTGGTATACTGTTGTTGGGTGCAGAGGCGTAGCGAGAGGGGGGTACATATGTCCCCGGGCGCCGACCCTAGGGGGCGCCAAAATGGGTTGTTTAAAGCTCATTTTAGCTGTAGTTTTGCGTTATTAATATAAAACAAGTTAATAAAAAGTCTAGTGACAATTTAAGCGCAATTTCCTTATGTTATCCATAACAATTTTAAATCGAGATAAATCATATATTCAGCAAATAAATAATGCAAAACAAGTAGTTTTAATAATTCAAAAAATTAATAAGTAAAAAATAAATTTAGTTTCATTTTAACGAGTAGGCCTACACGATGCTCAGTTTAAATTAAAAATCTCATCCTAGGCCTACACGATGCTCAGTTTAAAAATTCTTAATTAATTTTTTGTGACCGAACGAAAGGATATTTTTGAAAACTTTCTTCGGCAATATTGTTCTAAGTTATGGCAGGAATCGATTGGTAAATGTTTCAAGTCGCTAAGTGGTCTGGTTGCCGAGATATGGGCCAAAAACTGCATTTTTTTCGAGGTTTTTTTGCTTTTCCGGGAAATCCAGGAAGGAATTCCGGGAATTTTTTTGGCCCACAATCATCCTCGGAACTTGCTTAACATATTTGCTTTGGAACTAGTCCTCGATATTGCTTCGTTGAGGAGGAGATACGACTTAAAGCTGCGGACACACATCCATCCATCCATCACCAGAAATGACGAGTTAATAATCGCAATTGTCCAGTATGGAAATTGCGCTAAAAATATATGTCCGCCAATTGAAAGTTTGTCCCGGGGGGGGGGGGGCAAATTTTAATTGGTATACTGTTGTTAGGTGGATTGGTATGCTGCTATTGGGTGACGAATGAGAAAAAAAAAACTTTTTTAGACCCTAAATGTGAAGTTAATTTCTACGAATCGTGTGGATTTGGTGTCTAGTCTACTAGTGCTCTAGAAGAGATATATTCAACACAAAAGTGCCTGTTGAGTAACTCGAACAGCTAACAAATACATATTATAGTATGTATGTTTGTGTGGAGTGATGTCACATAAGACTGCCCTTGACAGAGGCGTAGCGACCCTTCCCGGCGCCCGGGGACAAACTTTTCGATTTGCACCCCCCTTCAAACTTTCGATTTGCACACCCCCCCTCAAGATTTTTATTTGCACCCCCCCCCCCCCTCAAACTTTTAATTTGCATCCCCCTCAACCTTTCAATTTATTTTTCCCACCCATTTTGGCGCCCCTTAAGGTCGGCCCCCGGGGACATACGCCCCCCCCCCCCCACCCCCGCTACGCTACTGGCCCTTGATATCATAATTATTCGCCCAATTTCTATTGGTGGGAATGACTGAAGGAAAAGGCTGACACAGCTGGCGTAGGGCCTACATTTTTTTTTAAATACAATAATTCAGTAAGAATAATTTACAGTGGTTATACAATGATGCAGCAACAAACGGTATTCCTTAAAGTTATGCGATTTCCGTAATTTATTTTTAAAAACTCTTCTATAAGTATTCGGGGAATGCTGGTGACTCCAATGCTAATTGTTGCATAATATTCCAATAAAGCCTGGTGGTCTGTGGATTTCATAAACATTGGGGCGATCTTTGGGGATATTTTGTGACGGCGTGACGATGTGGAACGGTCAAAAATCTCCAAATAAGCGTAATTTTAATAACTCATATTAACGATAAGAATTACTGCATTGAGCTTTAGCTCGCAAAATATGGAGTTAGCTATGTAGCTCGAGATGATGTTATCTAGGCCTATAGCTATATACTATATTTTTTTTTTTAATCTTTGAAATATTTAGGCCTAACATGTTTTGCCATTCGTACTCGGGTAATTTTTGTATTTTCCGGTAGGAAGTTGAGTAGGACTTTTTCAGCTACCAACATGGAAGATTTGGCGCATGAGTTTGAAGTTAGATCTACGACTTAAATTAATTTTTAAAATCACATAACTGGAAATATACGATATAGATTCTAATCATGTCATCAGCTGTTCATAACTGGTTTAATTCAGAGGTATTAGAAGTTTTATAAAAATAAATTTAGGCCTGGAATCTAAATCTAGATCTAGTTGTCTGCCCCCTGTGGCCTGTTGTCAGGTGTCGGTGTTCTTTTTTTTTTCCAGTTCCGATAATAAATCATAATAATTTAGACTCTAGATCTAGGTCACTCTAACTCAAGGAGATCTAAAATTTTATATCCGCCTCTAGATCTAGGACTCTAGGATTTTTTTGGTCTGCCCACTTTCCATTTTCCCTCTAAGTTTCACTACCAACTTGGTCATGTTTTCCACTCATTTCCCACTTGTGGGTTTGGTAGTCTTTATCTGCTCTCCCATTGTTGTTTACCATCTTTACAAATATGTGAACTTGTTTGATTCTGGTTATTGATTCCTTCACTATTAATTAAATTAGGCCTATAGCTAAGCCTTAATAAAGCAAAACAGCTGACTGATGTTATGTAATGTGTTAGACTAGCTTTCAAAATTACTAGAATCTAGGCCTAATTTACTATTATTAGGCCTAACTCTAGTATTCCATACTTATGCAAGTCATCAAAAGTATTTCTATGCTAAAAAAAAAAGAAAAGCAGAGTTAATAAAAATGTTAAAAAATGTTAAATAAGGTATTTGTGACAAGTATTCCTAATTATCGCAAAACAATAAAAGATTCATGCATAAATGAAAGAATAGCCTGTCTCATAATTGATTACAGTAACATAGTGGATTTTCTAGAATTTTTTAGACCACAAAATGAGTACCAAGTAGGCCTATATTTTTAAAAAATATAGCCTAATGCAAAAAAATACAAACACATTTTTAAGCTAAATATTTTTCATACTAGTATTTTGGTTAATTCCCTTTGATTTTTATTTATTTTACAGGTGTTTTTGTGGAGAAATTTAGCCAGTGTGTTTTGGTCTATATTGAAAATTCCTGTTGTTTTAATCTTCTTCAACTTTTTGTCTGGATTATCTATCACTCATCCACTGGAATGGTTATTTGGTAAGTTATGATAAATAATATATAGATTGGAAGCATTATTTCATTTTAAATTTTTTGTTATTATTGTAACTAAGTACTTTCAGCATCCGTTTTTTCTACACATTCTGTGAATTGTTACTCTTGTGCTGTCTTGCTGATTTATATTTTATCTTTATGTTTTATTTTATTTCATTATTTTTAGAACTAACTATACCATCTGTTGTTTATTATTTTGTTTTAACAGGTACATTTGCTGTCGTACTTACCTCAAGATTTTGGTTGTGTGCCCTTGTAAACACAGCTTGTTTGGTGCTTGTTTCACGCTTCACAATTCCTCACTTTTCTGGTAACTTTTTCTTAATGTTATCTTTATTATTAAAAACTTGTTAGTACTTGATCAACTTTTAAATTTGTTTTATGTAACAATTGGCATTAAATTGTTTTCTTTTTTCACCAGTTGCAGCTGATATTGATTCTTCAATGTTGATGTCTGTGTTAAATCTTCTTCGTTGGAAGCGCCTACCATTGCTTGTTATCAGTTCTGTATCTGGGGCTGTTTCTGCTTGGAGTTTATCTGGACTTATTGGCCCAGAATATGGCTCACTTACCACTGTTATAGAGCCAGAAACAAGGTTAAATATTATAATTGTTTTGCTTTATTTGAAAATATTTTTTGGATTGTAAAAGATATTAACACATTTTTTTTACTGCTGTTTTTTAGAAAGTGCGCTAATTTTAGTTAGTTTATTACATTTTTAGAAATATAATTTACATCTTTTTTTTTTATTTACTTTTAATAGCTTTATTTTTTATTTATTTATTTTTTATTCCAACAGGCTGACAGTTTTAAATGAGACTCATTTGTTCATAGTTGCTTCTGGGATATTAGCTGGCATTTGCTCTTTTGTATTTTTTTTTAGAGACCGTCAGTATTTTCTGGCATTTCCTAATGTACATGTAAGAAAAATTTTCTTTAATTGGTTGGTAGGCAAGAACATTGTTGGCAGTTATTAATAAATGACACTTATTATTTGTTTTAAACTGATATTCTATTTCTCTTTCATCAGAGGCTGAAATTATTTCGAGTCAAAAATGGAACATTACAGTTATTTAAAACAACATCATGGTTATCTCTTCATGTTGTGAAATATTTTTATATTCTCTATTGTTTGTTTGGTAAGTTATCTTCAATAAGTTAACTTTTTGATTTTTGTTTTTAAATCCTTGTTGTTTCCACCTCGTGTAACAATTCACTTACTCAAGTTTATCTTTTAAAAAATAAACCAATTTCTTTTTACATTTTATTTTAAATTGCTGGTGTTCAAGATAGATTAAAGGAATGCATTTTGGAGAAACATCTTGTTTTTTTTTAAAAATATTTTCCAGGTGAAGTGCCGAAGATGTGGATTACACGCTCTTTTAACATAAATAATAAGTATGTTGTCATTGTTCAAAATTTAACAACTTATAATAATTTTTAAAAGCAATATTTAGCACACCAAGAAGTGACGTTAGTATTTGTTATGACAAAGTATTTGTTTTGGGGACAAACTATTCTTATTGATACAACTGGACGATGATGTTTTTTGATAAGTTGTTTTATTAAATATTCAATCCAGTTGATTTTTAAATTTTAAGTTGTAAACCTTTTCCAAAGATATGTTTTACTTTTAAAATTTATTTTGCTCGATGTTCAAATAATAAGTTACACTTTTCATACTTTAAAAAATATGTTTTAGGAAATAAATTAGGTTGGTTCTTCTTCTTCATTCTTAATTATTAGTGTTGAAGGGGATCGACATTTATCTGCCAGTGGGTTTGAACTCGAGACTTTTGTTCAACCATTTTTTTTTTTTTAGGTTGGTGAATATGAGTATTTTCTTTCATTACAGTCCAAATGTCCCAGAGTTTAGCACCTTTGTTGGACTATTCAACCCTTCATTGTTCTGGCAGACATATCTGTGCACCTTTTTCATCATTTTCATGTGGTCTTTAGCCAGAATTATGATAAGAATTTATCATACTGAGGTAAGCTATTCTTATTACCAGTCTATTCCATTACCTACCTATTTGCTGTTGATATTGATAGCAACTTTTATTCATCTCTTGTTTGGACCTTCAGTTGAAGGATACAATGTAAATTTGTCACAGTATTACATATACATTTTTTGCTACTGTTTACTGGATTCTTTTCCCTAATATTTTGTCCTTTATATGCCTCGCTTTTTTCCCCATAAGCTTTTTAAATATTCATGTGCCAGCTATTATATAGTAATTATTGATATTTCAAAAATGTAACAAAAAAAAGTAAACAAAATTTGTTAATTCTTTCTAAATATTTTTTACAGCGAATTGAATTTTGTGTCAACAATGTATTAGCTGAGGATGCTGATAAAAACCTTGCAGATGCTTTGTCCTGTAAAGAATCTTCAATTCTTCAGGTGTGTTCTGTTTGAGAACTGGTTGTTTTAAAGATAGCTTTAAAGAATTAAAATGTTTAGTTGTTTTTTTTTAAATTGGATCTTTTTAACATTGAACAATTTTAATGAAATATTTTTCAGCATTTAGCATTTCTGGACTTGAATTGGCTCTCTAAGTATTCACCCTCTAGACGACAAGAGCTTCTCAGCCTTAGTCAACCTGGTGGCCATCCAAGAGCATGGGTTGCAACAAGTTCAGCAGCTCTTCAGGCTGTCAGGGAGCTTTGTGACGCCATCAGAGATGAGAACACTGCAGTCATGTCCAGGGTTTCTGTCAGTGCTCAGAAAAGTGTCAGTAACTTTTCATCATCCTCATACAATCCTAGTGGTGAGTATTAATAAATATTAATATTAATAGTTTTTTTTTTGCTTCAACTTCCATGAAATAATTTTCATTTGTTTTATGTTTCTGTTGACAAATGGAGATAGATTTGAAATTTTTAACTTTAAAACATTCTTTAAAAAATTGTTTATGAAGAGTGCATATATGTAGTATATTTTTAGAAATGAAATAATTGAAGAGTAAGACTTTATATTAACACATTTTGATTTGTCTTCAGCTGCAGGAGATTCTTATTCTTCAACATTTTTAAACACTGATGGATCAGGTGTGAAAATGTTTGTTTTTTTTTTCTACCGTATTTTTCTTCTATATAAATGTTAGGACACAATCTTTTAGTTCTATTTATAATAATGTTTAGCATTTTTTGTGCTTAGTAGTTAATTTCTTTTAAATTAAATAATGGCTTTCTACAGTTACACCAAGTAGTTCAGATGAAGATGTGAAAACACCTTCTCCTTTAATGAAGGTACTACTTTATTGATAGCAGTTTTAATATATATTGATAATAAAGTATGTATTTTTATTTATAAAACTGTAAATGCACCCCGCCTCTACAAAGTACATTTTTCATATACTTTTTTTCTCTTTTTTTTTTCTAACAGTGGATTTCATCCCTGGGAAATCTTCCATTTCTTTCTCAACTAATAGCTGAATATCCAGACATTTCCAGCAGGAGACTTTTCTCCTACTGTCAGATGCATATTTGGGCAGTTGAGGGTAATTGGATATTGGCCTTAAAATTCTAGGAAAATTCAAACACGAGACACAAAGCTATTTAAAGATTCATTTCTTTTCTGTACTTTTACAGCACTGTCCCAGATTGCATCAAAATCAATAACTGAAGACAAGTATGGTGTTGTTCAGACCATACTGCCTTCCTTGATCCGAACATTATTGGATCTTTATGAGGTAAATTGTTTTGCTGCTTAATTCTCCAGTTGTTTTTTTTTCATGATTCTGATGTACTTATTGCAAACTTGGATAATTTCTAGCCTTCAGTTTTTTTTAATATAAAACCCTGTAAAGAGTTATCAACTGTTCATTTAGGCCATGGAAAAACATTTTAAACTGACCACTAGTGTGCTGAGGCGCACCAATGGTGTTTATGATGGACCACCTGATGCCCTGTTAAGGTTTGAGCTTCACGCTATCAACAAAGCTGCCATTTATCGGATAGTCAACAGTTACCAACTACATTTAGAGTAAGTTTGCTTCACACCATCCATTGCCCTTTTTAGTTTAAATTTGTGTGTCTGTACTTTCACTTTGTTACCTTCTCCTGTGTGTGATTTTAATTGCTTCTGTGTATGTTTACATAGATGAGCAAATTATAAATTTAAATCTTCTTTATTTAACAGAGACTTGAGGATAGGCCAAGATTATTTTAGAAAGCTTCAGCCATTTATAGCTTACCATGCATGAGTGATTGTTATATTTAATGTCAAATTTAAAGAAACAAGCAAAGATGTTATATTTAATAACATGAGAAGCTTACATTTATGACTACACTGTGTAGGGGAGAAAACCACACATGAAATGCTACAGCCTTAATGTGGTTTCTAGCTTTTATTCTAAATTAGAATAAGACCATGGACTTTAAGTAAAATTATGCATTTTAAGTGTACTGATAATAGATACAAACAGTAAATATTGTTTCATTTCTTCCTCTGACTTTCATTTAGCTTTTAACTACATAATTTATTAATTAAGCATTATTATATTCTTTTTGCAATGTTTATTGCTATTGTAGCTCACAAAAATTCAAGCATTATTATATATTTGCCATTGTTTGTATTGTAAAATAAATTGAATATTGTTGCATTTTTTAAACCTTGTGTATGTTAAATGTTATCTAGTTTTTATTGTTGAAACATTAAACATACCAAGAATGAATCAGGCATTGTTACTAATGAAAACAAACACATTCACTCAGATATTGACATGAAAAAGCAATTTATTTTTAATGTCTTTGTCGCCTGGCGAATCCCTCAGCTAACTACTAATATGAGGTTACATTTTTCATCCTTTCACAGGATTATTTGTTCACTTACTTCCCTTAAGTCTGTCTTTCAAATACAATGTTGCACCTGACGACAGTGCACAAACTGCAACCTTTCTGTTTGTTCAAGATGCTTTGTTTGAAATATTAACTACATTGTATCTACCAATTTACTAATGTAATGCTGCAGTCACACTTAAAGTAGTCTTGTAGGTGAATTGTAGAACTAAAGACTTCTTACAATTTACACTACTCCATTAGGCTTACTTTCAATGATTTGCCATAAATAATTTAATACAATCATACCTGCCCTGAGGCCACGATCAAAGATAAATTATGTTACATAAAAGCTTTAATAACTTTCTTACTATTGAAAAATTGGTGTTCTAAATTTTGTCTTTTAAAAAAAAAATAAGCTCCGGTGTTCAGGTTCTAGCTTAAAAAGTAAACTTACACTTTCGAGCATGGTGGTAGTCCATGGGACTTAGTGTTCACATGTATCTTCTGCATACAAGGATATAATACCAGCACATAGCCCAGCTGCCTCTGTTTCCCTAACTTGAGTAAGGTAGGCCTATCTATCAGAGCTGGGTGGACTCTTGGACAGACACGTGACTTTCAGGTTAGCAGTCGTATGCTCTACCGTCCGACCACGCTGTCTCTCAATTAGTACAGAGTGTAAAAATGAAAGCTTTGTACAATTGGCTTATTGAATGTACACCTCAATAGATAGAATGACTTGAAATAAATGATCACTGAAATCGATACAGCTAAGGGATAACATCATTATTATTACCAATGGCGTAGGCAGGTAATTTTTAAAAAACATCCCACATCAGCCGTTTACCTAACGCTACAACTATAGTCAACGGAGAGTTCCAGACTCAATGACAACAATTTCAAATAGTCTTAAATGACTATCATAAAACCACCAGTTTACGTTTTTAAAAGTGTATGTAAAAAAAAAAAACAACCTCCCCCTTCCCAATCTCCCTACCTTGATAAATAGTCTGCCTTTCTCATTACATCACCGGTCGCTACTCTGGCTCGTACTCGGTGGTTTCTGTATCTGTACTACCGGTGAGTTATCGGCCCTGTTCTCGACCCTTTCCCTTGCTCAAGCACGTATTCATACTTTATCATGACTAAGTAACCGGTTAATAAGCAGGGGTATCTTCTGACATGCACTTTTAGAAAGTGCTAGATTCTACCTGTTTGCAATTTAGCCGGTCAGCTCGGAAATAATTTTTCTTTTTTTTTTATTATTACTTTTCATGTCTAAAATGCATCGAAGGTTTTTAATAATTTTTTTAAATGAATGAATTTGTAGTAAAAGCAAACACCCATAGAATTACGGTTAATAGTTAAGCATTCTGTGGACCAGGAAAAAAACGACCAAAAACAAGAGTATAACTTCGTGTCAAATGGTAATATTTGAAGTGATTTCCTCAATTAAATATTACTAATATTACCTGTCAGCATGTTATACGCCATATGGTCCGTAGACACTAACTGACGCCGGCTTTTCTTTCTGGATTTATGAACAATCTGCAAGGTAGCATTGATTTTGGAGTTATCTCCCTAGATGGGTCGCTACCCCAAAGCTAACGAGTTGTCTCCCCTAGATGGGTTGTTGACACCCCCTCCCCGTCACCACATCTACCCGTTCAATATGCGGCTTCACACATTCAGCCACGTATACAAAGTGTCACTCTGACTACTGACACCCCCCCCCCCCCCAACACTCCGGCCTCTCTATCAATATTAGCATTTATGTCATCATATGTATCAGCATCTACTACTTTAAAAATATTTCATTATTTTAATCACGGTACGTTTTCTATAGGCTTTTCTTATGATTCTCAGAATGCCAGCGACACTATTTCGTTATACCCCCCCCCCCCCCCCTGCATTTATTAAGCACCGTATTACTATTCACCAGAACAGGCCTAATTACCATAACAACACCTTGACGCAAAACAAAAAAAAACAACACCACCGCTGTTTTATTAGACAGGGATGGAACAATCAGGCAATCATCAAGCTAGAACCAGCCTTGATCAATAACTCCGAGAATCTTATTGGTCCCTGAATCAAAGTGCAACAATGCTATTCAAATTCTGGAGAACAAAAACAAGGAAATCAATGAAACTTAAAAAGAGGAAAACAAAATCGATTTATATCTTTGATTGGACGTTATGTATGCTGTTCATCAGCCACTTATAATAGCTTTCTGCGCCGGTGGAAAATCTTTTTATTAAATAAAACTTAAGTGTGTTGAATATGTTAACATAAGTGCTAACATTAGCCTGTTGAAAAATATAATAAAAATACAGCATACCGACTACCACGTGATTAGCTGTATTTAATGGTATACATGGGTTGCTGGTTTGGACGTTACATTGCTTTAATAGGCTTTGTTCGATATCAGCTCGGGGCATTGATTGTTAAGCGTAAGTGAAATATCCATCCTGGCAACCTTATCATATTGTTTTCGGCTCGCCGATTAACGAAGGCCAACAAGAAAATGCTAGGTTACAACTGGCACCTGGCACTATAAACTTGACACGTACCTCTACCAAACTAAAGAGATTAGCTGAGGAAAACAATCTTGACCGCAGCTATGCCGATTATCTCTTTCTTCTAGCTTCAAAGAGTACAAAAAATAGTCAAAGAGATTGTTACAACCTTGTTGCTTACAATTATCGACACATGTTTTGAAGTCAGAGTGATGTGTGAGACTGTAAATCTTGCCGATACATTTCTTTGTTGTGTGCTAGAAATTCTAAACTAATCTAAACCTTAACAACTACTAAGTATGTTTTAACTTAGACTACTATATCTCAGATAGACGGCTATCTGTCCCAGATAGACGGCTATCTATCCCTGATAGACGACTATCTATCCCTGACAGACGGCTATGTATCTATCCCAGATAGACGGCTATATATTCCTTAGACGGCTATCCATCCCTGACCTATATCACCATCTATCACTGACCCAGACGGTTTTCTATCCCTTATCCATTCATCCCTTAGTCGGCCATTTATCCATTAGATGGCTATCAATCCCTGACCCACACAGGTATATATCCCCTACCCACACGGCTATCTATCCCCGATAAGTTGCTAATAATCCCTGGCTAAGATAATTTTCTTTCAGAATTTCTTCTATTTTTCTGGCACTAAAATCTGTGTTAAACAGTTATAAACATTTCCACTTTTCGCCTTGTATAGTTACATCATTTCGACTTCAGATAACTCTCTTTATATTTAAGTTCGATTTTTTCTACTGTGTCCACGAATACTAACTAGGGACTCACTGAATTGTATGGCCTTCATTTTAGAGATTTAAACTTTTAAAATATTGTATGAAGAAAAAAAAAGTTAAAAAAAAAAAGACCTTTAGTCAATGTACCGCCACTTACAATTACTGACCAGTCAGGCGTGACCAATCGGAACAGTAAAGACATGCGCAGATCGATGGAAATGAATGCTGGGAATACTCCCACTCGCGTCCCTTGGGTCTGGTGGTGTACAATATTGTAGTGATTAGCTTAATTTTTGAAGGGTTAATAATAAGCCTAGTAGATTTAAATGTATCGATCTACATCAACTACAAAGAAGCAAGTGTTCTGTTGCACTACAGCTAAACCTACTTCCATCAAACGCAACTTCGCTATTGACCAGCTCTGTTTGGAAGTGTAAAAATGGGGTCGATACATAATTTAATACACCACTAATAGAGAAGAAAATATCTTGTTAATTTTACCATCAAAGATAAGTAAGATCTAATGCTTTCTTTGACCTTTCGAGAATATATTAATCTTTACTTGACCTTTTCCGGTAAAGTTGTTAAAATACCACCAAGCAGTGGCGTAGCGAGGTCGGGTGTCACCCGGTGCGCCACTTAATGGTGTCACCCCCCCCCCCCCAGAGGCGTAGCGACCCTTCTCGGGGACAAACTTTCAAATTTTCGATTTGTACACCCCCCCCCCCTCGAACTTTCGATTTGCACCCCCCTCAAGTTTTTCTCTATATGTTGAAAATTTTGCTATTTTTTGCCTTGGTGTCACCCCCCTAAATGGTGTCACCCGGTGCGGTCCGCACCCCCGCACCCCTCCCCCCGTCGCTGTGTGTGTGTGTGTGCGTGTGTGTGTACAGTGGAGGAGGGGTTGGAGCCGGCCACTGTTTTATTTCACGTTTGAGGATAGCTGCTCCAAATGAAAATGTCTTTCCTGTAACGCTAATCTTCCTACCTTTCAAACCTAGGCTGCTCCTAATTGTGACGAACTCAAGACGGCAACAAATTAATGTAAACATCGCTGGCAATTCGCACTCTTAGTTCAAGTAGTTGACAAGCCGGCAATCACAAAAAGGGAAAACCTGTCCAATGACTGGGATTAAAACGATAAGCGACTACGCGATCTTGTATGCCTGGAGATAAGAAATAAATGTTCAAAACTGATTTGTTTTTCATTTTAACACACAAATTGAGTCATTTATCACGGGTAACAAAATACTTGTTTTACTGATCTTTAAAAAATCTACCACATGTTTATTGGAAACTCGATACTTCAAATTGCCTTTAAAAAATCGTTTAGACTTATATTTCGGTGACAGAAATGTTTATTTTGTTTTACAAATCTTATAAGGGACGAATAGAGAAACGGTTTTTTGTTTTATTATCAAAGTAGGTCCAAGCGTTACCTTAACTTATTGACTGCAAATGATTGCGAATGATTACCGGCACATTTTGTGTGTAAAAAAAGACCGTAGTGTGAGGTTGTGCTAGTAGAGTCTTGTGGTTTGGTACCAGACGACCCGACGACCCCCAGAGCTGTATCATCTGGAGTGTAAACTCGACGAAAGCTAACAACCTTATTTCATTTTTTTAAAAACAATTCTACTGAAACAGAGGGGGGGGGGGAGCTCTACACAATGGAAAAAAAAAACAACTGATGAAAGTTGTCAACACACCGATAGAATAGAGGCCTACAGTTAGAAGCAATAGAAATAAGAGAACTCCCAAGAAAGTTGCCAAAGACCGACTGTAGTGGAAAAAACTTTCGTAGTTTTATGGCCCCGTGTGTGCTGGTCATTGAAGGCAAAAGATGATGAGTCGTCTGTAAACTGTGATCCGCCCACAGCAGTCGTGAGGGGTGGGGAGTTAAGCTACACGGTTAAGAAAATGTTTTGACGATAGGATGTAACTTTTTAAAATATAATTCAAGGGTATTATGGGTTTTAGAGAAGTGGGTTATGAAATATTGAAAATACTTTTGTAACGATGTGACGCCGTGGGGGGGGGGGGGGGGGGGAAGGGGTTGCAATTGCATGGCGGCTAATGTGGACTCTTCCGTTGCCATGGGCGCTATATCCTGTTCAACTTGCCTTTAATACCCTGATAACGTGCAGGTCTTTAAATAGTGCAGGACCTTTCAGAGAGTATCATGTTATTGGTATAGCTATTATTACACCGATTCTTGCTACCGCGTAACAGCATGTGCGATTAAATTATTTTACACAGGTCTAGAGTTATAAGAGTTTAACAAGGAAATGGCCAAATAGGGCATGTGATGCTACAGCTTAACTGGGACTTGTTAGACGCAATAATTAGGTCAACCAGCTAGGCATCATGGGTCAGTTGGACCCAACCAATCAGCAGGAATCTGGTCATGTGACCGTGAACAGCCGGACATCCTGCGCCAGTCGAAGTGGAATTCTCGTCCGGTCGAGATGGTCACTTCAGACGGCGATTTTATTTACGACAGCTATTTAGTTTTAAGGGTTGTTTTAAATTTTAAAGTGTGCCGTCAAATTTTATGACACGCCCTCTTTCACCACCCCCCACCCCAACCTACTAGAGCTGAAGCGGTGAAGTAGCCAACCTACTAGAAGCCTTTTGTCTAATGTACCGTTTCCATTTTTCAGGTTCTCTTTTTCTTTTTCTCTCAATTTTTTCGTTCTTGGTATCTGAAACATTTCCATGCTCATTGCGCATTGAGGGTAGCAGCTGTTTCAATCTGCTTAATTACGATTGCCTATGCCATTATGTATTTGTGGTTACTGTGTCCAGTTGGTTAATTAAAGTTGGATCAAAATTTACAGCATCTACAGCAGTTGAGCCTGCTGTTAATTCATGTTAATCACCAGATTTACATGAATTCGTCGTTTCAAAGTACACATGGACGATCTGATTAGAGCAAACTGCTTCAGTAGAGCCAGTTGTTAATTCATTAGCGATAGCTGAATGAACTATTTGATATGAATTATTACTTTCAAAGTACAGTTGGACCAACTGATGAGACCCAGCTGTTTCAATGTGTTGATCAGGGCCAACTGTTTCAATGTGTTGATCAGGGCCAACTGTTTCAATGTGTTAACGAGGGCCAACTGTTTCAATGTATTTATCAGGGCCAACTGTTTCAATGTGTTGATCAGGGCCAACTGTTTCAATGTGTTGATCAGGGCCAACTGTTTCAATGTGTTAACGAGGGCCAACTGTTTCAATGTGTTAACGAGGGCCAACTGTTTCAATGTATTGATCAGGGCCAACTGTTTCAATGTGTTGATCAGGGCCAACTGTTTCAATGTGTTGATCAGGGCCAACTGTTTCAATGTGTTGATCAGGGCCAACTGTGTGAATGTGTTGATCAGGGCCAACTGTGTGAATGTGTTGATCAGGGCCAACTGTTTCAATGTGTTGATCAGGGCCAACTGTTTCAATGTGTTGATCAGGGCCAACTGTTTCAATGTATTGATCAGGGCCAACTGTTCCAATGTGTTGATCAGGGCCAACTGTGTGAATGTGTTGATCAGGGCCAACTGTTTCAATGTGTTGATCAGGGCCAACTGTTTCAATGTATTGATCAGGGCCAACTGTTTCAATGTGTTGATCATTGGGAAAACGTTTGGTTTCTAATGAAACGCATGGTTTGGTGGCCATCTTGTTTTGTAGTATTCTCAGTTGACGAAATAAATCACAAACATTTCTAATGCACAGATGTTATTCGTCCAATACTACATTTGCGCTCTGTTGAAGTTGCTAAAAGAAAGTTACTATAATCGTGTTTTGTGTTTTATGCAATGATTGGTATCGTTTTTGGACATTTTACCATTGTGCTCTACAAGTTGATCAGTTCATGTTCATGACTATACGAATATACACTAATATCGATTTTGAAAAAAAGTGGACATCTGCGTTTGTCTTCTATACCCTCGATATATATATATATATATATATATATATATATATATATATATATATATATATATATATATATATATATATATATATATATATATATATATATATATATATATATATGTGTGTGTGTGTGTATATATATATATATATACATATATATATATGTATATATATATATGTATATATATATATATATATATATATATATATATATATATATATATATATATATATATATATATATATATATATATATGCCAATATATTGGGGGTTTATACCCCCTCCACCCATCCTAAACGAGGTCATGATTTTAACCTTACTTTACACTACTTTTTAAAATGCAAAAGTGTGCCATTACATTTTCTACCCCCCCCCCCCCCCCCCCCGCCTTTTGTCACACGTCATCACAAACGCCCGAACCCCTACCCCGACCCTAGGAGTTTGACGTTGTTTATGGACTATCCCTCTTGACAAAAATCTGCCTACACCAGTGTATCTGATCAAACTTTGAAAGGTCACGTTTTTATTCTAAAAAAAAAACCACCAGTACATTTTAAAGGGTGGCACGTTTATATTTATATCTCTCGTAAGTTTTAAATAGCGGCATTTTTATACGGGCACTGAGCTTATGGATCAGAGTATCAAGTTCTTCACTGCAACATTTCAGCAGTTTAGAATACTGAAGTACCGGTACTTGTAAACGCCGTGTGTGTCGTGGAAGAATGCAACATACCTACGTAAAAAAAAAAACCTTCAGATTAACGGATCAGACATGCTTGCTGCGCGGGACCCGATATGTTATTGTTAAAAGTAAAGATTCTTCTTGTTAAAAGTAAAGATTCTTCTTGTTAAAAGTAAAGATTCTTCTTGTTAAAAGTAAAGATTCTTCTTTCCTGGTGATCCATAGGACAGATGAGGTGGAGTTCATGTTTCTTGACCTCGGCATATGAAGGGATGGTCTTTACTTTCCCTAATATAAGTCAGGTACCCATCAGATCTGGGTAGACTCAGGGACGTCCAGTAGTCACAAGTCTCAACCGAGGTCCGAACTCGAGACGTTCGCTCTACCGTTTGACCACGCCGTCTAACATTTATTATTTTTGACATGGATGAAATGTTGGTACACATGTATTAAAGTTTAACATTTTCTACATGGTTCTACACTTTAGTGTTTCCCCTGTTTCGCCTACCAGTTAAGGTACCAATAATGGTGTGATTCGTACTTTGCTGGCCTAGTATTCTACATAATGATGGGTTGCGCTGCAGCATATATAAGCCTACATTTATGATACGATTAGTTGCTTTTTATTTGTTCACAAAAACACTGATCAACTTCAATCATGACAAAAACGTTGTACGAAATGTAACTAAAATATAAAAAAATAAAAAAAGTCATTTTATTATTATAATTTCTTAAATTTATTTACTTTTTCAGTATACATTTAATATAGGTAGTAAGTATAAATAAAATTTAGGTCAAAGTCTTGACTATTTAATTATAGTTTTTATGTAAAAGGCGATGACGAAGCTACAGTTTTTTGAATGAGAAAATGTGATCTATTCATAAGATTACCAGTTCGGTAAGAACTGGAAACCTAGAAAAAAGAGAGGGGAGGGGTGAATATGGGTTTTGTCTCTTTTTGTACATTAGATTTAGAAAGGATCAGATTTAAAATATAAACATTGATTCAGTTGCCTAAATATTTTAGCTGAAATAATTTGTAACACTATTTTTTGACTTTCTCGAAACAAGTGTTTTAAGCTTGGCCCATGGTAATAAGTATGGTATTCAGTAATCAGTAATACATGCTTTCATTTTATCTTAGTCTTAACAGTAAGAAAATCAGACACTAAAACTGGAAAATATGCAACAACTTACATATATGGGTTAGTATCCGGTCATTATAATTGTTCACTAATTAACATAGGCAGTGACACTACGAAATTGTTCACTAATTAACTTGGGCAGTGACACTACGAAATTGTTCACTAATTAACTTGGGCAGTGACACTACGAAATTGTTCACTAATTAACTTGGGCAGTGACACTACGAAATTGTTCACTAATTAACTTGGGCAGTGACACTACGAAATTGTTCACTAATTAACATAGGCAGTGACACTACGAAATTGTTCACTAATTAACATAGGCAGTGACACTACGAAATTGTTCACTAATTAACTTGGGCAGTGACACCACGAAATTGTGCGCTGGTTGCCACCCTCCGATTGTGACACCGTGCACTCGTTACTTTTAGCTAAGATGCTACGAAATTATGCACTTTTTCCTCCAAACTTTTCAGTTCGTCTTTCATTTTTTGCAGCTTTTGATCGACCGTTTCCTTAGCCAATGAACCGTGTCGCATTTTGGCACCACCGCAGTAAACGCCTGTTTCCGGTTTTAGTCTCGGCAACACTGTGATACCACGTGGAAATTCAAATTCGTTTTGAGGAATAGTTTTGTTCTTTTTTCTTTGGCTTTTCGAGCGGACGAAATTCAAATACCATTCTTTACTTTTGTCTCGAAATGTCTTCGGGCCTTGTCCACTTAGGTTTTTATATTTTGAAAACCGTAACCTAATTTTGGACTTGGTCGTGCCCTTCTCGTCTTCACTTGTCACACCATTTGTGTTTTTGTTTACAATATGAAGTGGGAAAGCATCAATAATTTTAGAGTAGCCTCGTTTTCGTTTGTTATAGGTCAACCAAGCCTCCAGATCAAACTGAGATTTTGGAGGGTTGTCTTCAGTGTCGAATTCTTCAACAAAGATCATAGTTACAGTCCTTTCCAGCTCACCAGCTGACGGAGTTGTTTCCCTTTTGTCTATTTTGTCCTGCTCAGTCTCGCTCGCCGAATGGTTTTCTATATTTATAAGAGGCAGTTTTCTGAATACAGATTTATTGGCCTTTTCTACCTGAAAAATAACAGCATCGTCACTGAAATTCCCCTCAAATAATTTGTGTTTATCTACATTCCTTTTTGGAGATTTCGAACTTTGTGACGCTACACAATTATTTATATCTTTCCGCTTTGCGTTTTCATCGCTTGCTGTTAATTCTTTACCGCTCTGAGACTTTATTTGGTTGTCGTTACTTTGTTTTGAGTCTTTTGTTCCCTTACACGCTTCGTATTCTACTGGTTTAATTATCGTATCATGGATCGAATCTGTGTTTTTGCTTGAAACAATTACTTCAGGTTTGTCCAAGTTACCATTGTCGCTGTTTCTCTCCGACATAGCTGATGGAGCCTGCGTTGTTATCTGAGGCGCATTAGCAAAAACATTGAGACCGTGATCTCTAGCCTCGTTTTGAAAGACGCCCTCTTCCCCCAGCGAGCGTGAACCGGGGCCAGACAGGTTGTTAAGTGACCCAGTTTGACTCTCCTCAACATCCGCGTCGTCTTGTGAGTTCATGGCAACCCTGACGTTGACCAGCAGTCTCTTGTTTTTCTCCATCATCTGGATCTTGCGCAGGAACACCGCTCTTTGCGCTAGGAAACCAGAGACTTGGAGTTTTTCTGCCCTCTTTAGCGCCTGCAGGTTTCTGTCTAGCTCTTTCCTTAGCTCAGTCTGAACCTACATGATAGGTGGGGTGGGAGGGTGGGGTGAATTTAATTAGATATATGAAATTGTAAATTTAATGTATATTTCTGGAGGAGGGGGTGAGACAACGATATGCGTAAATTTATCGGGATATTGTGGAAATAACTATATAAACTTTTATGAACTTGATATCTAGTTTTGCGAGTTAGTGGACAATACTTTGTTTATGATAAATACCAAAACGTACTCTAGAAAAGCTGATTCCTCTTTTTATATATAATTGAAAAAAAAAATGACTTTTTTAAAAAGAAGCCAACAAAACGAGAAAATAAAAGTATAATTTGACAAATGCTTCGATTGTCGCCTATTAACAAAGTCAGGAAAAAAAATTGATGCGATTTACGTGTTGTGGAAACGAACTAAAATGACAAATACGCCAAATACACGAAGGGCAGTCTTTAAGTTAAAGAGCTAAAACTAAATCAATTAGCGATGTGCATCGGGCAAAATTAACATATCGTCTGCAAGCACAGTGGCAGAAATAAAAAAAATCTTCTGCTCACCTGGTACACCTGCCTGGACCTCATCATTTCGAAAAGTTCGTTGTCACTGATGTATGTTCTTTTTTTCAAGAGCATGGCCAGTTGATTCCGCCTTGGTCGTACGTCCATACTTCCGATTTATTTCTATAGAAGACAAAAGAAATTTTCAGCAGGAAAAAAGTGGTTATTACTTTAGCTATCCGTAGACTCATAAATCAAAAGACGTAGTTTAAAAGTCTAAACTTTAACCCAATCTTAGCCCCGACACTAGGGACATAATTTCATAATCCGTTGTACCGTCATTAGTTATGTTTAATTGAAAATTACTGTTATAGACCAATCATCTGTGAAAAAGGGACAGTTTGTGCAACTTTTTTTCACCCCATAAAAAAAAAATTAAAAATTCTATGATAACCATTACATGTATAAAAAGATTTAGTTTTCCCATCAACTGTAATCTTTAACTCTGTAACATACCTGAATTTAATTTCAAATAATAAAAGCAGTTATATATAGCTTATATATAACATATATAAATGGATATGTGTCCCTGTATATTCAATATGTATAAAAATAATTAAGTTTACGCTAACCCATCAAACGGTCATCTATAAATATTTATTTTCTGTTATATTTATCAAACGTACCTCATCAAGTCTATGAAAACATATCCAACATTGCTGGCCTCGAAAATTAATTGCCTCCAACGAAATGGAACTCGCGAGACTTCCTTGAACGACCTGAAAATTGATTTCAATCGGGGAAAAGATTCCGTGCAACACTTTTTAACCAGCTCTGATTGGATCTAATCAACATTTATTTGCCAGCCGATAGCAAGGAACGGCGGCGCTGGGAGGTTCTAAAATTAAGGGCGTAGTTTTTATGTAACGTTTCTTGTTTGTGTCTGATTACTGATAAGGCCTGCCTTCATCTTTGGAAACGTATTTTATTATTTATAGGACATTTTTATTGTGAAGAAAATTGAAATAAAAATATTTGCGAAATACGTTTGTCTTTTTTATCAGTAGAGGCCAACGCTTGCTGAAGTAGGCTTTAAATTAGGGGAATGGGGTCGTCTAAATATGAAGTCACGCGATATTATCCGATGTAGATTCTCCCTTCCCAGTATCGTAATTCTCCTACTCCTACCTCCCCACTAGAATTGTATCGTTAAGTATCCCCATCCCCCCTCTTCTTCCACACACAAAAACACCAAAACATAGCATTAACAATTTTCATCGCATTTATCAGGAATACAAGATAAATGATACGTCCCATTTTTTGAGGTCCCCTGCCTAGCGTTTGACGAAAGTTAGAGTTTTGACTGTTTTTTTTTTCTAGAATCCGTGTAGATTTTGTAGGACATTATGAAAAAGAGCCCGAAACAAATAAATATATGAAGTAAGTACAGAGAGTTTGAACAGCAGTCATGGAACATATTGGAGGAAAACAATAGCAAAACAAAAACACAAGCTGATGGGCTATAATTTTAATGTATCAAACAGAAAAAACATTTTTCATTTTAGATATAATACAGTAGTCTATAATAGGAGTATAGTTTTTGTGTATGTATTAACGTGACGTTAATCTGCCGAGAGTTCACAATGACGTGTGTTTCTTCCATTGGAATCGCCCCATCTGTACACAAACTCCCAAAGTTTTAGAACCGCTGTTATTTGATCACGTGAGTTATGATCGCTGCCACGACAAAACTGCCGCACTTGTTACGGTCATTTTTCTCCTAAAGTTTCACTCCTGAGCGATTTATTACACTGTGTTTTTGTTTGGCTTTTTTACACACAGGATTAGATATTGTAAATTTAAATAAGTTTTACAATTTTTTTAGTTGACGTTAACACATTTTTAAACACACCCGTAAAAACAAACAACTATTGTTCTGAATTTCAGACTTGTTTATAATTACAAAATAAACACCATGTCTAAGGGCCCCACCAGGATTTTTCCGGGAGACCGGCGGGCCAGTCCACCCCTGTATATATATATATATATATATATATATATATATATATATATATATATATATATATATATATATATATATATATATATATATATATATATATATATATGGCGCAGGTACATATTAAAAACTTAAATTACTAAGCTTACAACAGCTTGCAATATGTTGCTGTGTAGAACTCTTTTCCTTTCAACACCCCGGCTCCAGCCCCTCAGATATCTGATACCCCCCCTCCCAACCAGAAAACTGCAGGGGTTTAGTGCTGCCATATCCTTCTTCAAACGGCGACAGTTCACTGGCATGCTTGAGCGGCGGTCCGCGGCTAAGTGCGACACCAAAATGAACTGGACCAAACAGACCAGCCTTTGACACCCCCACCCCCATCCCACCCTTACAAGCACGACACTGAAAGGGTGACCTGGTATGCCGTTGTTTAGCAACACAGTAACTCACCATTAAGCCATTATTTGCAGCTGTTTTAACCTAATGGTAGCACGTGAATCTAAACATCTTAGAATCTAGTAATTGTATTTCAATTACATGTGTATTTATAACATGTAAAAGTCAAATTAGTAATAAAACAGATAGTATTAGTTACCTCACAAGTTAAAGACAGTTACAAGTACTATGGACGTTTCGACCCAAGGTCTTCGTCAGCACACAACAGTGTGATTACAGATTAGACAAATAAAGACAAACAGTAACACATTTTTTGACTTAGCTAGACAGTGAAAACACGTCTTGTCTGCTAGCCACGATATCCAAAAGAAAAGACGCGTGAGAAGGACGCTTGGACACCGTATAGGGGTGGGGTTGGGGGCGTGGTGTATGCGGGAGGGGGGGTTGTTAGGTGAAAGATATCTGTTCATTCAAGCCATCGGGTGCCCGTGTACCAAATTTAAGTATTAGTCGCGTTTCAGTGCTAAGGCGATTTTTAAAATTGTGGCAAAACCGAACGGCGCTTACACAAAAGTCCTTTTTTAAGTCATGCCCACTCTTGTTGAAGTGTTTGGCCACAGGAAGACCGTCTTCATTGTTGATTGATCGCAGGTGTTCTGACCTTCCATTTTGGTATACAAATCGACTTTTTTCTTGACGAAAAAACCATGACGTAGTTTGTTAATTTTTTAAATAACCTTTAGCGGTGGTGGTTGGTATGGTGCGTACAGTGTGGTATATATAATGTGTATGTTACTTAAGGGGTCGGCGTGGTCGAGTCGGTAAAGCTCATGGTTCGAACCCTCGGGCAGATGAGGCTCGTTAGCTGGGGAACAACTTCAAATCTTTGTTCTTTGTTGGACAAAGGCTATGGAAGCAAATCCAAAAAGAAAAGCAGGCTGAAATCGGAGTCAATGGACTCAATGGCGCATAACCAGTTGACACGTAATCCTTAATTAATTGTGAAGAATTGTTAATTCGAAAAAAGTCTCGAGTTCAAACCCTCTGGCAGATAAGGCTCGATCGCTCCCAACACTAAAAATTAAGAACGAAGAAGAAGGTTATTGAAAATTGTAGCGGTTAGAACTTCCATGTTTTATCATATCCGTTTACATGTATTTGGTCAGGCAATATCTTGTTGGTACCGTTACTGTGTGATCCTGTCTTGACGTACACTTGGTAAAGACTCCCCTGTAATGGACGATTTTGGTCTCTGCTACAAACGTCAGCAGCAGTAAAGACAAACCGGACATTGACCTAATGATGTAAGACAAGACGGCACAGTCATCCTGAAAGGGATTCATGCATGCAGTTAATTTTTTTTTTTTTTTTGGGCTTTAACAAATAAAATATCTAACACTATTCTTCACAAATATATTAAGTAGGTGTATCTCCTCTGGACTAATGGTCAACAGAGCAGGAGTGAAGGCCCGGCCGAGATTGTAGCTATATTATCGTGTTGTCTGCATGGGGCACTCTTTCACTGTTCGAGTTACCTCCCATCTTAGAACAGTCTATTTACACGGAGGAGCACAATGCTGGGCTATCTACCACTTGTGTAGTCAAGCACGTCTTTCAGCCATTCGACAGGGAGGCACATAACACGTCCACCAATAGCAATTTAGATAGTGGCGGGGGGGGGGGGGGAGGGTCAGAGAAAGGGTGGGGGTCATGGCACTGTGGAGCGTCCGGTCAACAGCAATCGACGAAGAATCATTGTTAAACGATGGTCAAGTTTTAACTACAGTCCACAAAGCACAAAGTAGTTTTTGTTCGGCTGGTGCTTTCTTTCGTTTTAGAAATAGAGAAACATTATCCTTAACATTCGCTATTAAAAATAAAGTCTGTAGGACACTCTAGCAAGCAGAGTTTTATAAAAAGGATTATTATACATCTAGGCCTACTCAACGTCTTAGGAAGAAAGGGGACGTTAAGAGGGATGATAGCCTAAATATGTGTACATATTCTCAGTTGTTTCAGTATAGCACTATAGTCATAGGGTTGTGGAAAAAAAAAACAGTTGAAATGTTAAAAACTATCTGATCAGATCCGCACATAAAAAGGAAGATGTACAGTAGCGAGTAGATAAAATTAGTTTTTAAATTAGGACGCTATAAAAGGCATCAGTGGCGTATACAGGGCAGGGGCGGAACTACAGTGCCACCAGACCCCGCAATGGAAAAAGATGATGAGTATAAAAAAAAATTAAGTAAGGGGTCATCCATAAATGAAGTCACGCTTTTTTTGACGATTTTTACCTCCCCCCTCCCCTCCGTCACACGTCGTCACAAAAAGCCAGACCCCCCCCCCCCTAAAATGACGCCACACCTAAGCCTACAACCCCTCTCAAAAATGCTGTTGAATTTTTCTAAAAACATCGATATTTTTCCAAAATCTTGTCAGAATTCTGTCAACATAGAGTATTTTGATCAATTCCTATTACAATTTATTAAACAGTTTTCTAAAACGCAAAATAACGGCTAAAACTCGTTTTCCAAAATTGCTTTTTTATAATGCAAAAAAGCGACGTCACACCATCTGAAACCCCCCCCCCCCCTCCCCCTCATCACACACCGTCACAAACTTACGGAGTTCGGCAAAGACAACTTGTTATTATCAACCCGGCAACAATTTTTCTTCCAACTTACACGAATTGTAGAGCAACTGTTAAACTAGGACGGACAGACACATCTTACAGACTATTACGTTGAGTCGTCCCCCCCCCCCCCCCCGCCGAAAAAATTCTACCGCCCCCCCCCCCCCCAACCCGAACGAAATGAAATTTTTATAATTTATATAGAAAATATAAACTTTTAACAGTGTCCGCCCCCCCCCCCCCCCCGAAGAAAGTCTACCGCCTCCCCCCCCCCCCCGGAGAAAAAAGTCTGGAAGAAACACTGTTCACTAACCAACAGTTAAACACACACACCGACCACAAGAATGATAGCCACTTTCGTTAACCAACAGAGAAATACAAATGCCAAAGACAAGATAGGTGCCTTCATTAACCAACAGTCAGTACAACCACACACTCACTTTCGTTAATTAAGTTATTCATCAATGACTGTTCTTGCGGGTTTTAAATAATTTGTATTTTTCGAAAAAGGCGCCACTGTCCTAAAAATGCTCACACGGAGAGCGAACCCCTCCCCTAGATACGCCACTGCATATATGCCTGTATACAAATACCTATTTTAAAAATTGTCCCCCCCCCCCCCCTTCTTCCCCTCCCCATAACAAAATCCTGCCAAAGCCTAAACCGGTAAGTTAATAACTTTTATTAAGTTACATTTTTACGAGGATTTTATATCCATTAAGTAATATCTCAAGAGATCCCATACTCATGAGCAAATCGTGAAGTTTAATCACGGTTTTAAAAAAATACAATATTAAATATACTTTCAGCAACAAGTGATCAGTAGCCCCGCGTGAGATTCAAGCGCACGTGTCTGACGATGACTGCATTTTACGCTTTGGCATAAACAACTATTGTTGACTCCCTTTAGATCTAGATCTATACCTGTTCTCAATTATAATTTTTTAGTAGATTGAACACGGAAGAAAAATAGTTGCAAAGGTAAGGTAAGGATTATAACTACATTTAAAAATTAATATTAATAAAAATACATTTTAAAAATTAAAGTTTGATTCGTTTGACCCTGGTTTTATATTTTGAAAATCAGATCTACCACATGACACGAGAGATAAATATAGCAATAGGAACAAAATTAAAGATTCAATTATAAGGTATTAGAATTCCATGAAATAAATAGATATATAACATTCGTTCAAGATCCATTGTTTAAAAAACCCTTTCTTCAATTTCATCATTAAAACAAAACACACAGTTAAAAAATGATCAATTTTCCTTCAACAAAGAACTGCAAAACAAAGTCGAGAGTAATATAGTAGCTGGTTGTTGCATTCTGGGAAAACGGGCGCCATCTTCTTTTCCTAGTGTATTGTTTTGAGACGTGCTCATGTAAACCGTTCCGTCGAAAATATTTATTCTAAAATAATTATTCATTTTGTTAGGTTAAAACTATCTTGCGGTTGCATTTTTAGTGTACGTATTTATTGACAATAGTATGTGAGATTGCGTACTTTTTATTTAATAATATAACAACACAAACAAACCAGCTTGTTTCCTTGACCTGCACCGCTTGTTTGTGTACCTTTTTAAGTTTTTATCTTGGAATCTTGGCGCAGTCAGTGAGAATCCCGCTCACTATCGTCTACCGTCAACTTAGTAGAACTCTAGTCTAATTCATATTTATTATAAATCAATCAAGTCCTTGATAAAAATCATTGTGTCAAAGGCATGCTGAATCACTCCTCAATCCTGGAATAGTTTCACTATCAACAAGAATCAATGTAGGCTAATCTTTTGTTTTTTTTTTTTATATTTTCGTCCACACTAGGACTCATGACTGCTCTGTCTAGTGTTTAGATCTCTAGATCTGGATTAGATCAGACAAGATCTAGAGATGTGTGACTGTCATCCAGTGACGGATGTTGCAGGTTTCGAACCCATCGAATAGACAAATGCCTTCAAGTTCATACCCTGTCAATGCAATGACAGTGTCATCCATTGTGATGTCCAATTTTTATTATTTTGCTGTTATTGATAAAATGACTAGATACTTTTGGTAACCTTTTTTTTCATTTTTGACGTGATTGCTGTCATAATTTGCAGCAATAAAAGACACATCCCTTAATGTTTGTAATAGAAAAAACTTGGGAAAATTGGTTGGAAACCTGAATACTAGGCTGATTAAAAACATGTTATCTCACCTGATATTTACTTTATTTATGTGAACTTAAAAATGTGAAGCACTAACTAAATCTGATGCATAATTATTATTAGGCCATCAAGGCCTACTTAATAAAACACTTAGGCCTAAGCTCTGATTAATTAGTGAAGATTTAGGCCTTCAGTGCATAATTAATTATCCAGGTAGCAGATATAAAACTAAACTTTAACCATAGTCCTAATGCTTTTTCTTATAAAAATAAAGCACATTATAAATAGTGCTGCTCTTATATTGTCTTAAATTGTTTTTTTTTTACCTGTGTCAGATAATAGAATATTCTTAAAAAGGGGTGTTAGGTTACTACAATACACACATGGCATTGCTAGTGTCAATAGTCAATGCTATCCCTAACTCCAACCTTAGTCCTACCATTCCCATAGTCCTAATTTCTAACCATAAAACTACTCAATATTGCAATACTACTTACAACCTAACATACCTATTTTTTGAAAGAGTCTTAAAAAAGTCTCATTGCATTTTAATTAGGCCTACTATTCTATTGTTTTAGTTCAAGAGGAATTTGTAAAAAATCAAGCAGCATTAAAAAAAATCAAGCAGCATAATACAGTTTTTCCTCATTTTTTGTAAGTGTAGATTTGCATAAGGCCTTTCTAATCTCCTCAACTGTTTATTTAGCTAGACAATTTTTGCAAGCCTGCATTTTCTTTTAATTAATTATAACAAAACTTGATAGTGTCTACTATAATTATGGTGAATTTTAAAGTCACTTAACTTTTAGCAACAGTATCTTTTGTGCGCATGCACCATTTTAATTATTTTTAATTTATTCTTGTCCCAGGTATCAAGGCCAACCCGAAGTTCTGAAATAAATTTTAAAAAGCTGGTGTGAACTATTATAGCAGAAATATTTTAAAAACCTGTGACATTATCCAAAAAAGGCTTGAAAAGAACTTTTTTAAAAATGCATTAATCCTGCTCCATTACGATTCCATATGCTGAAATACATTCATAATAGTCATGTGAAGTTCGTTTAAAACATTATCAATCCACTATATTGATTAGTCCTTCAATTTTCTTTAAAGACTACATCAATCATTAAAAAGATGCAGTATTAGAAAATAAAACAAGCAAGGAGGCTTGTGCCTGGACCGCAGCTCACAGTATAGAAAATAACAGTACCTATAGAGGCTCGGCAGGATAAAGTGATGCAAGCATTGATTTAAATTGAACCATCCAACGCTTACGAAGCTGGCAGCAATTTTCAAAATGGACATGTCTTAGCAGAGTAAATTTTAATAATTTAAGATATGTTATTCTACAGGTCTCAATTCAATGTAAATAATCTGCTTAAGAAAATTTAAAAGTGAATATTTATGTAAATTATCACCCATTTCAAGTGCCTTAGATCTCAAGTGTTTGAAAGGATTTTTATTTCTCAAATCATTAACCCCAAGCCACCAACATTCTGTAAGCTGGACACATTTTTTGCTTGTGGATGTGATTGTAAAAAGGTTTGTAATTTTGTTTATATTTAGGTGTTAAATTATCTTTTCCTTGTGCATGTTTTATTTTTAAAGTTTTTAACAATAAAATTTCTTGCTCATTTTGTTGCAGGTGAATAATGTGCTTGTGATTGGAATTTTATAAAGTGATGGCTGAAAGCAATGTGCCCAAGCAGGATTTCGCACCACCATGGCTTAAGTTTCCAACCACAGATTCTTCAGTAAGCATATTTCTTTTACAAAAAGTTCTAAATTTTATTTTATATGATTTTGGCATTACTAATTTGTCATTGCTACTAATGTGACAGAAGTGTGACTGTTTTTATCATACTATTATGATGTGAAAGGTATATTTACACCATTCATACTTACTAAATACATACATGAATCTGCATTGAACTGTATTTATCCACAGAAATCTCAAAGTCAAAAGCTAAGTAATTACCAGGGTGAAAGAAATCGACAGCGTAGAGAAGATCCATATCATCCACGATCTGATTATAATAGACTTCATAGACAAACTTCATTTGATTTTCATGATTGTAAGTATATTCATTTGTAGACATGTTCATTTACTACAAATTTTTATGGTAATACCTTAAATATGATTTGCAATTTTATACTTGAATAATGTAAACATAATCCAAAAAAGTTTTACAAAATATGTTTACTTTAGCAAAACTTAGTTTATGTGAAAACCTGAGAGATCTTAGCATGTTAACCTTTTTGGGCATGTATTTCAGCTAAACGCTATCCTCCAAGCCAAGGAAAATATCGCCACCATTCTGTGGATGATGATTATTATGGATATCCCTATAATTATGGGTACTATGCACCTAATTACAATTATGAAAAATACAGTATGCAATACAGCTCACAGCCTTCTCTAGCCCGTCAAGGTAGTCGTGATACGAAGTATAATCCTGGTAGATTTCCTCAGGTGAGTATTTTATTATACAATCATCTTATAAATATTCCTGCATAAGCATATGTATAATCTGCTTACTTCAACATACATCAATATCTCTAGCATGGTCAGTTAGGTAAATAGCATTTTAAAATCCTTTAGGTGATAGGTTTTGTAAAAGATGATTATAACCAACCAGTTTGTTACTTGTATACCTGTTTATCTTGGCTAGCATTTCAAATGTGCTGAGTTGTGTGTTATGTTGTATCTATATATATATATATATATATTATATATAAAATTCTCTTCATGACGCAGCAAGCCGACTATCTAACCCTCCTCCATCGCTCTCCAGTGATAGTGTTTTAAAGCAAACATTTTCAGTCGCAACATTGGTAGTGTCGAATTCACAAATTATGAATTACTGGAAAGCAGAAAATAAAACAACTGAATAGCTGTGTATGCTACGTCGCGGATTGGCTCGTTAAATGTTAAGCACACTTAGCAAATAAAAATGCAGCTTGGCTTCCGAGTAGTAAAATTAAAAAACTATTCATATTAAAACCTTTTTTTTTTTTTTGCATTTTCATTTTTAGTACATTTTTTTTTACCTCAGGTGAATGGTGCAGATTTTAGTCCTCATTACGAGCTTTATGAACCCCCTTACTACCATCAAGGTCCTCATAAGCGTAGTCATTATGACAAAGACTATCATAAAGATACTAGAGATGATGATGGGAAAAACAAAAATAAAGGAAATGAGAGAGACCGACCTTTCACTGATGATTTTGTAAGTATGCTGAAGATTTTTAAGTTGAGAATAAAATAAGCCCATAATTATTTTTATAAAAAAGCTTTAATCTACTTTGTTTAACTACAGCCCTCCCTTGTTGGTTCTGGTGAAACTGTGACAGAAGTGAAACCAACTAAACCTGCATCTGGAGTTTGGGGTAATTATTTTTAGGCTATTGACAACTTAGAGAATATTTTTAGTATCAATAATGTTAAATTACTTGGGGTTTTTTTTTTTTAATAATTAAACTTACATCTGTAGAGAACCCCCCTAAGCCTAATAGAAATGAGGAATCTCCTGATTTGTTAAAGAATACATCACCTGGAATCTACAAGGCATTAGTTCCCAGTAAAGTAAGTATCTTTACAACTCAATCATAACATCTTTTTAAAATGTTTTATTTTTCCTGCCAAATTAGAAAGTATTCTTTGTATTTATAGATGTTGCTAGACAGATCAATTGCTTAAAATTTATTGGTTTTTATTAACTTAGTTTATGCTTTTAACCCCTAGAATGGTCAAGTAAAAAAGAATGGTCGTGAGCCAGTTCGCATGAATGGCAGCATTAGAGATTCATCACCACTTAGTCCTTCTAATAAAACTAACCATAAAGAGGTGAGATATTAAGCTTCTAAAATAAGAAATATATTACTTTTAAATGAAATTGAAAAGGCAGTGTCAAAAGTAAATTCAGGTTTTTACAAGTTTTAAACAGGATTTGTGTGAAAATTCTAGTCATAGAAATAGCTTTTATCTGTTTTTCAATGATTTAAGATAGTATAACCTATAAAAATATAAAGAACATTTAAGTTTGAATTACAAGCTTTTATTTTAACTCTTTATGCTCGTAATTATTTTCATGTTTTACTGGAATTGTTTTCAGTACTCCTGCGGCAAAACCACTCATATCTTTTAAAGCCCACATATTACTGATAATAAATTAATCTTAATTGAATGCCCTTTACACTAATATAAATGTTAAGTAATTATTTATCTGAAGAAAGATGACTTAGTTTTAAAGATCAAACAACCGTGTTTTTGTTGTTTTTTTTTTGTGGGGAAAAAAAATACATTCTGCCAGGAAAATTAATGATAGTAAGATTAACTTTTCATGAGTTTTTATTTAAAGAAAACAAAAGTATGTCCATTTTTCTATTTAAAAAATCATGGATCGGATTAGTATTGGCATAAATACTTTCATTTAGGTTAATTTTATAATGCGGCGATGTAAATGTTTGGCAGCTGAACGGCATTTCGCAGTGTTAAAAAATGTCAGTTTGCATGTGGTTTTTACAAAAAAAAATATATAAAATACAAAATCAACTGAATGAGAAAACTGCCAGAAGTAATTACAACGATAAATTGCTGCTATATGACCTAGTTTGACGATTAAAAACTTGATTTTTGAAAAACAATGTAGAGAAAACTTAGACACCGGGAGCTTTGATTCAACAATTTCTAGAAGAAAAAATAGTTCTTTACTGTTCAGAAAAAGTGTTAGTCGTTAAGAGACTTGCTCTGAAATTTTCTTTATTTCTTGAGATAGATAGCCAAATTGATGTATTGGATGTGTGGTTTTATAAATTAAACAATATTCCTCAATGTTTAGTTTGATAACTATTGATTAATAAAATAATTTGCAAATAATTTTATAAATACCTTAGTTTTAAGCCAATACATATTTTTGTACAAAGTCTTTATACACGTCTTTTTACTTGTTTGCAAAATAAATAGAAACTAGCATCTGTATACATTTTTAACATACAGGTAACTCGTCAGAGCCCAACTCCAGATCTGGCTATTGTTACCCAGCCAAAAAAGCTTGGGGATAAGAAAAGCGATTTCCTTAGAGCAATTAGAAATGAGAGTAGCCCACGAAATGGTGATAGTTACCAAGACCAAAATCAAAATGCAATTGACAAGAAACAGGTATATTTTTTTTATTGTACATTGGAAATACTTGTCTAGCTTTATAAATTACAAGATGATAAAATATATCTTTTAATATAATATTTTAAATATACATTTTGTTCTAGCCATTGTACATTGGAATTACTTGTCTAGCTTTATAAATTACAAGATGATAAAATATATTTTTTAATATAAACTATTTTAAATATACATTTTGTTCTAGCCGGTGAAAGACTCTGATGAGAGCCCAATGAATGAAGAAATTACATATAGTCAAATGAATGGGAACCATATTGGTGAAAATGAAAGTGGCAAACATGGTGTTAATAGTTCATTAAAAGTTAATGGGGATTTTAGCAAGACAGTAAATGGAGAATCTTATGGCAATGGTGAAGCATTAATCAATGAGGTGGATCACATTAATTTATCTGGAGAAGAGGAAGAAAAGAGGTATGATTTATAAACATCCTAATTATTTTTATTTTGAACCCCTGATATTTATTAAAAAAGTAGTTACAATAAGTCAGATTTTTATCTTTATCAAAATATTTTATAACTATTTGTTAAGCTGTATTTCCCTTAACTTATTACCTCACTTTAGATATTCAAAAGTTTTAACTTCCTTTTACATTATTTGTTTTTGGCGAAATAAAAAATGTTATCATATATATTGTATATAATTTGCAGGTTACTTTTGTCTATGGGCTGGGTGGAGGAAGACAACACTGAGTATGTTATTACAGATGATGAGATTAGAGAGTTCCAACATAGGGTAAGTATCACAATTATTTGTTTCTAATATTTAAGTCAGAAAAGATTTTCTGAAATATGAAGCTCATATTATGCTTTTTTAAAACACATTTCTAGCTAAAAAATCACTGCAATGGTCAGAAAAATGGACTGAAAACAACTTTGCGTAATGCACTCAACTTCAAACCAGAGAATAACTTCACCAATGGTCTGCTAAACGCTACTCTTAATGAATCAGAAGAAAATGATAAAAACAAGACCTTGTGATACCCAGAGTTGCCATTTCAACACTTCATACAGTGGAAGAGATGGGTTTATTTTTTTATTTAAATTTAAGATATATATTATTGATCAGGTTTTATTGTCAGAGATCAAGAAGCCTGAAGTATTCCAGATGTTAATTTAATTTTTTTTTATATAGGAGATAAAAATCTATGGACCAAGGAAATGTAAAATGTGTGGATAAAAAAAAAATACAAATAAATTTTGAAGGAAAAGGTTTTAAGTTTTTTTGTTTGAATATTTCTGTCTCAGTTGTTGCAGTGGCTAATTTCTTTTAGATTCCTGTGTGGTATTGCCTGCATGGTAGTTCAATATATCTGCAGAAAATTTGTTAAAATCCATTTTATTAAATGCCTACATTTTATTACAGAGTAACTTCATTTTCAGAATATGCTTTGAAAGCACACATTAATTATTGGGGCAATAGATAAGCAAATCCAAAAAAAAAATATCCCTGGCTTTCTTTTGTTAAATTATCATGTTAGTGAATGTATCTGTTAAAATAGAGAAATGTCTGAAAACACTGATATGCAGACTTTTTGTGTTTGATTTTAAACGACATTATTCTTAAGCACCATTTTTTTCTTGTCAACTTGTAAATCTCATTCAGAAGTGTTAATATTTTTAGTCCAGAATGATTGGTACTTCATTAAGAGGTAGAGACTCTTTAATAATTTTGTTTGTGTACATATTATTTCAAAAAACCCTTTTCATAATTTCCTAATGTGATGACACATTGTATAGAGTGCTGTAGCCAATTAATGCTACCTAAATCAACTTTTTTAAAGTAAATATTTCCATAGCTCTTATAATTGAGTGTTATAATGAAAGCTTTTTTATTGTAAATAAGTTATTAAAAAATTGTTTATAGCATGTGCAAGATCTAGTTTTAAAATAAAATCCTTTTGTAAAATTTACTTAAAAATTTGTAATCCAAATGTTTACATGTGTTTAAATGATTGTGACAAAACATTTCTGAATTACCGGTATTTAAAATTACAGAAACAGATTATTGCTTATGTGACATAACAATATTAAGCATATCAGTAGACCTTTTAAAATTTTATTGTTGATTAGTAGTCTTTCTAAAGTTGTTCATCTTTTTTAAAAAGTGTTGAATAGATATTTTCTTCTATATATTACATGCTTGCAAACTTTCTCTGACTAAAGTATTTTAATTTAAAAGTTATATATGTGTATACATACACATGTGCGGTACTTACATCATTCAGTGGTGGATTTTATTTAAACAAATTCAGAAAATGTATTGGTGCTCACAATACATTCCATGGTTTACTAAAAAAAACAAAGAAATTGTGCAGTTGAAATCATAATACATACAAATAAAACATACCAGTAGGAGGCAGTTCTAAGACACATTTTGATTAGAATAACGTGTAAATGAAATGTTTTCCTGTTTCAACATATTCAGTGCCTTCTTCACAACTTAAATTCTAAATGTATGTATTCTTTTCTTAAATTATTTCTTGCATTATCATATTTCACAGTATGAAAATGATGAAATGCACTCTCCACTTTCAAAGGCTACTTTCCCCCTCTGTTAATAAAATGGTGGCTAAGCAGGAATAAATACACAACGGTTGTTTTAAAAAATTGTACTTTTCTGTATTTCTTTACATTTAATTTTCTATAAATGCGAATATTTTAAATAGAAGTCCATACTAGTTGTAATGGTGTAAATACATTTAAAAAATTGATTTATTGTTCTAATTCCAAAGCATTGATATCTAAATGGCAATGAAGATTTTAGAATAACAATTTAAAAATTTGAGATTTTTTTTCCCTTGTAACCGGAATTACATTACTCTGTGAACTGTTTTAATTTTTCTAAAGTTTTATTTGGATTGGTTTGTTTTGCTTGTAGAACTTTCTTATAGAAATTTTTTTTTTTACATTTTTCACTGGCTATGGTTTACTTGCTAAATTCACCCTTTAAATTCAGTAATAAGGTCTCACAGATAACAGCTCATTAAAAAAAATTTAATGTATGATCATAAAAATTAAAATTTGTATAAAAATTTTAAACTTTGCTTTTTTTTTTATTCAAACCCTTTTCAGGATATCTCATTAAAAAATTTTTTATTGCCAGTGACTAATAATTTATGCCTACTTTATCATTTGTTTTAAAATTCTAAGCTCTTCAATGAAAAGCAGTTGTTTCTTTTAATTTCATGTTCATTATTTTCATAACTTTAACTTTATTCTATTTAACTTATCAATTTAAAAAACAAATTTTGTGTGTGTGGATATAATACTAATTGACATAATAATTCCATTCATCCTCCAAAATCACATCAGCATAGCCACAAGTTTCATCACTTGGAATAATAAAATGTAACGAGTAAAAGAAAATTATTTTTGACTTCAGATGAGAATGAAGTTTTTTCTTTAGCTTAAAACTGAAAGCATTTTTAAAATATAATTTGTTACTAAAGAAACACTGTTTTCTTGTATCAAATTTGTAACGGTTAATGTATTTTTTGTTTAGTTTGCAGAAGCAGTTAATTGCAAAGTATTTTCATGTGTGACAGGATTGAAACATACCAATAAGTGACAATTTGTAAAAGGTGTTGCTAAATTAGATGCACTTTGTTATATTCAGTAGCATAAGATTGGGTTTTTTGAATAATTAAAAAACAGATGAATGTAACTTAACCAAATGAATTAAGCTTAATTTTATGAAATGATCTTGATTTTGCTTGTGTACCAATTAAAATTGTTGTTAGATACATTGTTACGTCATTGAAATTGCTGTTATTAAAACTAAGCTTACCTTACAGAGTTAAGTTATTCAATACTGGTAGCTTTACAGATTGATTTATTTCTTCAAGAGGTATTTTGTTTTTAGAATTCAACTTGTGTTTCTGGCACTAATTTATTTTAAACAAGTATCAGGAAAACAAGTTGAGGATAATGTTAAAATGTCAGGTATTAATGAAAATGCTTAAATCACATACCTTAGTGTAATTGTTCTAGACTTTCTCTGCTTAAATGACAGTAACCCTAGCTCTGTTATTTAAACCACATTAATGTACACAATGTGTTGCATCTAGTATTTAAGTATGGCTTGTAGTGGCTAATAATGCATTGCTAATCTTAATATAAATAATTTATTCAGCTTGTGGCATGACTATAAGGTGAAACTACAAAGAACTGGCAGCTATATTTTTTAATCATTGTTTTCACCCTTATTTCTTCCCCCGACCTACTCACTTTTATTATTTAACTCCTATAAAGTTTTCAAATGGATTTCATTATATTTATAAAACCTTGAGTTTCTACTACAATTAGCTTTGGAGCAGCTAGTGTTTTGAGCATCAGATGTATACATTCATCCATCCCTTGCAAATGTAAAATGCGTCATTCAATAGAGTTGAATACACATTTATTATTAATGTTCAATTTGGTCCAGAGTTGGGTTTTTTTTTTGTTTTGGTTTGCTTTTTTTTTTTTTTTTTAATTAAAATTTTGTGTTCAGTGTTATGTTTCGCTTGTATGCCAGTCTGAACAGATGTCCAAAGAAGAACTAAAAGTCTAAAGGGTATGCATGCCATTTTCAGTTAGTATTCACTGGCTGCTGTTGTTTTTTTTTTTCTTCATGTCTTACATTCTATGGTTTAGAGTGTTAAATTGTTATTTTTAATGCATATTACAATTGTTAAAATAATTAACAGACATAGCAAAGTAACATTTGCCCTGCTTTTGTTTTTCACTTCATCGGGTTGGCCCCCTTTGAATTGTCATTGTTCGCTCAAATGCTGTATTGAATAAAAAGATGAGTCCTAATGTACTTTTACTATGAACCTTAGTTCTGTTTTATTTTTAGACTGTCATGATAGTATTTTAAACAGGGACCGATTACACCAGCATGCTTACATTTGACCCTGATAAAGGACACAGGAAGAATTAGTAAGCAGCAATTTCTAACCTTTTTGTGGAGTGTAGTTCACACTACAGGCGTGTCTATACCACCATATTTAAAACTGCTGACATGGTATACGAATTACATAAGCATTTCTGCTTAGGGCCACGGACTTAAGAGCTTAGCCATTTTTAACTTCTTTAAACTTCATAATACAACATTTATTTATTTTTACACTTTTTGCGTTTGTCGTGTGTCTACTTCACTTGATTATTTTGTTAAGAAGTTGAAGTTGGTTTAATTAAAGTTTTTTTCAATGTATTTACTCATGAAAAAAATGCAGTCAGCTCCATAGTCTCCGTAGGCTTACGGCTTTAGCGAAATACTTCTACATAATATTTATAACCATTCGAAAACAACAATTTTTTCAACACTTTAAAAGTGTTGAAAAAAATAGCAAATTATAAACTGCATAAAACTTTTTACTGTTTGTGATAGGTTTATAAGAACAAATTTAATAATACCCACGTACCCAAAGCTCTTTAAATATTAAAACAAGCTTTATGTATATTACTACTTTTTTTAAAAAATTGGGTTACTTTGTCAAGACCATACAGGTTGCTGTAGCTATCATTCCTGTGGATCGGTATTCCGTTCTAGGCGATTCCTTCAAGTAGGACAAAGCGTCATTCTGGCTGCCTCTGATTCACTGTTGTTGAATTTGGGAGGGATCCCATAGTGGTTCATCAACGTCCAAAATACATCTCTATCCACACTATCAAATGCCTTCTCAAAATCAATAAAGTTCATGTAGAAGTAGAGGCGATAGCCAATCAATCGGATGTTCAATAATTATGCGCATAGTGGCTATGTGATCAGTACTGACATGTACTGACGAAAACCCGTCTGTTCTGGTCTTAATTTCTTGTCCAATGTCTCCTCCTCTCAAGCATTATAGTTCTCGTGAGTACCTTGCTAGGGACAGATGATTCCTCTCCAATTAGTCTAACACGTTTACCGTCTCGAAATTGAAACAAAAAATAATTTAGGACATATAATATAGAAATATAAACGTCACCTCGATCATTGTTTCTTAACTAGGGTTCGATCGAAACCCAGGGGTTCGGCGAGTCAATCTCAGGGGTTCAGTATAGGTCAAGACACACCCGACATATGATTCACGATCGGATTTAGTCAGTGCAGACTTTAAAAAAAAGGTTCGATGAATACACGTATGAAACAGGTGGGGTTCGGTACCTCCAAAAAGGTTAAGAACCACTGGTTTAGATTAACCTTCGGGGATATCTCGTCGGTCCCAAGCCCGGATAAACGGGGGGGGGGGGGGGGGGGGGGGGGGGGTGACACCTAGACAAAAATATTGCAAGATATATAGAATATATGTTTCTTCGAGTTCAATGAATGGTTCGAGTTCAAAATTATTTAAAGTACATAATGACGATCCCGGGTGGGGGGGACGACACTATGACATAAACATGCAAACTATAGAGAAAACAATACTACATCCAGCTGTATTAACCGACTATATATATATATATATATATATATATATATATATATATATATATATATATATATATATATATATATATATATATATATATATATATATATATAAACATTTATAGTATTAAACGTGAACACTTTAAAGCTTTTACCAGGGTGGGGGGGGGGGGGGGTGTGATACACCAACTGCAAAATTTACAGAGACAAAAAAGGGGGTGACACCATGAGCTGCCACACCGGATGACACCCGACCTAGCGACGCCACTGTCAAAGACAGAGTTTCTACAGCCCCCTCCCCCCCCCCCCCCCCCGAAAATATCAAGTGCCCCCCCCCCCCCCCTCCCCGGGAGTCTGGAAGAAACACTGATCCAAGAGAGCTTGGAAAGATCTTTCTCTAGATCTAGTATAGCTCATGACATGTACTAGCGAAAACCATCGGGAAGCGACCGCGCCGACAATTCATTTAATGACCAAAGAAAAAACCGGAATAGGAACATGAGACATCGGAATCCTCTATGAACAGGAGATATGATCATTTATTCTGGCCATGTAGATACTGACCATAACCATGCACTGTAGCATTGATGATGACACCAGAGGCTATAATGGCAATGTTGGCGTCTCACCACGACCGATACTTGCAACTTGCAAGATCTATTACAGAATGCAGTAGATGCGAATGCACCCACCAATAAGCACATTCTCAGAAGAAGCGCTTAAGATAGACTGGATAGACTTAAAGATCAAATGAAAAAAACACTGACGAGAGTTAACACAAATCAAGAAGTGTTAGTAAGCGACGATTGTGGGAGATGAGTGTTCAGTTCCTTATTTGTATGTGTAGCCTTCCTTGATTGTTTCTGTGGTTGTAGCCCATCATAATACTAAATGGTGCGTGTGTTCAAAATATTTTCTTTATTTTGTTATTTTTGCTTAAGGATGATTTCCTCAGTTTCTGTAAGCATAGGCCTACATCTTCTAAAGATTGACATGCCGGCATATAAACGTATAGTTTTATTTTGCAAAGCTTATAGGCATATAGATTCTATCCATCCATAGTTCAAATAAATGTTCTCACTTTACAGTACAGCCTCTGCCCATGTACTGTATTGACAACGCGACAACACACGTTGGTCATATAGGACTCGCGCGACAAAGCTTGATTATTGGCTTATGTGGCCTAATTGATTCGTCAATATTTTACCGGTGTGGCGTAGTCGAATGTTTCGTGATGTAAGATAAGTTAGCGGCTACTGACAAGACTTATTTTTAAAATCAGATTAATCTTTGAATGACTAATTCATTTCTGATTGTGTATTTATATTCAGAAAATTTTGCTTTTCTAAAAATAAGTCCAACTAAATTTTTAATTTTAGTTCTAAAATAAATTATTTTAACCTGTAAGGTAACTCAATAAAAACAACACCAAAACAACTGTTCCAAACTGGCAAGGTGCTGACCTTTTAACATTATTTAGCGATAGTGTAAAGTGTGTAGGCCTAGGCGTGTGTAGTATAAAACAGGAATGCGAGTCGACGGTACTGTTCTTCACTTGCTCGTACAGTTCTACTGATGTGCGGAAAATAAAATCAGGATAAAAATTAAGTTGTGTATCGGGTGATACTCTTTGATGCCAGAAAATGAATAACACTAACAACACTGACTCTAATTCCGAGTCTCATCATCATATTCACCACAACGATCCAAATATGAAAGTTGATCCACCACAAAACTTGATAGAAAATGCTCATGTTAAAAATTTTGCTCAGTATCAACAAATGTACCAGCAGTCTATTCAAGACCCCGAGGCTTTCTGGGGTGAAATAGCCGAGCAGTTTCACTGGGAATCTCAACCCACCGGACAGTTCCTAAATTATAATTTTGATGTAAGGAAGGGGCCAATCTTCATCAAATGGATGGAAGGTGCAAAGACAAATATTGCATACAACATGCTTGACCGAAATATTAAACAGGGACTAGGAGACAAAGTTGCATTTTACTGGTAAGCTAATGAGTCATTAGTAATGATTAAAGCCTTAAAATAAATAAATGTTATTTTATAGGCATATTATAATTTATAATAGTCCTATACCCAGAGGCGTAGCTAGGGGAGGGCGGCCGCCCCGGGCGCCGACCTCAGGGGGGCGCCAAAAGGGGTAGAACATTTTTTACAAGCTCATTTTAAGCTGCAGTTTTGAATTATAAATAGTCAAAGTAAAGAAATTTAACGGCTGAGAGCCTTTGCATACTGATTTTAATCTTTCTACCTTGATTGAGTAACTGTAAAAGGTATATCCTTAAGAAACAGTGACCGGAAAAACTGCTTTCCTAGATGGGGGGGGGGGGCGCTTTTTCGAAGACTAAAATCGGAAAAATTAAGGAATAAATAACCCATATCACTCAGAAAAGAACCCATGGAACTAAAACGTATTTTACGATTGTGTAACATAAAAACACAAATTATTGACGTTTAACATCCACTGTTACATTTTTGTCCAAGATGGTGGGGAGAGGGGAGGGGGCGCTTTTTCACCAACGAAAATCGCAGGATTTGTATTGGATCGGTTACTAGATAACTCTTTTAACACTTAGAAAATAAATGTGTTTCCTCTAGCTTGTTTCATTATACAATCAACCAGTCAACGAAATACACATATCGTATTCCAATGTGAACAATAATTTGCTATTGTATGTCAATTGTATGACCTTAATCTAACAAACTTATAATCCAAATATATACTATATCATAACAGAGACTGTTCCAAAGATAAAACGTAAAAAGTCTGTCCTAAGCGATTTAGCATTTAGCACCGCTACAATTTTTTTTTCTGACATTACTAATCATCATCTTTAAAGGATAATGCATCTCAGGGGGAATTTAATTGGCGTCGAGTAAAGTTTTAGGGAACGACAATCAGCGTAATTGTTAATTTTTTTTCAAGACTGTCGCACACGCATATATATATATATATATATATATGGGGGGGCGCCAAACTGAATGTTCGCCCCGGGCGCCGGGAGGGGTCGCTACGCCTCTGCCTATACCTACTACTACTATACTATAGTATAGTATATTAATATTAGTATAGTGTAGGCCAATGCCTATAGAATAGATTCTATCATAATATTATGTAATCTATGTGTGAGTAAAACCCAGCCAATATGCATGGGTGGACTGGCTGTGTCCAAGCGGCTCCTAAAGCCAGATTGTAATTTTTGTTTTGCATGTTTATCTCCTTCAAAGTCTAAAGTTTACACCTTGATATTTGCTATGAGTATGAGGGGATGGAAATGGTAATATAGAGAATTACCAACAAATTATTAAAAAAAAAAACCATTAATAAAGACTATTACAGAACCTTTTTTTTGGGGGTTCCACTGAAATTTTTTTCTAGGGGCCCTGCAATCAGCAGTGTACATTAAATCAGTGCCAACTCAGATTTGATGGCAGGAGATGAACGTGCAAGAGTAGTAGGTGCTGATAATTTTTTTGCTAATCATTGTTGCTAATTTCTGTTCCAGTAATTACAAATTACAGATGAAAAATTAACGGTTTAACTTCTGTATCATCAACACACTACACATTGTGCCATTAGTCCTATTCAATATTGTAATGATTTTTTAACTTCATTTCTGTAGCCTGTATTATATGCCTACAGTATATAGAGTTAACAGTTAACACATAACAACTCTATATAGGCCTAGTAGTTAAACAATAGTTACCATGATAGTTTTTATTTAAAACAGTGTTAGGTTTTTAGTCTCTATGTTTAATGTACTGTAATTTATACAACAGCAAGTTGAAAGATTTTAAAATATTTTGTGTTCTAGAGTAAATTACCTATGCTGGAATGGTTTGTCATATTTAAATTATAAACATATTACATACAAATGGTCAGTGCATCACTATTTTTTTATTTTTTTTACAAATCCATGGTACTAAACACATAAAATACTTATTTTTTGATACCTCATTGTAAAATTCATCTTATTTTGGCCATGCATTCCATATGTATGGCCATTCTTCCACAACCTGGTATTGAATCAGTAGATTTAGTGTAGGTCTACAATGAACAACATTATTTATAATTATTTCTCTTGATAGCATATGCTGTATAGTTTTAACATTGTTTTCTTTATCTATATGGAGTCTTCAAACATTTGGACATAGTATGTGTTACGCCATGTGAACATCATATTAAAATCCAATTAAGGGCTTATAAAATAATATAGCAATAATCCAAGATTAACCATTATATTTTCACTTAAGTCTTGAATATCAATAATAATAAAAAAAATATATAGCAAAACACCCAGGAAAAGTAGGTTCAAGCAGAGTTACACACCATCATCAGGTTATGATAAAACATGGTAATACCATGCTAGTATCACGCTAAGAAAACCCACACCCACATACACCATCTTAACTTGACTCAGTTCTTTATAATCTACTGACTTTCAAGATTCCAAGTAAATGAAGGCAGATCTATGGATATTAAACTTACAAGATAAAGGATGTATTAAGAAAAGATAGATGACATCCCTGGATGATTTTGAAACTGATTAACTTATATTAAAGTTCATGCTTCTAGTAAGCTTCATTTTTAAACAAGCTTGCATTTTTGTTAATTTTGTTTAGGGAAGGTAATGATCCAGGGGACCATGGCCAGATAACTTACAGTGAGCTCTTGCTACAAGTCTGTAAATGCTCAAATGTGTTGAAAAGCTTAGGTAATTAATTTTGTGTGTATGTGTAGTTCTATCAATCTTTTTCTTATATTAATTGTAGTTCTAGTATATGAAGTTAAAGCCAAGCTAAATTAATCATACCTTTATAAGGTTTCTGTGACTTCCATTTTTAGTTTTATTCATCTGCACCTAGCATACAAATATTACCAACTTGTTGTATACTCTTAGTAATAGATCTTTACCAGAGTAGAAATAATTTTATATATATATATATATATATATATATATATATATATATATATATATATATATATATATATATATATTTTTTTTTTTTTTTTTTAAATCCTAAAATACTATTTATCCTGAGTTAATGTAAATTATAAATGTATTTCACTTTTAAAAAACTGATCTTAGAAATGTTTAGGCAGGGTAGTGTTAATTTTTTTTAGGCTCAAATCAGTAGTTTACTTTTTATATCAGAAATAAATAGTAAAGTTTGATACTATAAATATAAAAAAAGCCTTTGTTAATTTACATTTGTTAAACTTGTTCTAGTTCAGTTTGTTTTAACATTCTTAAAAATTGTATTATTTTTCTAGATGTTAATTTAACTTTCATCCAATAATTGTTTCTCAGGTGTCCGGAAAGGGGATAGGGTAGCAATTTATATGCCAATGATTGTTGAATTAGTTGTATGTATGCTTGCCTGTGCTCGCATTGGTGCAGTACATTCAATTGTGGTAAGTATGTACAGTTATTAAACACTGTATTATAAATTTTAGTTATATGTACCCTTTAAAATTTGCTTATCAAACTAAACCACCATTCCTTAGGATTTAACTATAAAACAAAGCATTTAATTTTTAATCAGTGGTGTACTTGCAGTATTAAAAGCTCAGCTGATGGTAAAAGTAGGTTAAGGTCAAGCGTGATAACATGAATGGTCTGATTAGTTTTCCAACCTCTTTATTTCGATTAGTCAAAAGGTCAAATTTGTCAGAACTTAAAGACTTTACTAGGTCAATGGGGGGAAATGTAATGCTTGGGTGTTTGTTTGGTGTGGGGTTGTTAAGGTTAGGGCACAGAATGTGTGCCTCTCTACTTAACTGGCCCAGGACAGATTAAGTGTGTAAATAGTGTGAGAAGCAGCTGATAAGACATATTATCTCTGGTTAAATATATTCATGGCAGGGACAAGGGGTTTCCTGCTGGTGTCTCCATTCAAGGGAAATAACTACCATTTACATGGTTATATTTTAAAAGAAAAACATCACTTTTGTATTTAAATTATCAAAAAAAAAAAAAACAGATACTTTAATCAGTAATTAATAAGCACACAAATTTTAAGGTATAAACATATTTGTATAAATTAGAAAATTAAGTAATTAGTTCATTTTTTGTTCCAAAAAATATTTTATTTTGTGGTCATATATCAATAAAGGGAGATAACCAATCATTTGACTCCTTTTGGAAGACAAAGCTCATCATTAAAATCAAATGGTGTGTTAATGAAATATGAAGAAATTTTTACAATACAATGATAAATTTATAAAATAAATGTTCATTTACAGGTAATATCTTTTCTTTTTATCACCTGAATTTAACTTGCTTTAGTTTGCAGGATTTTCAGCAGAATCCCTTAGTGAGCGTATTGTGGATGCAAATTGTTGTGCTATTGCAACTGCTGGTATGTTGTTGTCACTTATGTAAATTTATTTATAGAATTCAGAAATAGCAGCTGCTGATTTGTGCTACACCTATTGCATTTGATGGCAACCATTTTTGTTGGTGTAGTTAAATTAGAAATTTTTGTATCAAAATAAAAAATAAGTTTTTTTTTTTGCATTTCTATTATAAATCAATAATGTTGAGGATTAAATAATGTAAGTACTATATCTAAGATAATTAATGAACAAAGAACAGAATGGCTATAAAACATTTAATCTTTCATTTCATCAATACTTTGAAATGTGTTTAAATAGATGGAGTGTGGCGGGGGTCTAAATTGTTGAATCTGAAGTCAATCGTTGATAAAGCTCTGGACATTTGCAGAGAAAAGTAAGTAATGATGTATTTTGAAAATACTTACATTATCATCTTTTTGCTTGTAAGACAATTTTTGTAATTCGTTTAAGTTTCATTTAACTTAAACTGATAAGAATGTGATACAATTAAAAGAGCTAAAACTAGAGATGTTTATTATTATTTTTTTGCAGCCCATATTGCATCAAATAACCGGTTCTGTAAAAATATTTATGATTTAATAAGTAAATTATTTTTATTGCATGAATTAGGGGTAAGCCTGTGGACACATGTATAGTGGTACGTCACCTCAGTCAACCCAATGACATTGGGTTCAACGCCAACAACACAGGGGCAACTACTGATGATTGCCCTGTTGGGAAAAGACCCTGTTCAAAATTAAAGGTACTTGATACATATTTTTTATCCTTTGAAAGACAATCCACTGGGTATTTTTTTTGTTATGTTTTTATGTTTGATGTCAATTATTTTTTAGATTCATTGGTCAGATCGTGATCTGTGGTGGCATGATCTGATGAGGACAGCTCATACATACTGTGATCCAGAATGGATGGATGCAGAAGATCCTCTTTTTATGCTCTACACCAGGCAAGTGTTAACATTATATAACAGAAATAGTTACATTCATATTGTTCTCCAGATGCGAGAAAAGTATTATTATTTTTATTTCTCCGAAACGTTTCAGTGGATCTACAGGCAAACCCAAGGGTGTGTTGCACACAGTAGCAGGGTACATGCTGTACTCTGCTGCTACCTGCAAGTATGTGTTTGATTTACAGCCTGATGACATCTATTGGTGTACGGCTGATGTTGGCTGGATCACTGGACATACTTACGTCTGTTATGGTCCATTGGGAAATGGAGTTACGGGTATCATTGTAAGCATGATCTTTTAAAGTTATAATATACATAGATATTTTAATATCAACGAATGTTTTGAATACATTTATTTCATGTTGTTGTTTGTTTTGTTGTTGTTTTAGTTTGAGGGAACTCCATTTTACCCTGATGCTGGGAGATTCTGGGCTGTGATTGAGAAATACAAAGTAACCAAGTTTTATACTGCTCCTACTGCTATCCGGTCCCTAATGAAGTATGGGGACAGCTGTGTCACAAAGTAAGTTAACTGTACAAACTGCTCAGTATTGTCTTGGTGTATAGAGCTGCTACTAGGAAGTTTAAGTAGGATGTGTAGTGTGGGTTGGAGAATATAAATGGTTGACTGTTTGTTGTGGTGATTTGTGTAGTGTGAAAATAATATGATATAAAGTGACGTGATAGAATAATGGTGATAATCCATTAGTCAGTCCCGTGCTGTTTGTTGTTATGGTAAGTTATGGGTTTTCATCTCATTTAATATGTTGTGGTGTCAGGGTGTATCGCAGTCACATCTGTGAATAGATGTGCCATTTGTTTTGTTTGTTGAGTGTCATCATTTATGCTGCAGTGACAGTTACTAAAGATGCAAAGTTAAAGCTATCATCTATGTATATTTTGATGTGAAAATCCTCTGACTGCAGCTGTGCCTAGACCGCATGTTCCTCTTAATAAATACCTAATAAAATAAATACAACCTTGATATGGTTTTATTGCAAAATTTGCAAAAGTAACTGTTTTAATAACAATTCCATTTTTAAACCAATCAGACATGACAGATCTTCTCTGAAAATTCTTGGAACAGTCGGGGAACCCATTAATCCAGAGGCTTGGTTGTGGTATTATAAAGTAGTCGGCAACAGTCAGTGTGCAATAGTTGACACATTTTGGCAAACTGAAACAGTGAGTTATTTAATTTTTAGCAAATATTTAGTTCTTGAAGATCTCTGTTATACCTTTACTGAAGGTTTTCCAATCTTGTTCATAGGGAGGTCATGTGATAACACCGTTACCTGCGGCAACAAAAACAAAACCTGGATCAGCAGTAGGTTTGTTTTTCTTGAGGAAAATTATGTTTGAGATTGAAATTTTAGTTAATAAGTTACATTTACTATAAATCTCTATGACTGATTCAGCAAAATTGATGGCTTTATTTTAAAATAAAGTTTTCATTCAGCTTTTGTAGAGTCAAATTTTACTTCATTATATCTTCAGACATTCCCATTTTTTGGTATTGTACCTGCTCTCCTAACTGATGAAGGTAAAGAAATTGTGGGACCTGGTGAAGGTTACCTTGTAAGTACCAATAAGTTCTCTATGGATTCTGTTCGATTCTGTTACATTTTGTGGTTGCTTTGTGTATTTGAGATTAATATGATATTAATTTAAAATTAATAAGAGATCGTGGTAAAAACAAAATTTGAAAAATCAGTCACATTTTATTTTGCTCTTGCTGCCATCTGTTAAACAACTAAAGCGAATTAAGTTTAAAGCAGGCTAAATCATATTTCTTTGCTCTGTTATAAAAACATAACCTTTTCAAATCTGCCCATGTCTTTTAAAGTTTATGGAACAGTCTTAAATATTTAAAAAAAATCAACTTGTATGTTTGATCAGCTAGAATGAATTTAACCTTTAAACTCTGTCAGTTTTCAGCACATTTCTGACTTCATCTTAAGTAAAGGGGCCCTTTTTAAAGAAATTTACAATAAAACCTTATCCCAAACAAACTTAATTTTAACAACAGTAAAATGAACTGCATGTAATAATAAGGCCTTGTGGTGGTGGCCATAGGAAAGCAGAACGCTACAACCATTTACTGGAAATGTTTATCTTCTGAGCTGCTCTGGTCTACACATTACTGTATTAATTACCAAATAAAGTATTAGCAATGCTATTATTCATTTCCTTCTAAATTACACATATCCCAATTATAATATAGTCCAGGGACATCTCTTAATATACTAAAAAATGAAGTTAGTTCAAAACTGTAAATCTTGACATTATGTTTCAAAAAATCTTGTAAAACTAATCCATGCTAAAAATATAAAACAAAATGGAAGTTTGTCGTCAGTTTTTTTTCTAAATCCAGATTTTTTATTGAACTAGATCAGGGGTCTCCAAACTTTTCAGTCCGAGGGCCGCATTGACTATCGAATTTCAGTTTAGGGGCCAGTTTCTTCCTGACATGTCTTTGATTTTTCTGGGTAAAGTTCCTCAGCCATCACCAACAAACGGTTTTTCCGTGGACAAAAATGATCTCCGCGGGCCGGATGAGAGGACCTCGCGGGCCGCATCCGGCCCGCGGGCCGTAGTTTGGAGACCCCTGAACTAGATGTAAGCAGTTATACAAAAAATAGAACATTTGTATGACAAATGGCTTCTGTAGTAAAATGGTTAAAAATTTGTTTTGTGGTATAAGCTATACATGTCACTAGGTTTCACATTAAATACATTTCAATTTCTTCATACTGTTATGTTAAATTCATCTGTGAAAGTGAGACTTTTAGCTGAGTTGATTCCACCTTTTTTGCCAGGTTTTTAAGCAGCCATGGCCAGGAATTATGCGAACTGTATTTGGAAATCATGAAAGATTTGAGATTACCTACTTCAAAAAATTCCCTGGTTATTACACTACGGGTGATGGTAAGTACTGCAGTTTACTGTCTTGCTTAACTTGTTTGCTATGAAAGCCTTTTCCAGAACCTTCTCCAGATACTAAATTAGGAGAGATAATCCCTAACCACTTTTGTTTGAAATTATTCTAAAAATATGTTTGTCACGCATTATTATTAAAAATCATAAAATATACTTGATACAATAAAAATGTTATATTCAAAGAAATTCTGTTGTTCATAGCAATATTTAATTATCTATATTAGTGGTGCAAGTATGAGGTGTGAGTCTTCCTCAGGAACATTTTTGTAATTATTATTATTGTATAGGTTCTATTTAATTAGCTGATTCCATATAATAAATTAAAAACTACTATAATGCAGAAGCATTTGCAGAAACTCAACATAGAGTAAAATAAGAAAAAGATCTTGTAATATATATTTAAGCATGAACAGCTTAGAGACCCTTTTTGCATAATAATAATTAATAAAAACATGATGGGTAATAACTGTTAGATGTGACACATTAGTAGCAAATGTTGAACCTTCGCAAAAAAAATTCTTAATTTTATGAGTCTCTATTGGCTAATATTATCACTTACTTTTGTTACTATATTTTATACTCACTACTAATCTAAGGTGCGAAGAGGGATGAAGATGGCTACCTGTGGATAACAGGACGCATTGATGATATGGTGAATGTGTCTGGCCATTTGCTCAGTACTGCTGAAGTGGAGTCCGCACTTATTGAACATGAAGCTGTATCTGAGGCAGCTTCTGTATCCCATCCTCACCACATCAAAGGAGAATGTATTTACTGCTTTGTTACTCTTAAAGAGGTGATTTCAATTATTTCTCTGTTTAACTAGAGACAATAGGCTAAGTTTAATTATTTACACCATTAGTCATCTTTAAATAATTTCTGTCCCCTTAGTTAATTTTGTTCCCTTTACTGTAACATATTTTTTTTCCCTTTAATTGAATAGAATTTCTAAAAATGCATCTAAATCTATAATGGGCCACGTTCGCACATCTCTCTCTCTCTCTCTCTCTCTGTCCGCAAAAAATTTTCGCCGGACATCACGTCAGAAACGGCAGCGATATATGGAGAACTTTATACGGACTTTTGTTGAAAATAATATGTTAGATGTTTTAAATGTATAACCACAATTTTATTTAAAGAAGAAAAATATAAAATAAAGGCGTATTCGAATGTAGAGAAACAGTATTATTTATGCAACCGGAAAAGCATTAATAGATGTGTAAAAGAACGCATAAAACTGTGACGACACTATTGCTTACTAATGACGCCATCTGCCGTGTTTAGAATAAAAAAGAAATGAACTATTTCATTCAAATTTGATTTAGATCTACGTACACTATGAAATGTATACAATACAATTTTTCCGGCCTAAACTCATAACATTTATTTATACAAAATCTTTGTTTGGAACTGGCTAATTTGGGATAAAAAAATTAATTTGAAAGAATAGGCATATTCGCGTAAGTTAAGATTTTAAAATACGTCTTTCATTCTCTGCATTTTATAAGGTGCCTAAATAGCGGAGATGTTAGTGTACTATAAACCACGCAGGTGGTGCGGGTTCGAGACACACCAAGTCAACTTGGTTAATGTATTTTTTTTTTAAATTTTGCTCGGACTAAACTTAAAAATAAAAATTCAATTAGGATTCTAGATCTAGATCTAGATTGTCGGGTGTCCGATAAGGCACTTCCCGGCGCCGCAGGCGCTTCAAATTTGGCAGGATCTTGCCTTGGGGCGACAGAGCACGGGGGCCGGTTGGCCGAAAAGTCTACGATGAAGGGGTCAAAACTGACCTCGACTGACCGGTACCTTATATGAGCTATAAATCGAAAAAAAATGTCCACGGAGGAACCTCTTCATAACTCTTGAGGTCGTAGACCGACCCTCGGGCGAATTAATTAAGCATTCAAATTCTCAATGTTTTCGAAAGCCTAAGCGAAGCTGGGCAGCATGCCTAGTTATTATATAAATATGTATTCTCATAGTTTTAAATAACTGATAAGCTTATGTGATTTAGTCAAACACTCCCTGGGTAAACATTTGGTCATCTTATATTAAATTATTACAATATTCAATAATGAACAGATTGGCTCCACTTAAGTACAGTATTGTTTAGTGTATTATTATTAGTCAAAAAACACAGTGGGTTATAAAATAAAACGTGAAAACTTTATTGTTTACAGGGTGAAGTTTTTAATGATGATCTTGTTAAAGAGTTAACAGCTGCTGGTAAGAAATTTAAATATTTTATTAACAGAGTTTAAGTGTACCAGACAAGCTTTTTAAGTAATGACTTTAAAAAAAGATATGGATGTTGATGTAACATTTTGCCCTGATATTATCACCTATCTTTTTTACTTTAGATAACTACCTGTTTTGATTTATATGTTGATTTATGTTTTTACTTTTTATAGTGAGATCGAAAATAGGGCCATTTGCTCAACCGGACTATATTCAGCATGCACCAGCACTACCCAAAACCAGATCTGGAAAAATCATGCGCCGCATTTTACGCAAGATTGCTGTCAATGATAGAGATATTGGTGACACATCTACTTTGGCTGATGAATCTGTTATTGAAACTCTGTTCAACTTAAGACCTAAGGATGCTTAAAGATTAGCATGGTGGATATTTTACAGGTCTTAGTTTTACCTGTGGGTTGTAATTGAAGGTTGGTTATTTATTTTAAAAGTTAGACTAACCATAGTATGAATGTTTATAAAAATATATATTTTATCATATGGTGTGTAGGAAGTTTTACAACTTTATTGGTTTAAATTTGCTCTGTAATTGTTGATTGTGATTAGAGATAGCAAGTCAAGTTCCTCTTTACAATCCATAGTCAGATTAAATAATCCATACATTGTTTTTAAAAATTTTGCTCTGATGTCCATTGACATAGGGCAGGAAGCATTCCCTTTGTCACAAGATTTGAGATAATGCTGAATTTTAAAAACATTTTATGCTTTTTGTTTAAAAAAAAATTGTTGAAAGATCATTAACCATTTCATTTATAATGCAAAATGTTTTGAATGTTATATTCTATCAATGTTGAATTTTTGTTTGCTAGTTGACTAAATATCAATTATTCATCTAATATATCAACTCACATACCAGGATCAAACATTAAACCGACAAATTTTTACCATATTGTATTATTATTCTATTCATGTAACCATTGATACAATAGCTACTTCTATTTTTATTACATAAATGTTATGTTAGAATTAATGCATTTTATTGTTGTAAAACTTGCAGTTAGCCAAAAAAAAATGTTCTGTGTTTTAGATACCATAGTTGGCTGTTCATTATTCTAAGGCATTAGGAAAGTAATTTTTACACGTAGTAAAAGAATTAAGAATTTGTCATTATTTTTTAATGAAGTATGAACGTTTTTTGACTTTGGGAAAGGTGTTTCTCATCTAAAGCTTGTCTACTGATGTAACAATTTTTAAAAAACCTGCACATTTTGCACTAGCATGTTCAAAATTAATTTTGCTCTACTTTGTACATATGGGACATACATATTTTATACCTTATTTACAATGAAATATTGAACACAGATTTTTTTTAAAAGTTAATTTTACATGAATAGGAAGGTTTAAGAAGACTAATATTAATAATACTAACATGCAACACAGCTTTCTTGCATTTTTAAAATGTGAACAAAGTGAAATGTTAACTACATGATCATCGTAATTAATAAACCAAGATTTTAAACATGCAAATCTTGCCAGTTGACATGCATTCTCTTAGTCTCACATGCCTTTAGTATTTGTTGGTTAATGACATGAATGACCAATTTGAAGTATCATTCCATCATATCAGCAGTGTTGGACCATGTGTTACCACGACTGCATTAGATATCTTTAGTAGAATTTCATCTGGTGCTTTTCAACAGGGGTGCTGCTTTCTTAACCAGCCTTATCCACTTACAGATATCATGATCAGTGTGTTCAAATGTTCTGCAACATTCACTTCTTGGGTCACAATGTCTAAACTTACTAAGGCTAGACTATAGCTGTACAAAAATGTGTGCAGGTTAAGTATTAAACATTTTATGCAAATCATTCAAGTATTTGAAAGTATTGTCTTACTGTAAATTTGTATCTGGGTTTACAGAATCTTGTTTAGATATTTACATGATTTCACTTGAATCTCATGAAAATGCAAACAAAATCTTTTCAATCAAGCATTTTAAAAATTTAAAGTATTTTTATGATGATACCACACACAATTATTAATAGAAAAATAATTATTTGTGCAAGCAATACTTAAGGCAAACATACTATGTATCTTGTATTTCAGCTTCAATGTCTGCATTATTTTTTTAACATAGAATTGTAGACTATATATATGAATAACATACTAAATAATTCACGAATTTTACAAGTGAGATTTTACCTATGCTATTGAGAAGTATATTCTTAAAATACGAAAATATTTATTACTTTTGAAATCTTGAAGTTGTGGATTTGTTCTTAAGATTGATGCAATTATTTTTAACTTGCCCATTAATAGTGCCTTTGTTTATAGATTCTACTGTTGAGGGTTTTGTCAGCCTGATTAGCTATTGCAATTATTTTGAAGACCTGTCTCCTACAACCTCATCTACTTCTGTTGCTCCCCCCCCCCCCCTCCAAGGTTGTTTTGTACATTTAGAAATAATTATAGCAATCTGTTCCGGTTTTAGAACAAAGAAATCTGTTATGTGAACAAAGTGAAACCCAAAACCACACTTCAACTATTTGTATGTTTTTGGATGGTAAATCCGACAGAAAACAACAACTGAAGGTTATTTTTTTTTGCATGTGGTAAAATATAGCAAGCAATATGAAAACTTTTTTGGTGTATTAAAATTAAATACAGCATCAGGGTTAATAAAGGGACAGCATTTAGAAGCAAAATGATCTTTTTCTATCATTATTATATATATTCCAGCATATTTTTTTAATCAGCAGTACATTAAATGGAAAAATATTTTGCATAAAAATTTCACAATACTCTGAAATACTTATCCTTTTACCAACTGTGCAATGAGTTTTTAAATGGTTTATTAACTGTTTCTTTGTTAATGTAGTCTACCATGTGAAGGCTAGAGATGAAACATTATTAGCTGTTTGTACACTTTAAAAAATGTTACATTTTAGCTGTGTATCCAATGTTACCTGCATGAAAAATTAAAAGTAAGAATAGCATTTTTAGCTTAGAAAAGTGTTCTTGTGTTTGCTTGATTATTTTTTTTTTTAAAAGCCATGCCTCCCATTCACACTTGACACTTTTCAGAATGTTAAAACAATGATTTAAATATATTATCATGATTACAACACTGAAAATTGTAGTGGACGTAAAAAAGAATCAAAAGAGTTTCTTCAGTTTTATTTTAATGATAAAATGCAGAAGTAAAACAAGTAAAGCTGATCAGTGGTGTAGTTTTTCACTTTCAAAGTCTTAAGTAGAAATAAAACAATATTAGAAGTGCAAATTGCCTTACTTTATACATAGAAATTAAAATGATTTATTTTATAGATATGCATGTTCTGTTATCTGCTTGATTCATGGCAAGTGGAATAAACATATAGGCCTACTATGAACATTTATTTATCCTATTATAATTTTATTACATTGGAAGAATAACCTCCCTTGAGGTGATCATTATAAAAATGTTATTTTAGATAAGTAAAAATTATTGGCTTCTTTGCCCATGTAAATAAGAGAATGTAGTACAAATAAAAAAAAGTACAAATAATTTTTTTAAAAACCTAAAGATACAAAAAATAATTATTAAAATGTCTTTTTCAATAATAAGCATGCAATACTTGCATGAACAATAATTATCACAAATTATTTTAAGTAAAAGCCAATTGTATATTTAAAAAATGTACAGTTAATTAAAAAATGCAAGTAATTTTGAAAGAATGCCTTAATAATTAGATCTACATGTATCTACTGACACAATACAATTTTAGTGATATAATTTACATATTAGGGTATACTAAAATCATAATCAAGTTATTTCTATTACTATTATGGCCTGTTTGGCTTAATAAAACATTATCAACAACATTTTCCTTAACAACTTATTAGCAAAATGACATCAATTGAAGGTGGTGATGTCAAAGATATCTTTGAAAAGTTTAGCCTTCGCTAATCTTAGATACATAAATAAAAAAAATAAAATCAAGCAAGTTTTAATGCTGTCAGAAATTACCTGGAGATAAAATGTGCTTAAAATAATTAAAACATACTTTTAAGTTACAAAAACATAAAAATCAGTAAAAGAATGTATTTTAAATCAAATAAGAACCAATAATTTTTTTCTAAACAAAAAATAGTATGGTTAACAATGATCTTAAATTGATTATGTATTGACACCTGCAACACAACATACTTTTAGTTAACACGTGTTCTGCTAGAAGGTGTACTATTTGTTTTAATCAGGTTGTCAGTTTCAGTAACAGTCAAAATGATTACATATAGAAAAGAAGCATAACTGTCATCAACAGATGTTATTTCTTAACAGAACAAACATTGACACTTATGTTTAAAACAATCAGCAAGCATGACTTTTTAAGACTGGTTGTCTTTAAGTGAAAAAACTTAAGTAGGTGATTTACAACAAAGTAAAGTAATCAATTATCACAAATTTTAAAAATTAAATAATTTATTTTGTATTATGCCAGTTCTAAGGCAGCCTACTTGCTTATATATTATAAAACAGAGAAACAAATTTAGAACACTCTGACCTCTACTTTGAAGGTTTCCATATAAGGCTGTAGAGTAAATCAGTCCTGAGTGATGAACTTTTTAACAATTTCACTTGGTTCTTCCTCATCCACCAAGACACTAGAATTTGTGTTCAGGAGCTGCAGATAGTAAAAAAAAGTATTTCCAAACATGAGACAATGAACTTTATATGGTAAGTGATCATGTTGTAAGGATTTCACACGAATTGTGTGTTTCTGTCTGGACCACACACATAACATTGATACATGTTAAAAAATATCAAAACCCCTTAATTAAATTATACATTAATAGAATGAAATAAAAATAAAATATAACTGACCTCTGGGTATATGCTGTCTATAAAAATTTTATTTATGTAAGTATATCTTCTACCATGATCTGATGCCATATTCTTTTTCTTGCACATTTCTGCATGATTTAGGTATTCTTCAAGGCTGTCAGTTGAATAGGTACAGTTCTTTGGACAAAACAATAAGAGTTGTGTAATTCCAGTGGTCTCAGAACCTGTGATATCAATGGCACACAATCCTTCAGAATGCTGCCTCACTATATGCTTTTTAACTGATATGCTTGCATCACTTTTGTAGCTGCAGAGCCAGCATTTGTAACTATTACTAGAAAGATCTGTAGAATCTTGTTTTTTTGCTTTCTTGCCAGACTTTTTGGTATTTTGAACAGTTGATTGTTGTTCACTTTTGGCTTCTTTCTTTTTAGTTTTCCTCCGTGTACACTGTCTTTTCTGTGTTTTTTCTATTGGCTGCTCTTCTTCTGATTCTAAGTCATTCCCTTCCGATGCTATGGAGTGTGGTGTTTTCTTCTTTTCTGACGTAAGCTGTTTATTTTCATCAGCCTTTTCATTGTAACCCTTTTGAGGAGGCCTTTCTTCAATAGTGTTGTCAGGTTTTGTTTCTGTTTTCAGGTGCGATGTGCTTATAGGAGTTAAAGAAAGAGACAAGGTGCGTGGCCTTTGTTCACCTACTACTGGGCTTTCAGTTGATTTTTTTACTGGATCATCAGGTAGCGGACGTGATTTCTCTTGACCACGCTCAAGTGGCAGGTTGTCTGGCACTCTGGGCATTTCACTTGGTCCACTAGAAGCGATTGTTAGGCTAGGAGGATTTTCTTCATAAATGGCTTGTTTTTCTGTTGACTTTTCCCCTATATAATCACAATGTGGTTTCTGTTGGTCAAGCTGAGGTGGCAGGTTGGGAGGCAGTAATGAGTTAATTACTGCATTAGCTGACCTTTGTGTATAAATGAGTTTATTTGTCTGTTGTTTTGACTGTAATGGCCTTGAAAAATCTCTGTTTGGAGTTTTCCTATTACTTTGATCTATAACAGTTTGAGTAGATTTAATATTATCAACTGTTTGATTAGAAAAATTTGGTTGATTTATGTTTTTCCTGATCTCACAATGACTAACTCTTATGGATTTAAGATTGGCTATGGCAGAAAAAATAACCTGCTTTTGTATTTGCGTACACTTTGAGACATGTTCAGCAATTTGAGCTTCCACACAAGTCAAAGTTTGGCAGTTGGCTTGTGGACACATGAAGTACAGCTGCCCTGAAGATATATTGGTTAAAGGAATCAGAACAGAGTTGCTATGGCTGGATTTCACATGCATCTTTAGCTTGCTTAAAAATCCTTGGTCTTGTCCACAGTGTAAACAAACATAAGAAAATTTCAAGGTAGATGCAGGAATGGGAGTATCTTTTTGCTTCTGTGTGATTGGCTTATTTTTTGTGTCTTTGGCTGCACCAATTTGTGAGAAGTGGTCCATCAAATCACTGTCATCAAATTTGATTCTTTTTGGTTGGGAGTAATGTGGTGTTTTCTCTTTGTTCTGATGGGGATCTGCTGTCTCATATGTGTGGGTATACGGTGCTTGCTGTTGTCTACTATTCCCTCCTGAAATAGGTATTCTTTCATTATAGGAGTTATAACTCCTTATGGCAGAAGGTGGGTGTTTCTCAACTGGCACAAATTCTGTGGGTATACTTTGTTTAGCTCCTTGATCAACACCTACAGGTGGTACTTGAACAAAAGCACGCTGTTGGACAGGAGGTAAAAAACCTTGTTTACTTTTCACATCTGGATAATTCCTAATAATGTTACTGTGAGTGCTTTGTACGTTCTGAGTTTCCAGGCTATAGTCATTTGGCATTATCTGTCGGTCAGCTGTTACATTATTCTCATGATTAACACTGTTTGACACAGAGTTTTTGGCAATGTTCTGTGTGTATGTGCTAGAAGGCTGATGGTGACTGTATGATTCACTGAAGTCTTTAACCCCTGCTAGTGACTGATTCTTCAGAGTAGCATTGCCATGACCACATGAACAGTTCTCATGAGACTTGTTTAAAGATGAGCTTTGGTTCTTTTCTAACTGAGTTGAGCTATTTTGCAGAAAGGCATTATTAGCAACTTTAAAGAAATTTGATAGTAGACTGATCACTTCATTACTGGAATCACATTTGCACTGATGCTTGTCAATGGTTGCTACAGGAAAATTGTTGTGAAATGGTTGGAGAGTATTTAAGTTTTGATTTGAAAAAGAAGGAGGAGAAAGCATCTCATTAACAAATAAATTATTATCTGACATTGATTTGTAAAATATGGCATCTTCTAATCGAATCTGAGAGCTCATTTGTCTTGTAACCACAACAGGACATACTTTAGCTGGGAAGTTTCCATGCTTACTTTGCATATGCAGCTGTAAAATCTCAATACTATAGGTTAAAAATGGACACAGTTCACACCCATAGCATTTGTCTTTATCTGCTTGAACATGAATATAATTCAATGCACTATGTGATAAATTTAAATCTTGTGGACTTTGATTAAAACTGACTTTATCAAGTGCACAGACTTGCATTTTGTCCCTTGAGGGATAATTCTTTTGTGCTTTTGAATTATTTATAACTTGTTCACTGGGCATTGCATCATGGACATTCTCTTCAAGATGTTTGTTTAGTTCAACAAATGTTGTTGTAGTGAATGGGCAAAATGCACAAGAGCAAAGTGTCACCTCCAACTCTGTAGATTCTTCTTTTATTTCTGGTGAAGGGTTGTCAGTGAAAACTAGTGTACCAGGAGCTACCTCTAAATTTTGAAAGTCTGTTAGACTTTTCATACCATCTGGGTGGTTGATTTCTGTATTTTCACAATACATATTTTGTGTTTACCTGCTCTAGATCTAAATAGAGACAAAAACAATAAATACTGTCGAATATTGCTCATTAAAATAAAATGAAATAAAAAAAAAAAAATTTTATAAATCATTTTTAAATGCAGGATATTTTGCTCCTGATAAACAATAGTAATAAATACGGCCTATTTAATATTTATCACTTATGTAATATGTATTAGATATGTCTAGAGTCTAGATCTACTTTTAAACAAACTGAAAACATTGAAATTGAGGGAATACAAAATGGTAATTTTCTAAATTTTGCTCCTCTTTCAACACATTGTCAAACCACTGTTTTAGTGTTTTTATTTAAAATAATGGATTCTGTTTTTGATATTAGATCTAGATCTGGAACTAGAATCTATTTTTGCGCTAATAATGAGTGGTGAACAATATAAAGTATCATACACCACAAACATAATGAATATCATTGATATTATCAATGATTGAGTATGAGATTAGCAGATTTGAGATAGATTGTGTCATTAGAACCTTACTTAATACTAGTAATACTAGACCACTAGAATTCACTAGATACTTACTATGGACTAAAAAGTCGAGTGTAGGTCAAGTAAAGAGCCTGTAGTAACTAGTTTGGCCTACGTATAGATCTAGATATTAGATTGTAGATCTAGATGTAGTAATACTCTATGTATATCTCTATATTCTATATGTAATAGACAGGGGAGGCCTTAAACCTTAGCCTAGGCATAAACGTATACAGAAAGGAATAGGCGGCAAAAAAATATAAAAACATAGATTTGCTTTAAACATCAATGTAACAAACAACAAGCGAAAGTCAGATCTACTGGTTTTTACAATTTAGTTAAAAACCACTGGCAGCTAATAGAATGTAAATCTAAATGTATAATATTAAAATAACTATTTATCAAAACGTTTTTGAAAGTTATGCATTAATGTGAGCTAATTTTTAAAAATGTGTCATTGTTTAATTGTTTCGGTAAAGAATGAAACCTCAAGGGAATTTTTTTGGCGCGTTCATTATCATAATATATGTACTTAAATTCTAACAGGTTCTTAGGCCTAGGGCCTAATCTTATTCCGTTTTTTAGCTTTAGCCTAGCTAATAATAGTTAATTAGTATTGGGGTCTTGTCCTGTTAGGCCCTAAACCCCCGCCACTAATGCAAAGACTGTACGCGCGAATAGTTACGTCCGGCCACTTCTTGCCAGCTACAATTTAATCTTGAGGGTTAAAGGTAAAGTTAACAAAATTAGCGAAAATACCGGACAGTGAAGTCTCGAGTTCAAACCCACTGGCAGATAAATCTCGATCCCCTTCAACACTAATAATTAAGAACGAAGAAGAAGAACCGGACAGTGGCGTGCAGAGCTATTTTGATGCCTGGGGCCAAGCCAAGGGAAGATGTCATAACCCCCCCCCCCCCATAGACCCCTCGGTATATATAAAAAGTATAAGGGGGGGGGGGTGCAAATCGAAAGTTTGAGGGGGGGTGCAAACCGAAAGTTTGAGGGGGGGGGGTGTGCAAATCGAAAGTTTGTCCCCGGGTAAAAATTGGAACCCCCCCCCTGACGATCCTGGCTACGCCACTGATATATATATATATATATATATATATATATATATATATATATATATATATATATATATATATATATATATATATATATATTACGGTGTTAACGTGTTAATAGCTGTACAATTGAAGATACATTACAATATGCATTGTTATTAAACAGAGTACAAATAGAAAAGCATTAAAAAATTGACTTACCTAAACTCTTCTAAACACTGCGTACAGGTAAATGACTGACTCAACAAATGTAAAAAAGGGTAGAATTTCTGCGAGGGAGACAGTTTGGGGGCATGCCGGAAGAGGTGGGGGGGGGGGGGAAAGGGGGGATATTTTGCATGCCCTACAAAAGAGTTTCCAGTTTTACATTGCCCTAGCGGACAGGGCTGCGGTCACAGGGTAAGGTATTCTTTGTTGAATTAAATTGGGAAAAAAATAAAGGTCAAAGTTCACCATTATTGATTGTTACAATTGAGACCACGGTTGATGTAAGTGAGTTATCACCCACCTGAACTGCGACAGGAAGACATTAGTGTCACACCTCAGTGTGTGCAGGTTCGCCGGGTAATTGTTTGACCTGAAATGGCTGGCGATGGGAGGACTTGAGTGAGCCGCCCCACCCCACCCACATTAAGCCTGGTATGTAAATTTGGGGAAAAAAAACGTAATGTGGGTAGTCGGATACGTAGGAATAAAGCGACTCATCTTGGTAAAAGAAAAACAAAACTCGATACATTGAGAAAATATCGATACTCGTCTTAAAGAACAGCTATCTCTGCTTGTGCGCTTTGTCGATGTTTCACGTTGTAACTTTTAACCTGTGGAATGTTTCATTGAACCTTTGTATCGCTAAAGACACAACAGGCAAAGATATTTAACTGACGAGTAATATGGCTTAGAGATTAGTTAATGTCGAGGTCAGATATATGATAATGAAGCTAATATGAAAGGAAAACGACATGATTATAATTTTATATCGTCGTCATAATATTAATTCGCTTTGAGAAGAAGAAAAAACACTACTTTTCCAAATTGGAGGAAAAGGTTTCGAACACTTAGAATACTAGATTCGTACACTATTTCCCTGAATTGATACAACCTTACTGTACATGTTGAAGACACCAATGGTAAACCTTGGTCCCCGCGCTATGGGTCGGCCCTAGGCCCATAGGCTCCACGTATAACGGCTACCAGGGCCGTTATAGCTTCCACCATAAAATCAAAGTGGACTCATATTCTACTGATGGCTCTACTATTTATAAAAATCATTTCTATGTAAGCGCCCATTTACTTTACAGATAGCTCTACTTTGCATTAAAATACTTTAACTTTAGCACGCCTTTTACCATGCCCTACAGTTCATATAAAACGATAAGGGCACAATTATTTTAAATGATATCACTACAATGTATAAGAAAACAATAATGCATATTCTTAAGCGTGTCCTTATAGTGTCTCAAAAAACAGTGTGGGCATTCTTTTTCTTTAGTATATTCATATAATAAATCAAAACGAATAAAGGATGCCCCTGCAATTTATAAAAAACAATATGGATGTAATTACTCTGCAAATGCCCTTAAATTTTACCCAAATTTTTTTAAAATTGAAAATTATGATGGGTATAATTACTGTATGGATGCCCTTTAAATATATGCATATAAGCATACTTACTTCAACTTACTGAACATTCATTATACATTGGTTGCTGATGTTAGTGGACTAGCTAGTAAGGGTTAGATTGAGTTCAAAATTAACATCGTTTAGTTACATCACTTTTAAGTGATGACGCCTGCATACCAGTAATTTCATCAAACAGCAGTTTTTGTAAAAAACCAATACATGGCCTTTTTATAGGATAATCTATTGGATTATTTAAGGTGATATGATTAAAACTAGAGAAATATTAGTAAATTAAAGATTCTCACCAGACAAATTAAGACTCAATAACGTTTTTTGTAAAGCTTTAATGATTTAAAATTATAATATGCTATGATCTGACAAATAATATATTATATATATGATAAACAACAGAAAATTATTTACTTTCTGACAGACAGCTATAAAAAAAAAACAATATTATCCATCATAACAAATATGTAATTGTTATCTGTTAAAATTAAATTATCAGATAAAATTAGCATGTAGTTTTAAACAAGCTTCAAACATGGTACTGTGACGTAAATTACAGCAGTCCTCACACGATTGGGTGATGGGGGTTAAATGAAGATATGGGGGGCCTACTTTGGTGAAAGATCATACATGTTAAACTTAACTGTAAACTATTTTTAAAAGCTTTAAACCAAATAAAAAACTTTCAAAAGAAACTGTTTTCCTATACAATGCATGCACAGAATAAAAATAAAGTTTTTAAGGCATAATAAAACTGCTGAAATCAGATCCTTGAACAGAGCAGGCTGTACTAAGCTGGTAAATGTTTTTAAAAATCTTGATAAAATACAGTTAGAACGATTGAGTTACATAAAGTTAAGAAAGATTCAATGAGGATAACGCAGCCATGTTGCCACGTATACATTATTCACTGAAACTCTGTGGGTATTTATTATGATTCATTCATATAGAGAAGGCTTTATGCATCCAATAGTTCACTTGACCAGACTAGAGCCAGGAACCCAATACAAAACTGTTCTTAAGTTTACTCACAAATACAATACAACCATTAGAACACAGCTTGCCAATAATGACAGTTTTAACATGCTCAACAAATTAAACAGGTAAATGCAATGAGCATTTTTGTATTAAAATCAACTTACCAAAAAATAAAATCAATTATGGCATACTTTGCTTAGCATTCTCCATCATGTTGGAAAAAAAATACCAGAGAATAGTAAATGTTATGGACGAGTCTTTCAAAACAAACATTTACCGACTATAAATGATGTCACATTTTTACCTCCAATAAGCAAAAATTAATCTTTTTCATCACTTTTGTTTTAAAAAAATGCTACATCATATTTGACCCCCCTATCCAATAATCATTAAAAAAGTCTTAAGCCCTCCTAGTGCAGGCATTATTCATGGTTGACCCCCAAGAGAGTACAGCAAAATATACCAGTTAAACAATCACCAACAACCCTAGAAAGATAACAAAGAGATAAAAAAAATGTCAGGAAATAAGAAAGCTGGAAAGGCTAGGACCTTTTCAAAAAGTGCCAAAAATCAGATGGTACAAATGTAAGAGATGAATATCAAAAGCTTAAAAAAAAAAAACTAAAAAAAAAAGAGCTCAGAAATATGTTCTTTCTAGTAGTTAGGGAATCTTGCACTCATAGGATGCTTTGTTTGAAAATTAGATTGTCTGAACCATTGTCTAGACTCTAGACAATTAATATAGAACAAAATACATTATTTATACATGTGTAGATGGTAAATGCTCAATTTGGCAAGTTTCATAAAGAATCCAGCCATTGTGTTACACACAATTTTTATTTCAGTTTCAATAAAAATGAACCTTGCTTCTATTTTATATTAATCAGTCAATAAATGTATTAAAAATTAAAAAAAAATACCATAGTTAATTTTGTGAGGAAATGAATGAATTTAACTACCCATGGAGTCAAGACAGAGATTTTTTCTCTCTAAAAAAACAAATCCCAATTTGCAATATCTAAAAATAGCTATTTAGTCTTACTCTAAGCTTGATGAAATTGCTCAAAGATTTCTAATTTGTAAGTCTGAAGGTTAGGTAATATGAATAAATGTAATTCTGTTATCAGAAACATCTTTTGAAGAAATAATTTTTTAAAGTGGCAAAAATTGTGCCTACCAGTAACTTGCAAATTATACAGAAAAATAGGGATTGCTATTGTTATTTGCTAAAACTACATACTGCAAGCAAGGATACAGATCTATATCCTTGATGGCAGTATCTAAATTTAGCTAATAAAGTCAAAAGTGATTAATCTCTTTTAATCTAGCTAAAAAAAATGTAGCTAAAAATGTTTTGTTGAATTTATATTTCAGATGGGATTACAATCAACGGAAGTTTTGTTTGCGTCAGCAGTTACATTATTAAAGTTATGCATCAACTCCCTGCTTTAAAATGTCTTCTAACCTAAAGTAATATTTGAAAATAAAATCAAATGTGAATACTTATTGAGATAGAAAAATATCATAAAGTCAAACTAAAATAAATTTAAAATTAACAGGTCAGTATCTTTTAAAATTGAGATGTACAGACTTTAAAAAAATATTTAAAAGCTTATGTTCTATATTTAACTTTAAAAATGATAGAACTAAGCAACATTGCTTTAAAATTAGAAAAAAAATAACAACAAAAAACCTCTTTACATTTGTAAAGATCAAACAAGTAACATGTAAGTGTAGAGTATATATTCTACTAGAACAGGGCAATTCATCCATCTTAGTTAATTAGAATCCTAATTAAAAATACTGAAGCAAATATAACATAAATAATATAGGAACCATGTTATTACAGAAAAACAATGTAAGAAGTCCCTTTTTCAATCATGATAAAAAAAAATCATGTCCTAGTAAGAGCTATTTTTGATTAGTTAAATAACAGAATTAGAAAAAAGTCAAGTTTTAAGAACAAAAGTACCCATGCAGCAATAAATTTATCAGGAAAAAAAACACTTAATGAGTACAATATGGTTACTCTAAACATATGGTGCCATTATCTTCTACTGTGTAATCTTCTTGAATATTACTGAAACTCTGGTTTTGGTGAGGAGGTGATGAGTGACTTTCATGAATATGTCTGTAAGTATGAGGAGTGTACTTCAAGTTTTGACTTGGGCTCACAGTGTCACGAGAAGGGTTAACAGTCCTTTGAAATGTTGCTGGACGGTGCAAGACTCCAGCAGGGCCAGACATTTGATGCTGCTCTGACCCATAGCGGAGCTGACCACTGTTATGGACCTGGTGTTGCCCCAACGTATGCTGGGGTTGACCAACAGAACCTGTGTTATGGACCTGGTGCTGCCCCGACGTATGCTGGGGTTGACCAGACGTATGCTGGGGTTGACCAACAGAACCACTGTTATGGACCTGATACTGCCCCAACGTATGCTGGGGTTGACCAACAGAACCTGTGTTATGGACCTGGTGTTGCCCCGACGTATGCTGGGGTTGACCAACAGAACCTAAGTTATGGACCTGATGCTGCCCCGACGTATGCTGGGGTTGACCAACAGAACCAGTGTTATGGACCTGATGCTGCCCCGACATATGCTGGGGTTGCCCCGACGTATGCTGGGGTTGACCAACAGAACCAGTGTTATGGACCTGATGCTGCCCCGACATATGCTGGGGTTGACCAGGTGTATGCTGGGGTTGACCAACAGAACCTGTGTTATGAAGAGGCTGTTTAAAAGTCTTGGATTGTGTAGCCTTCAGCTGCTGGTAATAATATGGCTGTGGTGCTTTAGGATGCACACCAGGTTGCATTTCCTTTTCTCTGTGCTGCACCGGCAAGCGTGAGGCAGTATTGGGTGTTCTGGCCGCTGGTGGAAAGTGTGAAGGTAAGTGCTGATTTTGCATCATTCTGTGCTGCGGAGTAGGCATTGGCCTGCTGAACATAGGGTGCTGCTGTGAAGATGCAGGAACATTTTGTTGGCTCAAGTTTTGTCTATTTAAACTTAAATCTTCAGGTAAGGCTTGGTGGGTATTATTTAGATGAGTACCAACAGAGGAAGGATGGGGGAGTTGAGAGCGCTGCTCTGAAGTTACTGTGTTCCCATCTGGGGAAAATGTAGCAGAAACCTCAGCTTGACCAGGATCCACAACTGGCTTTTTCTTCCTCTTCCTGGGCTTGGAGGGATCTTTAGCTACTGGCTTCTTTTTGGAAGTCTCCAACAAGACTTTTGGCTCAGTATTTATTAACTGTGGAAATTTAAAAACATGAGTTTTACACAATAAATATAAACTCAAATAAAAATAAAACTTATTCTAAATCAGCCCAAGATTAAAAAAAATTTTTTTTTCATCAGCTAACTTTATTGGGAACTTTAAAACTAATTTCTATGCCAACAGTTTTTCCTACTCAGCAAGTACTCACCTCAGGATAAACACAATCAATGAACGTTTTGTTTTTCTCCAACACAGCATCTCCATTCTCTTTCTGCACTGGTTTCTCACAGCTCTCTACATGGCTTTTAAATCCTTCCAGGCTGAACGTGGCATACTTGCAGTCCCTGGGACAGTACAACAATAGGTGCAATGATCCTGTCTCTTCAGTTTGTAACACATCCACTGAACACAAACCTTCCTGATGCTTTTTTAACAAATGCACTTTGGCACAGCCACATTTCAGGAAAATTTTTTTGCACAGCCAGCATTTGTATTTTCCTTTAGTTGATGTATTGTAGGCTGTTGGGTCAGGTGCTGGCTTTGTTTTCTTCACTTTTTTCTTGTTGGAATGCAGCTCACTCTGCCATTTCTTATCACTATCCGAGTCATCATCATCGTCATCATCAAAATTAAACTCTTCATCTTCATCTGACAGATCATCTATACTGGCCCTATAGTCACTAAGAATAACCTTACGTTTTCGATCCGATCGCCTAACAAAGATCTCTGTATTTTCAATCACACTTTCATCCTTTTCAGGGGTTTTCAACATTTCTTCTATTTTGTCAGTATTTTCTGGTAGTTCTTCATTCAATTCACTTGCTGGTTCCACATTTAAAGACTCAGAAGCTTCCTTATCTGTGGGTTCATCAACTAAGCTACCAGAAATTTCAATTGCTGCTTTAGTTGAGTCATTGTCAGCCGTCTTTTCTTCATCTTTCTTTTCAGCCACAACTTGAACTTTAACCCCCACTTCTGCTTTCTTCCTAGGCCTTCCTTTTTTGGTAACTTTCAATACAAGTTTACCAGTTTTCATGTCCACAAGCTTGCTTTGTCTTTTGGGTTTGATAGTGCCATCACCAATAGCCTTCTTAGGCATTATCTTGGTTAATGTTCGTTGCTGTTTTTGAAAGTCTTTCACACCCTTTCTTACAGTAACTGTTAACTTGTTACTAGTCTCATGAGGTTTTTGCTTTGATACATAATATAAATTCGTGTCATCAGGCTTTTCAGCTACATCAACCTCAAGATCAGCGTGGCCTGAGACAATTTGATAAACGCTGGATGTCCTGGGAGTGGGGGTGGTTGCAGTCAGAGTTACCTGATCTTGCTTTAGTGAGATTCTATGGGCCGAGTCTTGTTCTTCATTGCCAGATTCAACAGATGGATAGAGAACAGCTACCTCAGAATCACATGCTGAGTTAAAGCTTCTCAAATGGGCTGTTTGCTTTAATTCAGAGGGCTCTAAAATTAAATCATCTACAAGATTGGGGTTAGATGTGTCTTTTGGAGAACTATTGCCTGCTGATGCTAAGGTATCGAATGATGTAGCTTGACTACAGTCCAGAGCAGAAGTGTTGCTGTTGCATATCACAGCTGAGCTGCAGTCTAAAACTGCAGTATTGCCAGATGAAGCTGAACCGCCGTTTGAAGTTGATAAGTTGCCCGATGTAGGGGAAACACAGCTCAAAGTTGAAAAGTTACCTGATGTAGGTGAAACACTGCTCAAAGTTGAAAAGTTACCTGATGTAGGTGAAACACAGCTTAAAGTTGAAAAGTTACCTGATGCAGGTGAATTTTTACCAGAAGAAGATGAAATATTCTTGGATGAATCTGCATTGTTGCAAGGTAAAGCTGAAACTCTGCTCAAAACTGAAAAGTCACCAGATGTTGGTGATATTTTACCAGATGAAACTGGATTATCGGATGACGAAGATAAGTTCAAAGGAAATGAACCCGATCTTCTTATTGTTTTGATGATAATGCAATTTTCCCGGGGAAAGTTAATGCTGTTTCTACGAGGTGAGTATTTCTGCTTCTGTTTGAAAGCATGGCTGTTATTTGACAGAGGTAGGGATAAGTCAGATAGGGTTGATTTGAAAGTGTCATTTTTCAAGAGTGTCATATCATGCTCTGTTGTCATGTCTGAATTCTCTATTTCTGGATCAGCAGCTGTTTTTTCCTGAGTGTCAAAATGTTCTGGTGATGCAGAGTTACCCTGGATATCACAGCTCTGCAGGTTTGCTGGAGACTGGGTGGTTTCCCCTGCTGTGCTGTGTGTGGTGCCCATCAAGCTATTATTAGCCTGCTGTATGTTTGTCTCTCCACAAAGCTGTGTGTCACCAGATGACACACTGGCCTCAGATTCTCCGGCACTGTTTTTTTGCATGATGTGGGCAAAGCGTCCAGAGAACTGAATGGTGTGCTGTGGCAGTATCACATGAGTTGTGATGACCTCAGACAAATCTTCCGTTGTTGATAAGTTCATGGGTTCATTATCAGTGTTGTCTTCACTCTGTGAATAGGAAGCAACAGATTCATCCTCATGGCTATTGCTACAAGATTCATCCACTGAATCATGAGTATTGCTATAGGTTTCATCAACCGAGCTTGAACTGTTTAGATGATCATTTATTCCTCGTGCTTCTGATGTAGAATTTCCATCATAGTTAGTTGGCGGAGGGGCTGGATTTACATTAGATGACTTTGGTAATGACTCTTTTGAATTATCATTGCTGTTTCCTTTATAGGATATTTTGCTAACAAATTCATCAATTACCTTTGAATCTGGTGTGATTTTAACACCACGGAAATTTGCATATTCCTTGAATTTGGAAACTAGGCGATGAGACAGAGTCTTTGGCATGTTAGGCACTTTAGCAAAAACTTTCTCTAACACCACAGCGTTGACTCTTTCTTCTTCATCAAAGTCATCATCATCATTCAGTACAGAGCTGTAGTTATTCTTTGAATAGCTTGCCAAAGGTTGTGGAGAATTAGCTTGTTGCACATTTGAGTTGGAGCAGTTTGTTTCTGAAGGTTGGGCAGCTAAACTATTAGTACCATTGCTTGGTTCAAAGTTGGGTTGAGACACAGAGGATGGTGTCCAACATTCATTAGCAGTGCCAGTATCTAGAGCTTGGGGGTGGTTCTGGTATGTGTCAAGCCCTGTCTGAAGAGTTGGGATGGAGCTGCTGGTTACTTCCCTTGGGACTCTGGCATCTAAAACTGACATGTGATGATCTGATGATTCAGTGGGGGGAGGAAACGGCTGGTCTAATGTTGTGAAAGACTGCGGTGATGGTACTGGGACTGACTGTTCAGGCGAGTCTGCGTCTAGATCTATCACAATAGGCTCCTGTTCCCCGCCTCTCTGGGTGGTGACTATTGGAACCTGGGGAGCGAGTAATTGTGGAGGGGGTGCAATCATTCTCGGAGCTCTTGGCGCCATCCCCCTCATGCCTCCCATCATCATTCTTGGGTTGCCATGAGGACCAACATTTGGCCTGTAACTTGGCCTGACCTCTGGATGAGTTGGTCTTGGATGACGAATATTCATGTAATTGGGTCTGTTGGTATACCCCGGAGGTCTCATTCCATGCTGTTGTGGATAGTTGTTTAATCTCATTCTCTGACTAGCGCTGCTTGGGTCTTGATACCTAGGTGGTATTGGACCACGTATAGGACCTCTTGGCTGTGGAGGGTAAGGATGAGGGGGAGGAGGTTGTAAATGAGGTGGTGTCTGAGGCCTGGCAATCTGCCGTCCAGATGCACTGACAACAATGTCCCCATAAGCATCATTCAGACTGCTACTGAAATTGTCCTTCATACCTTGTCCATCTAGGTCTATAGGATTATCCTGAGACCGGCCAATTGTCCTCACATCTAATTGCCTTATCTTCATAGATTTCAAGTTTTTTACTGCAGTTAATATATCAAATGGTTTTGAGCTGTCTAAATTGAAGCATTTGTGCAGGTGTTCACTTAACCTGTGCTCGTCATAGGTCATAAATTCACAGTTTAACTGTGGGCAAAAGAACAGAAACTGCCCTGTTTCCTTGTTGGTGAAGGCTCCCAGCAAGGAGTCATTGTGTCTGGTTTTCATGTGTTGCTTCATTACATTCTTGGACCCTTGGTCTTTTCCACAATGTACACAACAGAAAGAGAACATGCTGGCATCCACAGCCTTAGATTTCTCTTTGTCTTTGCCTGGAGTCATACCAAGAATCTGAATGTCATCATCACCCCTGCCTTCTTCCTCTAAATTTGAATTGACCACACAAGCGAGGTCCTCAAAATGTTTACTTATGTCAAACTGTTTTGGTGGTGGAGGTGGGTGAGCCAAGGCCGCTCCCTTACGCTGTGGAGAAACTGCCGGTATATTGGGGCTAGGGAATTGTACTGGCATTCTTGGTGCATTGGGTGCTCTTCCCCTAGGCATGTGACCCGATCCTCTGATACCTCGTCCTAAAGGCTGGCGATAACTTTGCTCAGGTTGTGCAGATCTGACAACAGCAGTAACAATGACATCGTCATCTTCCTCAAGACCAAACCTCTGAGACTGAGGATACATCCTGGCTCTACCCCTACCACCTCTGCCACGGGGCTGGCCGGCGGAAAACAACCTCTGACGTACATTGTGTCCTTGGGGTGCTTGAGGAGCTTGAGGAGGCTGATAAAGCTGAACGGGGTTCCCACTCAGTGTCACTGCTCCTCTGTTCTGCATAGTTGATATAATGGCTCCTTTGGGTCTCATGTCTGCATCAGTCCAGCTGGACCTTTTGTGTCTTGGGACTTGACCACTAAGATAAATACTGGGGCTCAAGGGTGAAGCTCCAGCCACATTGGCTGGGACATTGGCATTTCTCGGTGGAGTGTTGGGCAGTTGAGGGGCTGTAGCTCTACCTGTCTGGGGTCTTTGATTCAAAAAAGTAGGTGCTGTCACATATCCTTGTGGAGATTCAGCAGTGGGTGTGGGGCCACTGGTTGTCACCAGGAAGTTTGGGATGTTTTGAACTTGTTTGTTGGAGTTTGGCGAGGAGCTTGAAGTTGACAAAGCACCACGGAGTGCACCAAAGCTGCCATTATTTGGGACAGGTTGCTGATTGACTTGGATAGGATACTGGAAATGATTTCCAACACTTCCAGGCTCTGGTACTACATTCAGTTCTGGTACTGAAGGCATGTCTTGAGGTGGCCCATTGTGTGTGTTGGAAGGAAATGAAATATCTTGGCTGTTAGAGTTTACTGGTTGATTATGCAAGCCCATTCCTCTTTGGGCACCAAAATTTTGCTGCATAGCATGCGGGGTGGTAACCATATGCTGCTCTGTTAATGAAATCACTGAAGTTGGCGATGAGACGTCTTGCATGCTTCTTTGATTGAGTAAAACAGAAATAGAGTCTGAAATCAAATTCACTGACTGCTGCTTATTCTGAGCATTCAGCTCTGGGTCAGCACTGTGCTGTAACCCAGTGCCTATTTGTTCAGCTGAGTTGATTAAAGCGGGATTAAACCCACTTCTGCTTGACAGTGTGTGAAATGTATTGCTGGCTTGTGGCAAACTGTTTGAAGGTACAAAGCCTTGATTTCGATCTGCTGGTGTAAAACTAGGGCCACTATTTTCCCTGGGCAATGAGTATCCAACTAACCCAGAGTGGTTAGATGATACAGTAGGGTTTGGTATTTGAAAAGATGGTTGCAAAGGAGTCTGGTGTACTGTAGGAGATATCTGTGGGTTTAAGTCTAATGCATTTCCTCCTCTTAAACCTTGATAGTGGCCAGTTTTCCACTCCATGTTTCTATTAAAGCTTTGAGGAATTCCTTGTGGATCATTATTTCTGTGAAGGTTCCCTACTGAGCCTGTGTTCTGCAACCCTGTCACAGGTGCCTGATAAAAATTTTGTAGGCCACTCGTAGAGGAGTTCTCTGTTCTAGGATGAAGGAAGTTTTGACTAGCGTGGGTAATTTGAAGTTTTCTGTATTGAGAAAACACACCAACACCAAGACTTTGGGATGCAAAATCAAGAAAACCTTCCTCTGCTATCTTACTCAGTTTTTTCAAATAGTCCAAGACATAAGTCATGGTAGACTTCAACCTTTCTTTTTCCAACACTGACATTGTCTCCTGACATGAACAGCACTCAATCAGATGCTTCTGGTAGGAGCAGGGGTCATTGCTGTTGTAACTGCAAGCCTCTCTGACACAGAAGAAAGTTAAATCTTGATCCCCCTCACCTGCTGTGTTGTACGTGCCCACTGCCGCCCCGACCGGGTGTTGTACTATTGTGTGACACTTTAACTTATCAACATAGGCATTGCTGTAAGGGCAAGTTAAACAGTACATTGTCTCCACCTTCACATTCCAGTTGGACCTTGGCTCCTTGTCTTCACTGGATGATAATGGCTCATCAGATGTTTTCTCTGTTGATTTCTTAAGCAATTCAATTATTCTATCCTCGGCTAATTTCCCCTTCAATGAATCTAAAAGATGTGCTTTTGAGTCAACAAAAGCAGAATTCACTTCAAATTTAACATCCTTTGGTTTTTTGTTCTCCACAGGGTCAATGACTATAGTGTCTGTACTGGTGTTTGTCCGCTCAATTATACTCTCACTGGGGAGGTAAAACAGAGCATCATCCTTCCTCACCTGAGCGCTTACTTCCTTTTTTATCATCTTAGCCACAGATTTAGGTAACATGCCAGGGTGCTTGGTCACTGTATGTTTCTCAAGGTGGTCGGTAGAATAGGTCATAAAGTCGCAGAAGACACAAGCTGAACATGGATCTTTGTCCATTTCACAATCCCCACTGCTGGAAGAATCAACTTCTGCAGTGGTTGTATCCAACTCTTTATCATGTTCAACTTTGCTATGCTTGACAACCTCAGACCGTGAAAGGCTACTGAAAGCACAGTAGGAGCATTTCACCATGTGTTGTCGCATGTGAGACACCAGCTCATTTTTTACTTCAGTAGAAAACTCACAATAATTACACCAAAAATGTGCCAAGGATGTGTCACTACTGTTTATCAGTGACACACTGGCAAAGTTGGATATTTGTTCTGCTTCATCCTGGCTAGTGGAAGACACTGCCACCTTCTTGGCTGAGGATGGCTTATCCGTTGAATCTGACTCTGATACATCATCCTGTGGTTCTTCATTTTTCTTCTTTTTTGGTGTTGTTCTTCTTTTACGCTTTGGCATTTTGAAAACTAAAAAAGATAAAACAAAGTTAGCAAAACATTTTTTTTCATTGTATTCAAGAGGCAAAATTAAATTTGTATGATACTTTTAGGCCTACTGAGCAGATTCCTATATAGGACCAAATGGGATCCTAAACACTAGAGGCGTACAAAATGTTATAATCAGAGTAAATTAAATCTTTTAATAACAGTTCTGACTAAGAATAGGCACATCTGGCCTCTATTCTTGTTATTCCCAGTCAACCACGAATAGACTTGAGTAGAGTTTTTAGACACTTCATTTAAATTTTTTTGGTCAGTCCACTTTTGAACAACGTAAAAAGAATATTCCCCATTCTTAATAAAAATTAAATAGGGCCTAGGCAATTAAATTATCTTTAAAACAAATCGTTCTAAAGATTTAATATTTATTTGGGATAATATTATATTTAGAATAGACCCTTTTAATCCCTGGCAGAACCAGCCCTTGATTATCATTAGCAATATTTAATTAATTAGCTATTTAATTATGAAATGAGATTACAAATTTCCTGTATTATGCTATAACAGTAGGCATATAATTCAAAACTTATATATTTTTATTATTAGAGAAACGGTTTTATTGTTTCAACCCTACCCTCTCCCCTTATTGAACTAAAAGTTAAACTTTTAACCCCATTACTGCCATTAGTAAAGAAATGTGATATACTGTGAGGGGTAATATACTCATAGAAAAAACAATCTACTGTTGTATTGGCTTTGGATGACATTGGTGGTGCATGCAAACAAGAATAAGACTATAGTGAAAATAAAGGTCAAGGACTATGTTGAATTTAACTAGTGATGCTTTTTAGGTCTATCATTGAACGATTGCTTGGCAATATGAGGTTTGTCAAGTCCAGATCACAGTGAATGATCCAAATGATTTCATGCACAAAGAAACAGCTGGGAATTATAGTAACGCCTAAAACACTGATTGCACCCAGCTCAACATAAATTCCTATAATAGAAGTTATGAATAGTCCTATAGTCTATAGGCTAACTACCTACTGTTTACAGATGACAATGACTAGTTATGGCAGAAATTGTTATTACCTCCCCTTTTATAATCTAAATTATCTGCCCCTACCCCTAATAGCTGACCCGGCTCTATGATTGTAAACATTCGGGGTGAATCACAGCTCACCTGACAGTTGCGGATTAGGGTGGTGGCTAAGCTGCGTGGTATTTTCTATGGTATCCATGAAGAGAATTATATATATAGATTAAAGCTGCTAAACTTACTTAGAGGGTGATTTATTAGTAAGTTGTGCTTCAAATTCTGTTTCAATATTGTGATTTAATTGCTGTAAATTATTGAATTCTATGAGTTTGTTAATTAATATGTAAATGTCGTGTGCCATCAGAATTTATATGTGTAATAGCTTACATTAATGCCCAATGACTTATAGCTGTGCACTGAGATCAATTACTCTTTTAGCTTTATTCTTCTGACAAAACTAGCTGTACCATGTGGTCGAGCAGTTACACTTTGGACGGGTCATCAGGGGTTGAGGGTTTATAGCATATAGTAAAGCTCGCAAAGATAAAATATTTTTGAAAAATTTATTTAAATGGCCTCTTAAAATGTATTTCTCGTGTTAATCCCTGTCCCATTAAAAGACAAAATATAGGCCTCCACAGCAAACATGTAGATGACAAGAAAAGCTAAGTATTTGCAGATCTATGCACATCTTTCTCTGGCTAGAATTGGCCTTCAAATTTAATTTTAGGGCATTCGTTATGACCACTATGGTGAGTTTAAAGTTTTATAGTTATTTTACTAACAAGTTTAAGGGTAATCTATCATTTTAGGTACATAAAATTGGCAGAGACTAGTAATGTGAAAAAAAGGTGACTCCTTAAATTTTAGTAATTATTTCATATTTTTAGGAGGATTTATGTTTTAAAATTTACAAAATGTTTCAAAGTTTCATTTATGTACTTGTTTTTAAACAATTGTATTAAAACCTTTCAGTAATAAATACAAAGACTAGTTTCTAGGAATGGTTAAGCAGCCATCTTGTTTAAGTTTTTTATTGGTTAACTTATTCTGAGATATTCAGGGGAAGACACTCTATTTAACAGATGGCTGCTGTTTATATAGCAAATCTTGCTCACAAACACTGCTGTTTAAAGTTAATATCTGGCCTGCATTGATATATTTAGCCACGAAACGGTACGACTTTGTAATTGGCTATGCACTAGTGATGAGCCAAATAGCGGTCACGTGGTTTTTAAAAAATAAAAATAAATCAGCTGTGATATGAACACCGGTTTTATAAAAAAAACAGCTCACAATATTTGATTTCTTTTTTCATAGACTGATAAATCTAATAATGATTTACATTCTCCCCCATTTTTGTACCTATACGGTTGATATTTTCAAAGCTCTATTAATTTTAATGAAACCAACTTTTGAATTTAGCCTCCATTCTCCAGACCAAATTTTAAAATACTTTTCTGCCACTTATGGTTTGTTTTTATAACGCAAAAACCCCGCCATTTTGCTCATGGTAAACATTTTAAATAGCCTAGTAATTTTAAAAAGGTAACTGGAACCAAGACGAAAAATCATTGGAAGTCATGCATCCGGTCTGTACGTCATATTGTTGTTAGCAGCCGGCCCCGCCTCTGGGTTAGCGAGTAATACTGTATTTAATTAAAGCCTTAACAATGAGGCACCTTTTTTTTACCTTACTAGCCGTGGCCATTTTTACGCACCTAAATTTCCTTCAACGATAGATTACCAGTTTAAGTGTTATTTATTTTTTGCATGTGTGCAGTGGAGTAAATAAAGCAGCCTAAATGCTAAATGTCGAAATGAAAATATCAGTAGGACACACTAGATCTAATCTAGATTCTAGAGTAGATTTCCTAACGCGGTCACACAATGCGAAAAATTCCGAAACTCACGATTTTCATCGGGCGCTATTTTGTACACGTTTCACAACCTGCTTGACCGCGCAGAGGAAATCTACTCTACAAGACTCTAGATTTCTAAATCTAGACTCTAGTAGTGCTCACTAGCGCTGCAGATAGCTGCGATAGCCAGCTAGCTAGAACTAGAAGAGAGGGAGAAATCTAAGATCTAGATTCTTAGATCTAGATCTAGATCTACAATCCAAGATTAATTCTCAGAGATGCATGCATTAAATTAAAGCTTAACGTGATATAAATTGCAAGGAGAACTAAGTAATACAACTATACAGAGCTGTGTAAAATACCTTTTCATATATTCTACAAGCCCAGAGTTTTAAAATATTTAAGTTGGGCTTAAATAATATTTTTTTTTGAGACGCTCGATTCTAAATAACCGGAAGTTGATATTTTATTAACGGTTTATCTAAAAGTTGTCTATTAAACAAAACAAACTATTTTATTATTTTATTATTTTTTGCTGAATTTTGTGAAACTTAAAACAAATATAAAAAAAAAACCTTTAAAACAACTTTCTTTTAAATGAACTAAAAACAAGAAAATAAAACTAATTTGCTTTCTATCGTAAAAGCATTTGTTGCTAAAATATCGAAAACATCTCATGAGCGACCAAGGCTTTTATGAAAGAAAGCAAATTTGTTTTATTTTCTTATTTTCTTCAGTGCATTTAAAATGACTTATTAAACATATAGGCCTAATTACATTTAAAAAATAGATAGACTTTTATTGTCATCGAAGTTGAACATATCTGAAAAGTTTGAACGTAATCGCTGCAAAACGTTGCGAGAAATGCTGTTGAACCTTGCTCTGCTGAATTTTATTGAAAATTTTTCAATGTATTCTTCGTGGAATTTATCATTGAAATCTATTGTCTCAACACTAAATGTGAACGGCTGTCTCACCCATGTTGGATATGGCTCAATTGTAGAGAAGTATGTGTCGAGACCTTGTAAGCCAGAGGCGTAGAGACCCTTCCGGCGCCCGGGGACAAACTTTCGATTTGCACCCCCTTCAAACTTACGATTTGTACCCCCCTCAAACTTTGGATTTCCACCCCCCCCCTCAAACTTTCGATTTGCACCCCCCTTCAAACTTTCAATTACTTTTTCCAACCCATTTTGGCGCCCCCTAAGGTCGGCGCCCGGGGACATGTGCCCCCCCCCCTGCCCCCCCCCCCCCCTTCCGCATCGCTACGCCTCTGTTGTAAGCTCATCTAATTGTGTGGACATTGCTTGTTTCCGTTCCACGAGTACAGAAATGTCTTTGATTTCAGAAACATCTTCCATCATCTTACTTACAGTTTACACGGTCGTATAGCTGTGAAAAGTTTGCGAAGTTATCGTGTTCTCAATGTGAAGAGAGCCTGGTTTGATGCAAAAGCTTCTCTGTTCTCGGATTCGTTCAAAAAGCAAACCTCACAGCATCGTCTTACGAAGCAATAGCTACGGGTTCGGATCCAATTTCGTCAGAGTATTTTTTTTCTCTTCTTTACATTCAACATGTGAGCAGCAGTGGTTTTGATTGTATTTTGTATATGTATATAGATATATATATATATATATATATATATATATATATATATATATATATATATATATATATATAAAATGGCTATATTTCGAAAATCCTTCTTCCAATGAAAAAATCCTGCTTACGCCATTGTTTAAGAGCAGCTGTTATCGCCGCCTGTTCGGTCATTGTTTACATAAAGGATAGCGAGCTCTCCCTTAAGCAACAGGGCGAGAGCGTGTAGGCTTGTTCTTGACATTCAAATTGGTTAAAGCATTCAAAAAACATTAGGTCTAACCCTAGCTAGGCCTATTTACTCTTCATCTATTTGAAAACTTATATTGGTGGACTTTAGCAAGGTCATTACTTAAACTATTGGCTATACAAGATTGCCTTATGGCGCCACGTCACGCCATATGCTACTCATTTTGTTTTTGCCAGTCAGACTCAAACAAAGAACGTCATTCATGTTGTTAACGGCTCATCTATGTCAGCTCAACCTTCTATGAAATCTATACGGGGCCGACTTAAACTCTACTACCAGGGGCGGATTAACTTTGGGCGGATCTCCTGATTTGTAACATTGGGGGCTCCTGATATATATATATATATATATATATATATATATATATATATATATATATATATATATATATATATATATATATATATATATATATATATATTTATATATATATATATATACTAAAACTAACAGTTTTTGAGTGTTTAAACTTAAACGTGTGATAGACACAGTGGCGTATAGCTAGATGTTGTGAAAAGAATCAATACAGCCTTTCAATATAACACGTCTTTATTTAATCAACAGAGCGATTACGTTTTGTTAACAATTAATACACAAGGTTGGAGATAAGCTAATTGAGGGTATAGGTTACGAAATGCCACAGTTATACAGTGTCGTGTAGGTACAATGATTGATGGTTAATCCTGTTGACATTTAAAAAACCCTAATGTAATAGATTGAAATAATTGTGAGGTCAAGGGAACTCACTCTTCTGTATTAGTTATATTTATAATATTGTTATCTTGAGTGATGTCCCTTGTGCACTTCCTTCCGCCCTCTCTGGTATTACCATCATGATGTAGTTAGACCCAATTAAATGTGTTATATACAACCACAGGCTTCTGTCGTCAAAATATTATAACTGGCGACGAAGGATAAACATCTACTAGAAAGAGCACCTACTTACGCAAAAAAGAGGTTTGCTAGAGCTTATTAGCTAATTATTTCTAGAATTATGGCGCTGTATGGCCAAATAAAAGAATTTGATGCGAATGATGAAATCATTCAAGATTACCTAGAGAGGTTAAGCTTTTACCTAGAAGCTAACGACGTGACGATAGAAGCCAAAAAGAGAGCTATTTTGTTAACAGTCATAGGGCCTCAACAATTTAGGCTACTAAAAGACTTATGCGCACCAGCTAGTCTAACTACCAAGAGCTTTAACGAGCTGAGCAAATTGCTAACAGACCACCATGCGCCTACCCCATCAAAGTTTTTATGTAGAGCTAGATTTGACAGTAGGACTCGTCAACCAAACGAGTCAATATCAGAATATGTTGCTGCTTTACGTCATTTAAGTGAATTTTGTGAATTCGGAGAAACGCTGTCTGACAGACTATGTGAAAAGTTTGTGACAGGTGTAAACAGCCCTGATATTCAAAGAAAGTTGCTGCTCGAGTCAGATCTAAAATTGGAAAAAGCAATACAACTTGCAATGTCATTCCAGCAGTCATCAGATGCGGCGAGATCTTTAGCACCTTCAGAGATCCATGCAGTAAACAGCAGGTTAGTCAATAAACATCAACCCCATCAGAGCATTCCAACTTATGCTAAACAGCCTGCTCGTTCAAATCCTAGATCTAAATCTAGTAATAATTATCAAAAATGTCATCGATGCAAAGGTCCCCATGCATCTCATCGGTGCAAGTTCAAGTCTGCAACTTGTTATAAGTGCAGTAAGCAAGGTCACATTGCCAAGGCCTGCTTTGCAAAGTCTTCGTCTGTTGCTAAATCTAGCCAGTCAAGACAGTACCGCAACCAAAGGCAGCACTATGTTAACTCTCACCAAGACTACCTAACCCAACCAATGAACCACTCTACCAGTGAAAATGCTCAAACTGATTCGCAGCCGGAGTTCAACCTGTTCCCTGTGAAATCAGAAAGTCATGCTCCCATCAATGTACCAGTTAATATCAACGGTAAGAGCATCAGCTTCCAACTTGACACTGGAGCATCTCTAACAGTCATAACAAAGAAAGATTTTGACGCTGTCATAGGAGGATCAGTGCCTCTACAGCCATGTCACAAGTGTCTAACAACATACACTGGTGACAATGTTCCGGTAATAGGAGAGTGTATGGTTCATGTAAGTTATAATGGTCAAAGTGTTAAACTTCCTCTTCTTGTGGTTGAAGGAAATGGACCGCCATTACTAGGTAGGAACTGGTTAAGTGATCTTAAGTTAAATTGGGAGAGTATTTGTTCATTGAAGAATGTAAAAGAATCTAGTCTTACTTCACTAGATAAAGTTATATCTGAAAATAAATGTGTTTTTGGTAATTCAGGTTTACTAAATGATAGAACAGTGAAGTTAAGCATTAAAGATACAAATCCAAGATACTGCAAAGCTAGAGTTCCACCTTATGCAATGAGGAACAAAATTGAAAATGAGCTAAGTAGATTGGAATCTAATGGCATTATAAAGAAGGTAGACTATTCCGATTGGGCGACACCCATTGTGCCAGTGTTAAAGAAGGATGGTTCCATAAGAATTTGTGGAGATTATAAAACCACACTGAATAAGCAAATAGAGCTAAATAGGTACCCTATTCCTAACATTGAGGAAATTTCTTTGAATTTGGCAGGAGGAGACAAATTCACTGAATTAGACTTTAGTCATGCTTACACTCAACTAGAACTGCATCCAGATTCAAAAGTCTATACGACAATAAACACACATAAAGGACTCTACCAATATGAAAGATTATGTTTTGGCATATCATCCAGCCCTGGAATTTTCCAAGCTGTCATGGACAGTATTTTTAAGGACATTCCAAATGTTTGTGTGTACTTTGACAATGTGTACATAACTGGTAAGAATGACACTGAACATCTTAAAACACTTGATAAAGTATTGAAAATTGTTGGTGAAAAAGGTTTAAAGATAAACAAAGATAAATGTCAATTCATGCTGACAGAAATTAGTTTTCTTGGTTATATATTAAGCAAGCAAGGTATCAGACCTCAACCTGAGAAAACAAAAGCCATTAAAGAAGCACCCAAACCTGAAAATACCCAACAACTAAGAGCTTTTTTGGGCTTGATAAATTACTATGCAAAGTTCATAGGGAATCTGTCTGGTAAACTATCACCACTGTACAAGCTGCTGCAGAAAAATGCAACTTGGCACTGGGGTAAACAACAAGAAGCTGCTTTTAATACAGCAAAAGAGGCTTTGTCTGCTGACACCTTACTAACTCACTATGACCCAGGGAAAAGACTTATATTAACATGTGATGCTTCACCAGATGGTGTAGGAGCAGTCTTGTCCCACATGGATGAGAAGGGTGACAGACCCATTGCTTTTGCCAGTAGATCTTTGAACCAGGCTGAGAAAAATTATTCTCAGTTAGATAGGGAAGGCTTAGGCATCATTTTTGGTGTTAAGAAATTTCATAAGTTTCTGTTTGGTATGAAGTTCACCATCTTTACAGATCATAAACCATTGCTAGGTTTATTCGGAGAAAACAAAACCCTACCTGAGCATGCCTCACCAAGAATTCAAAGATGGGCTATCACACTAACTGCATACAATTATGAATTGAGATACCAACCTGGATCTGAGAATAGTGCAGATAGTCTTAGTAGATTACCTTTAAAAAACCAAAGCCTGAGCTATGTACCAGAAGATGTATTTGTTCTCTTCACTATCATGGATAACTCCAATATAAATGTGAATGATATTAAAAGAGAAACACAAAAAGATGAGTGCTTAATAAAAGTATATGAGCACTGTAAGAATGGTTGGCCTGAAGAGTCTGTGAATGATGACTTAAAGCCATATTAAATAAGAAATAAAAACCCTTTGTGAAGATAATATAAAAGATGGAGAAGATGCAGTCCATTATCAGTTAGAGTTGCCTAAACAAAGTATTTGTAACTTAATAAATGATTATGGTGATATGGCAATTTCAAATGTTTTAAAGAGAATACATTAGTAAGAAGGAATGTGATCATCAAACAACTTTGCTAACATCATTAGCACTTACAGAAACTAAAAGGGTAACATCAAAAGAAAAAAAAAAAAAGATTTTTTGCCATTTAATACTTTCAGATGCCAATTCAAAAATAGTTCCATTAAATCATGACAACTCATGCATTGAAAGAGAATTTGGTGTTAATAAGAATGTGTATCTAAGAAATTATGGGAGAAAGGAAAAATGGATACCAGGTCAAATTGTTCAATGTACAGGACCTGTGCCTTATAAAGTTAAAAATAACTTGTGCAGATAATAAGTGTGAATCTATCAATCCCACCAAATCTGAACAGTTCACACCAACTCAGTTTGTTCAACAACCAAGTTCTGTTGATATGAGTGAACCAAGTTGTCTGGAGTCAGAAAATGTAAATTCTGGAGTTAATGATTTAAATCCTAGACCTCCTGAGATAGAGAATCCAGATGGTCAGAATCTTGAGTCACCAAATCAAAAGCCACTGAGAAGGTCAAGCAGGACAATCAAAGTCCCAAATAAGTTAGACCTATGATTTTAAAGGTCAAAAGGACTTTGACATCATTGTTTTGTATCTTGATTATGTTGTGGCATATTGTGCATTGTTTGTAAGGATGTAATCTACCATAATGTTCATGTTACAATATAATTGGTGATTTTAGGATACTATCAATTGTTCTATTGAGAGATGTGTTATTGTGTTCTAAGGGTAAAGGGATGTAATAGATTGAAATAATTGTGAGGTCAAGGGAACTCACTCTTCTGTATTAGTTATATTTATAATATTGTTATCTTGAGTGATGTCCCTTGTGCACTTCCTTCCGCCCTCTCTGGTATTACCATCATGATGTAGTTAGACCCAATTAAATGTGTTATATACAACCACAGGCTTCTGTCGTCAAAATATTATACCTAAGTTAAAAAAAAAATACAAAAAGTCCTCTACAGTTGATGCCATAAACCTGGGGGATAGGGAGAAGGTAAGGGGGGGGGGGGGTTAAAATTTTTAGATGATGTGCTTCGTGGTAGAGAGAGAGGGGGGTAATTAAAACAAGTAAAATTACCCCTCTTCGGACCTGACGATCGATAGGGCCGATGAAGTAGAGTGCATCTGTTTTTGTGACCACGTCATTAAAAGGATGGTGTGGTCAGTACAATGCTAGCCAACTTTACTTTCCCTAACGTGAGTCAGGTACCCATCTAGACTGGGGTGAACTTTAAGTGACGTCATACAGACTCGATTTCAAAATTAAACTCGAGGCTTGCGGGGTAGCACTCGAAAGTTTAAAATAGGTTATTGCTTTATGTTATTTATGAAAGACCCATTATGCATAAAAACTACACGTAAAATGAGCAGAGCAGTACATATATTACGTGAAACGTTAAGTTAAGAACATAAGAATAATGGCAAAATGTTTTAAGATTTGAATAGTGTTTGAACAACGCCATCACAATCAGCCTTATTATTTATAAATCAGCTTACAAACAAACGCTGGGATTTAAGTCCGTGCTGACGTACACATAAAATCATTATTTTTAGGCCTGTTGGCCCTTCGATGTTCAGCTGCTGAAGCAAATCATTTCACATTTAAAAGAATACATACACTTTATACAATCAGCGCTGCAGTTAAGTGTTACATTTGAAAAGTGATGATATTAAAAGATACAAACGATAATTAAAAAAAAAAACATAACACAGGACACTTCATGAAACACCGATGTGGCACAATGAAGGATTTCGTGTCTTCGTGTCTAAAACAAGCACCATAGTCCACCAGGTGGGCTGGCACGTAAGGCTAGCATCATTATCAACGTAGGAAACACAACAACTGTCCACAGCGCAACACATACTGAACCGGCGAGTTCACGTTTCAAAAGCTTTGTTTTAAGTGATTTTCTCTATAACAGCAAAGGAAGGAAAAAAGGCATCAACTGGCCCAACTAAAGACATTGATTTGGAAGCCTTTTCAGAAGAGATTGAAAAAAGACGGCGTTGGATGGTCGATGTTCTGAGGGGGAAGCCAGATAAAATTACAGAAACATTGCCAAGTTATACGACAAAAGAATGGAAAAAGTACGGCCTGGGGAGAACCAAGTGCCAAGAAGAGAATTGTCTCGCGGGGCTGTCACGAAAGTTGCCAGCGACCGGCAGAAGTAGAAAAAACTTTCTGTGGATGGGCCAGAATGATCTGGAGTCTGAAGAAAAAGATGGTGATGAGTTAGGCCTATCATGACAAGAGGAGGGGTTCTTAGGTCAACTTAAGTGTTTTAAGAACTATTTTTTAAAGAACTTTTTATAGAACCTTTTTTATTTATTTTCTAAAAAAATTGATCAATTGTGTGTAAATGGGGTGGCGAGTGGGGAACATTAAGAAAAGTCGAGGATGGACCATAATGGAAGGAAATGTTATACAGTTACCGCTACAAGCAGACTAAGTCAGTCTAAGATATTTTCGTTTGACACAAAATGGTACAGATTGTAATAATAAAACTCGCTACAAACCTAAGTACTACACATCTACTTTCCACGTTCCTGATTGACCTAACTAGCTCATATAAACGAAAATCAAAAGACATTTGTTTTAATGGAGAATAAATATTGAGAAATATAACCAGAAGTTTTTATTTTACAAATCAAGAAAGACGATATTGATGTAATAAATAATGCAAGAAATAAGTTTAAAAATAAAATTTGAATTTTTTGTTTTTGTATTTTTAGGAATGTAAAGTTTGTAAAAAGTATCAACCGGTTTTAGTTGCATTGTATATGTTGTAAACAAGATAGATATATACAAGTGTTATAATAATGGTTTAGATATACCACATTAGGCGATAATATTTACATGTTATATATCACGGGATACAACCTTGTAATAACATAGACATATGATATTACAGGGGACATTTAGGGGGTGACATCAAATGTAAGAAAAACGGCATAGTTTACTTACAAAACCATGTCAACAAAACCATGTCAACAAAACCATGTCAACAAAACCATGTCAAGTAATTGTGGGGGTTGACACCATAGTGAGGATGCATCGTTTCTGTGTGTGTGTGGGGGGGGGGGGGGGGGGGAGGACCGGGAGATACCTGACCAAATGACGTCGCTAATTAAACAAAGCATGTGTTAATTACAGAACAATGTAAGCATGTTGAAGAAATAGCACTGTTATCGTTATTTCCAATTGTTTTCCTGCTACACATTTCCTGCTGCACATTTCCTGCTGCACATTTCCTGCTACACATTTCCTGCTACACATTTCCTGCTACACATTTCCTGCTACACATTTCCTGCTACACATTTCCTGCTGCACATTTCCCGCTACACATTTCCTGCTACACATTTCCTGCTGCACATTTCCTGCTACACATTTCCTGCTACACATTTCCTGCTGCACATTTCCTGCTGCACATTTCCTGCTACACATTTCCTGCTACACATTTCCTGCTACACATTTCCTGCTGCACATTTCCTGCTGCACATTTCCTGCTGCACATTTCCTGCTGCACATTTCCTGCTACACATTTCCTGCTACACATTTCCTGCTGCACATTTCCTGCTACACATAATCTTCGTCTTGATACTCCTCTATGTTGTTAAACGGGAAGCAGTTGACCAGAGAGTTTTTCAACGGCACCTTCATTTTCCCGCTTTTGGAAAACAGCAGACGCTCGTCAGTCACGAAGATGTCGGAGTCACCCGACTCATCCCTGGCGTCACTCTCCCCTTCGGTCTCTTGTTGCGAATATTCAGACTCCGATGTAGCCCTAGTCAGCTGAAAATATTCATCGGAGTTTTCCGAATCGCTATCGCCGAATTCGGCGTAGGAGTTGATCTGTGCGGGGATTTCCGATTTATCTGCGGAGCTAAAACTGGTGAGGCTGCTTGCTGGTGAAATAAGCCGCTCCAAGTTTTGTACGGACTTGTACACTTTTCCGCGAAGAAACGAATCTTTTGTTTGTATGTTCAGCGTTTGGTCGCTCCCGTCACTAACGACGCTCCGTAATGGGATGACGTTGCCGCTAAACTGTCCTCCGCGGTTGTGTGGGTGTCTGTGAGGGAAGGGTGTAATCCTCCGCGATGAAAAAAAGTCCTCGTTTTCCGAGTATGGTATACTGGTCACATTGGAGTCGGAGAAGCAGTTTTTGATGAATGGGACCGGCGTGTCGACAACCTGGTCCTGGCCAACAGGCATAAGGTTCGAATCCACGCCGGAACTTTGAAGAACGCCATCAAAATCGGCCAGGGTTGTATTTTTCGAGTGTATTACTCCGCCATTAGAATGTGTCACATCACTGGCGTTAGTATCCTCCACCTCTAATGTTTTAACAAACGAAATGTTTTCATCGTACAGAATTTGAGAGTTTTTAAATGATGGAGATGGAGACAGTTTTGAATTTTGAACTTGATTTTCCTGAATATTTAACGAATTTGCCAGAACTGGAGATCCAGGCGTCGTCATGTTTTGTGGTGTCTTTGACAAATCTTCCTTAGTGTTAAAAAACACGATGTTCTCGTAATGGGGTGTGGCGTTTGTCGTGTCGGGCTGGGGCGCCCTGAGTCGTGAATGCATGACGCGGGGACTGCGTCTCTCGTCTATGATCCTGTTGCTGGAGGAGTTGACGAGTGCTGTCACCTCCTCGATCAAACAATTTAATCGGCTGACGGCCTCATCAGAGTGTTGTTTTTCCGACTCCCCCGGAACTTCGATGTCTACTCCAGCTGTCACCTGAAGTTCATCTTCACCTGTTTCCTGTAAATCATGAGTCGACGCTGACAGCTTGATAGACTCAATCTCCGCGATGGACAGAAGATCGTCAACAGCTTGTGACTCCGACCCGGAGTCAGAGTCGTAAAAGATGTCGTCTTCAGGGGCGTTAGCTCCTGTGTGGTCTCGCACGAGACTCCCGTGATCTCTTTCCTCAGAGAGATACAGCTGTGACGTCACGTCCAGTGCGGTGATACCGTCCAGCAGTTTTCTCCCCAAGACGCTGCTGACCGATGTGGCGTCGCCAGTCTCAGAAGTCGAGGAGTCAATGTCTTCAGAGTCATCGGAGTCGTTGTACTCCATCGCTGGCCTGCACACTGCCCGCTTGTATTCACTCGCCTCGCTCATGTTCGACAACTCCCGTTCAAGTTCTAGTTTCATACTCTCGCTTCCGCTTCCTTCTGAATCTAAATTTGGCACGTCACACGTTGATTTACTGCTCTGATTTACCACTGGGTTTAACTTTTTGTCTTCAATGAGCTTTAAAGGTTCGAATAGATGAAGAAAAGGATTTTTATCCTTTGTTTTGTCGGTGCAGCATGCCGAGGCTTGTAGAGACTGGCCTGATTCCTCTGTTAAAAGCTTTATGTCGGTTCGGTCGTTTTTGTCGGTTCGGTCGTTTTTGTCGGTTCGGTCGTTTTTGTCGGGATTTCTCTGCATGAAATAATAAAGCGGATTGTCTGTAGTTTGTGGTACACCTGGTTTGATATCAGAATCGGGAATTTCTGTTTCTTCAAAATCTACAGAATCTTTGTCATCGATTTCATTGTATCCGTCTTGTAGATCCTCATTGTCTAAAGTATCTTCAGAAAGGGCATCACTATAATCCACGTCTTCCCTGCTTTCTGCATTGTTTAGACCTTCTGTTTGTACCTCAGGTGGCGGCGTCTCAAGTGCTTTGTTTACAAAAGCAAATTCGTCACACGCCGCGGTTGAGGATTTTAAAAGTTTCGATTTTTCCACACTTCCCCACGCTATCTCGAACTCGGAGTTGGCGTTGACTTCTGCCATGTCGCTGAGACTTTCGTAGGAAGACATGTCTTCAGACACGGTCATTTCCGGTTTGATCGAAAACGTCACTTTTATATTAGAGAGGAATTTACTTCCCTGCGATTGACAAAGCTGCAGCGCGTTTGTGTACTCACAGGTTTTTTTAATGGCGGATTCGTTTAGTCCCAGCCTGAATTTGGTGACGGAGTCGGTAGCCACTTCCAGACACAGAGATTTGGGGTCGTCCAGAGTCGCGGCTAGAACCGTCTCCTCCGTGAAGATGCTGTAGCACCTCATGGCTCCAGTGAAGGTGTAGGCGAGGGTCGGCGGGTCGCCGTGCACCAGCTGAAATATCCGAGGAAGTTTAGAGTTCCCCGCCGCGACGGGGGCCGAGATTTGGAAAACTCGTTCATCCGAGTCGGGATACACCTCGGCGATCTCGTAGCAGATAGCGCGGTGGTTGAAGGGGATGACCACGTCCTCGTCCTTCTCGTCCAAAAACTCCATGCACGACCCGTGCTGCCTGACGATGTCCGGGAGGTCGGGGTTGCTAGGGTCCTTCTCCATCACACACACCCGTTTGAGAACCTCCCCCGGCGTGACGTCATGGGGCACGTAATCAAAGCTGCCATCGGATCGTCTGCAGGAGGTGAAGGCGGGGCATTTGGTTGTGACCAGGATGCGTAGAGCTGTGGACTTGGCCACGCTTTCAATCCGCAGGTGTCGCTTGACTTTGGTTAAACCTTTGGGGGACGCCCCGAACCAGCCTAGACAAAGTTGTAAAAAAAATAATTTAAAAATACCGCAAAATATTACTTAACTACACTACACATTTATATAATTAATATTAGTTTATGATTGATCATAGATTACAGACAATCGTTCGATTACAAAGACTCATGTGCTATGTACATCGATTTTCCATTGATGACAGAGCTAGTCTCATGAAGCTTAGCACTAATCATCATATTGTAGACAATTGCCCCAGGAAGATTAGCTCGTGACCACATGATATCATACAATGGAAGATTAGATACATATTGTTACATATTGTACTTGGGAAAATTCTCATAGGCCATATTCACTTGACTTATCAACACACCCTTCTTTTTTATCTGTTCAGGTACCCAGAGATGAAGACTATGCAGCTTTTATGTTAGCAGCAAGTCAGCATCGCTTACCTTCGTAGTCCACAGGTATGGCTACAGGTGGCCCCAGCTTTTATGTTAGCAACAAGTCAGCACCGCTTACCTTCGTAGTCCACAGGTATGGCTAGAGGTGGCCCCAGCTTTTATGTTAGCAGCAAGTCAGCACCGCTTACCTTCGTAGTCCACAGGTATGGCTAGAGGTGGCCCCAGCTTTTATGTTAGCAACAAGTCAGCACCGCTTACCTTCGTAGTCCACAGGTATGGCTAGAGGTGGCCCCAACTTTTATGTTAGCAGCAAGTCAGCACCGCTTACCTTCGTAGTCCACAGGTATGGCCAGAGGTGGCCCCAGCTTTTATGTGAGCAGCAAGTCAGCATCGCTTACCTTCGTAGTCCACAGGTATGGCTAGAGGTGGCTCCAGCTTTTATGTTAGCAGCAAGTCAGCACCGCTTACCTTCGTAGTCCACAGGTATGGCTAGAGGTGGCTCCAGCTTTTATGTTAGCAGCAAGTCAGCACCGCTTACCTTCGTAGTCCACAGGTATGGCCATAGGTGGCCCCAGCTTTTATGTGAGCAGCAAGTCAGCATCGCTTACCTTCGTAGTCCACAGGTATGGCTAGAGGTGGCCCCAGCTTTTATGTTAACAGCAAGTCAGCACCGCTTACCTTCGTAGTCCACAGGTATGGCCAGAGGTGGCCCCAGCTTTTATGTTAGCAAGTCAGCATCGCTTACCTTCGTAGTCCACAGGTATGGCTAGAGGTGGCCCCAGCTTTTATGTTAGCAAGTCAGCGTCGCTTACCTTCGTAGTCCACAGGTATGGCTAGAGGTGGCCCCAGCTTTTATGTTAGCAAGTCAGCATCGCTTACCTTCGTAGTCCACAGGTATGGCTAGAGGTGGCCCCAGATTTTATGTTAGCAAGTCAGCATCGCTTACCTTCGTAGTCCACAGGTATGGCTAGAGGTGGCCCCAACTTTTATGTTAGCAAGTCAGCACCGCTTACCTTCGTAGTCCACAGGTATGGCTAGAGGTGGCCCCAGTTTTTATGTTAGCAACAAGTCAGCATCGCTTACCTTCGTAGTCCACAGGTATGGCTAGAGGTGGCCCCAGCTTTTATGTTAGCAGCAAGTCAGCACCGCTTACCTTCGTAGTCCACAGGTATCGCGTGAGGTGGCCCCAGCTTTTATGTTAGCAACAAGTCAGCATCGCTTACCTTCGTAGTCCACAGGTATGGCTAGAGGTGGCCCCAGCTTTTATGTTAGCAAGTCAGCACCGCTTACCTTCGTAGTCCACAGGTATGGCTAGAGGTGGCCCCAGCTTTTATGTTAGCAGCAAGTCAGCACCGCTTACCTTCGTAGTCCACAGGTATGGCTAGAGGTGGCCCCAGCTTTTATGTTAGCAGCAAGTCAGCATCGCTTACCTTCGTAGTCCACAGGTATGGCCAGAGGTGGCCCCAGCTCCACCAGCCCCTCCTTGCTGTCCTCCCTCAGACTGACCGCGTGCACCTTCTGCACTGATCGTCTGCTGTGGAACAACAGCGGCTGTCTCATGTCAAACTGGAAGTCGGACCAGACGACAGTGCAGGATTCTGGGCGGAGAAAATAACAGAAATTTAAAAACTGTGGTTAACATCAAATTTAACACACAACTTTAACACACCTGTAACACACCTTTATCACACTCACCTGTATCACACACCTTTAACACACTCACCTGTAGCACACACCTTTAACACACTCACCTGTAGCACACACCTTTAACACACTCACCTGTAGCACACACCTTTAACACACTCACTTGTAGCACACAACTTTAACACACTTACCTGTAGCACACAACTTTAACACATTCACCTGTAGCACACACCTTTAACACACTCCCCTGTAGCACACAACTTTAATACACTCACCTGTAGCACACACCTTTAACAAACTCACCTGTAGCACACACCTTTAACAAACTCACCTGTAGCACACACCTTTAACAAACTCACCTGTAGCACACACCTTTAACACACCTGTAGCACACGGCCTAGCACACTCACCTGTAGCACACACCTTTAACACACCTGTAGCACACACCTTTAACACACTCACCTTTAACACGCACCTTTAACAAACTCACCTATAGCACACGCCTTTAACACACTCACCAGTAACACACACCTTTAACACACTCACCTGTAGCACACTGCACAACACACGGTAGTTTAAACTTGTGAAGGATTTCCTGCACCGTGTAGGTCTGTGTGCTCCATTTGTACGGCACCACACTGTCAACTTTTGGTGCCGCCACTGCCCCCAACTTCTTGGATAGCCCCATCTACTTGCTGCCTATGAGCGCTTACACCTCAGCTTGTAAAAGTAGTTCCATATCACTACGCACGTTTCATCCGCCTTAGTTTTGTGAATGGTTATGTGGGCTACATGTCGCCTCTCTCTGTGTCTGTTAACAACTTGAATCCTTGGTTTGTTGGTCATCCAATGTAAAACATAATCTGACAACAGAAAATATACATACCGATACATCAGCTGTGATGGCCGAGTGGTTAAGGCGTTGGACTCGAAATCCAATGGGATCTTCCCGCGTAGGTTCGAATCCTGCTCACAGCGATATTTTTGTAATTTTAGAATGATGGCTGTGAGATGTGGACCCAAGATGTGGACACAGTCCACCCATTTAAATTGCTAATAAACTCGAAAAGGCTCGAGTTCGAACGCTCGAGCAGATGAGACTCAAGAGCAGGGGTCAGCAATTCTTCTAAGAGAGACAACTACTAAAACAAACAAAAAGTTCCTTGTAGTTAGTTTTTGGTTGGACAAAGGATATGGAAGCATAACCAGTTGAAGGAAATCCCTTTTGACAGTAAAAAGTAAGAACGAAGAAGGTGTGTAGTACATTTATATATGCGTATTTCTTTTTGCATTGCAACCATTCGCACATGTGATTATAACATATTAATTCTGCTCTTTAACATATCAAATGAAATCACATGTAAACTTAGTTAAGGTCAAATGCTATCACATGTAAAAATCCATGCTTGTCTAATACCATTGCATATTTTCACCACCAGAGCTCATGAGAATTTTTATCTTTCGCTATTTTACATTAAATCAATATTTAATTTAAATACAATTTACGCGCATTCTGCCCTTTCAATTCAAAGTTAAATAATACATGGTTATAAAAAACAACAGAAAAATGAATAGACATCACTAAAATTATTTATAGACTTACAAAAATGTTGACCAAAAATGTTGACCAAAAATGTTGACCAAAAATGTTGACCATTTTGTGTAGAAGACAACACAGTGACCGTTAAGTTACGAAGGAGAAAGATGGATGACGTGGATTAGACGGATAAAGCATCCATGTTAGACGACAGTGATGGATGGTTCGCATACCTTTGTTTACAGAGTCAGAATATTGTGGTGTGTGTGAGGTGTGTGTGGGAGGGGGGGGGGTCTTTACCCACAAACCCTACCTCACTGTACACATACTGGAACCGTTTTAAACGTTGTTTGTTTATGATCATTAGGCTTAAACCGTTTTAAACGTTGTTTATGAAGGATAATTAGGCTTAAACTCAACAAGTTTTAAATGGGGATGTGTTAATCAGCCAGGAAAATTAAGCTTGAGAAATAATGAAAGACGAAACCATAAAATAGGGCCTAAATCAACTGGCATATAGAAAACTCGTCTCATTAACTGCTTATTCTATGTGTGTTACTGTGTGTGTTCGTGTGGGCCCTGTCTGTGTTCGCTCGTGTGTACTTACATGTGTTTACCTGTGAATTATTATTGTAGCTCTTCGTGTAAGTTTTTTGGCGAGACAGGTGTGTGTGTGTGTGTTTATGTGTGTGTGTGTGTGTGTGACATGTGTGGACGGGCACCAGACGACATGACGTCACCATTTTGACACAAGGCTCGCTGACACTGACAAATATCTGCCACCTTGTCGGTGATGATTTATAATTTCAGAAGCTTTCAATACAAACAAGAGCCCCTTTTGATGACGCGACGCTGCTAAAAATAGCAGCGCCTGCAACAAAGTTGCCAAACAGCTTTGACAAAGGATCTGGCTAATGTGCCGTGTGTGCAGGAACTACTGACATACAACACGGTACATGGGGCTAGAAATACTTGGTTCATTGGTTCGACGACACATAGGGTTAGAAATACTTGGGTCCACGACACATACCAACATTGGGCTAGAAATACTTGGGACCACGACACATACCAACATTGGACTAGAAATACTCGGGACCACGACATATAGCAGTAGATAGAAATAATTGGGTCCACGACACTAATTGGGCCATAAATACTTGGGTCCACGACACATAACAACATGGGCCTAGAAATAGTTGGACACAATTTTTTGTGATCACCTTTCTGACAAATGTCAATGCTGCTTAAAAAAATTATTTTCCTTGATGATGTTCGTTTTTTTTGTTACATGTTTTTTTAGAAATCCATTTCAATTTCTATTGTTTAAAAAACATTGGTATTTAAATATTTTGAAGTAATTATTACCCAAGTCAACTATATTCATAGTACTATTCAATTTGCAGTTTTATTTTTCAAACTACAATATCGGCATTTTGTTTTAAATCCTTGTTTGATTGGACAGTTGTCATTTTTTTAGCTCAACTCTACTGTCCAGCAAATGTCAGGGACACAGTTCCATTGTTGCAGCTGGTGCCCAATTATGTGTGGTATATGTGTGGTAGCATATCAATATGTTGTCTGCTATATGGGCCATGTTTACATGTCAGTGTATTTTTAGATGTCCAGTCACGTGACTGGCTATCTTCTCACGTGTGTAAAAAAAACTTTTGTATATAACTTAGTATAATATAACACAATTTTTTAGTCCATCAGATATGTGTTGCATTAAAAAATAGCATAGAAGTGTATAGGAGAAAAAAAAATTAAGATTACGTGCTTATCACATAGTAGAACGAAATGGGAAATGAAATGTGAAATTGGTCCAAGAAGTGTTTTAACTTCCTCCATTGGCTAAAGTGTACTATTTTTAACTTCCTAGGAGAACTTCATAAAATATTAGCATATCATACAATTAAGAACCTCCTTCCCCCTTTGCAAATACATTCACAATACATACTATAAAAACCTAAGTACCATCCGACTGATATCGAAGATTTACTTCTTTAATAAATCTCTGTCTTTTTACTCATCCTCAATGGGCGTCTACCCAACCACAGAAGTAATTGCCTCGTAAACTCACCTGTAAATCAAGTACAGGATCAGACGACAGCCAGACGTTAGCCTAAGTTGACTTCAGTATTCAATCACAAGACCACATATTACATAACTCCACGTACCTAATCCGGATTTTAATGAAGCGAGATTACCGTAATCCGTGTTACAGTCGATAAAATATAATTTACACTAGACATGAAGAGTGGTTGAAGTGAACTGTTTGTTTTTCTACTCGATCGACACAGCACTGGCCACCTTTCTGTTGATACCGTACGGTTGTCTGAGAGGTGTACACGTACAGTGTACACGTACAGTGTACACACGTAACCCGACGTGGAATTCCTACCCCACCCAGACGTGACGCCGTGCTGCGTCAAGCACCGTGTCACATACCTCCACCCTTTCTTCATTGCGGCAGTTATCGCGGGGTGTCAGGGGGGGGGGGGGGGGCGATAAGTGCACAATCTACCGCTGATGGGCTTCGGCAAGTTTACATTAACTGTGGGCCCTATCATTGACTTTATTATCTATTAGAAGATATTCATAGAACACTTAGTAGTCTATGTAATTAGTATTGAACTATTTATATTCAAGTGTCGTTAAATATACCAAATAGAAATATATTTACACGGTGATATATTTATATACACATATTTACCCATTATATATATATATATATATATATATATATATATATATATATATATATATATATATATATATATATATATATATATATATATATATATATATATATATATATATATATATATATATATATATATATATATATATATATATATATATGGAGGCAGTGGCGTAGCCAGGATCGTCTCAAGGGGGGGGGGGGTTCCAATTTTTACCCGGGGACAAACTTTCGATTTCCACCCCCCATCAAACTTTCGATTTGGACCCCGTCCCTCAAACTTTCGATTTGCACCCCCCCCTCAAACTTTTGATTTGCACCCCCCCCCCCCTCAAACTTTCGATTTGCACCCCCCTCATACTTTTTATAAATATACCGAGGGGTCTGTGGGGGTTATGACCCCTTCCTGCCTACGCCACTGTATGGAGGTTCCTTTTTCAACGTATATTTCTTTAATTTCCATCCATCTTTAACGAGTCCAGCTTACTATTTACGTTTCAGCCTTATAACAATTAAGTAATTCCGAAAATGACACTCATATTATATATGGGTCATTTGTAACAAAACAAGCTGCTGTAAATAACAAAACTAAGAAATGAGGTAACGCTTTTTAACTGTCTCCGTAAAGATATAACCAGCGTATACATCCTTATAAAACTACTAGATACCCCATAACGACACTGCGCATGTCGGCCCCATAACATAATTTCATCTGTTTACTTAGATTTTATAAGCAGACTAGTGGCTTAGACAACACACCCTTGGGATGGTAGGCCTACAGTCATAGGTAGTTACACCTAAAGTCAAGTGTCTACAGTCTAGTGTAGCTACATTTAAAGTCAAGTGTTTACAGTCTAGTGTAGCTACATCTACAGTCAAGTGTAGCTACATGACTACTACCACTAATTTGTTATCTATTGAAATGGTTTAAATGTTTAACCTTTTCAACTGTTACCAACAGCAAAATATAATATTTGTACTAGTCGAGCCTTTGTATGTTTGATTGCAATATCGCCACACATAAACGAAAAACGTGCCAACAGAAAATATCAGATTCACCTGACACTCAGGTACAAATGTTTAAAACCAAAAAATAAAAACTTGTCAGAAGTGGGATTTGAACCCACGCCCACATTCGTGGACCAGAACACTCGCCTGCCATGCAGGTAAGGTGATAAACCTTGAGTCTGGCGCCTTAGACCGCTCGGCCATCCTGACTTATATATACCAACCAGGTATTATGATAACAAGGCTAAAAAATGTAAAGCGTAGAAAAAGCCATCGTGGGGAAAACAAATTTATTTCACTGGATTTTGTGGAAATATAAGTAGGATGGCAAGGGATTGAGGACATATTTTACATACCACTAAATGTGGTATGCCATATGTTGTTAAGTTGCACCATATGGGGTTTGGTGGTGTCTGCGATTGATCAGTAAACACTGCCTGAATTTCTTAACTAATTATTTTGCTAATGAAGATTTCAGTGACTTACATTGACACAACTGGCTTACATATTATTTTTCTTTAAACACATCATGTGACATTATACTTGTTTCACATGAAGATGGTAGGCTTATAAACGATTTAAAAAAATGATGAGTTTGCCAATAAGGCTTATTTATTTTAAATCACAAGCTTTTAGAACCATTTTGTGTTTTGGTTTCGGCATGGGGGTGGGGGGGGGGGGGGGGCACAGAGAATATTTTTTGTACAGGCTTTCGGTTTAAGTGTGACAGTATCAGAATATCACTCTTGTGTTTTATATAATAAATGCACTAAAACATGTGCACTAAAACATGTGCACTAAAACATGTATACGACCCCCAAATGTCAACTAGAATGAATTGCTTAAAGGATCTCAGTCAATATACACTGGCAAAATTTTTGTATAGTGGAGTGAAAATAAAAACTAAAACATTTGTCAGAAGTGGGATTTGAACCCACGCCCACATTCGTGGACCAGAACACTCGCCTGCCATGCAGGTAAGGAGTTTAACCTTGAGTCTGGCGCCTTAGACCGCTCGGCCATCCTGACTTACACCTGTAAAAAATTAATTAGGTAATATTGTTCGACCTTTTCAAAACGGGAAAATCTCAATTGCTTTTTATTAAAGTACTTACATGGGAGGGGGTGGTGGTGAGGAGGGGGGGGGTGTGTTTGTTTAGTTTTGTATGGTAAAATGTTACTTAATGTTGTTGTTAAAGTTAACGAGTTTTCGCTCTCAAACTCCGGACAAGATGGACATAAGATGCTATTTATTTATTAAGGACTGAACGAACAAAGGACCGACCGACTTACGCGCTACACGGACTAAATACCAACGGACTAAAATAATTTTAAAGTACTTCCCATTTCCGCCTAGCTCCTGTAGACCAATTCTAATTTCAAGTTTTAGAGGGCGGGTATTTATAGCTGCGGCATGTGACCCAATTAATTGCCCTAGTAGCCATTTCATCAGGAAGTTACAACTAATGCTAATTTAGGGACTGTCTTGCTTTGTCGTACAAGAAAAGAAAAACACATGGACACGAGGAATGTGAAGTTTATAGCCAGATGTACGTATATATTATCTGAATGGGGGCTTCCTACCTGTTGGACGCGACTGCTAGCGTGTCTGTATAAACACATGAAAGCTAATCAAAGTTAAGAAAAACAATCAAAAATGTTACGCTGCGAGCAGGGTTCGAACCTGCGCGGGAAGATCCCATTAGATTTCAAGTCTAACGCCTTAACCACTCGGCCATCACAGCTTCTGTCGTTCCCATTACGACATCAAAGATAATCAAAACCGTAACCAAGATTTGTAATAGGATGAAAATACTTTCGTTAATAATGGGTTAGACGTTCATAGATATGACTGCTGTACTATAGATATAGATCGCAATTCAGGAAATGTTGACCTTGATGAAAACATTTCTCTATTTATAGGTCTGTTCTGAATTTAGTTTCTCACACGCGAACTCTGGGTAAAATCGTGTTTTCTTACCATAGAACAATGATATTCTTGATGCCATAACCAATGGTGAGACTTAAGTGTTATCTTTTGATAACACGCTAGAGCTTGAAGACTGTATTATAGTTCAGGATATCAAATATATATATATTCGAATAAATTAGGTCATGATTCTACATAAATATATAACGAACTTGGCACTAAGTCTAAAACAAAGGCTGAAAAACAATAGCAGATATTCTGAAAATGTGGATCTGTGACAGATGTTGTTTCAGAAGGACATTGCAACGTAAACAATCTCTTGTTATCTGTATGTTTGGTGAAGCTTTAGTAAAGGTACACTTTAGTAAAGGTACACTACTGCTTAACGCAATCGCTTAACATCAAGTTGTTTCCCTTGGTTTAAATATTCTGACACCTATTTACCTGCCTAGTTTAAAGATTAATTTATTCATAATGAGCTAAAACTGTAGACTACACATTTAAAAACATTACAATTAGAATTATTTTTAAAGAAGATATTAAAGAAGATATTAGCAAAAAAAAAAAGGCGTAGACCACCACTACGCCAGACCTCCTCCTCTCTCTATCCCAGAGGCGTAGCGATGGGGGGGGGGGGGGGGGGGGGCAGGGGGGTACATATGTCCCCGGGCAGCGACCTTAGGGGGCGCCAAAATGGTTTGTAAAAACAAATTAAAGTATCATTTTAGCTGCATTTTTTCATTATAAATAGTTTGAGGGAGGGGGGGGGGGGTGCAAATCAAAAGTTTGATGAGGGGGGTGCAAATTTAAAATTTGCTCCTAAGGGGAGGCGCCAAATTGAATGTTTGTCCCCGGGCGCCGGGTAGGGTCGCTACGCCTCTGCTCTATCCCCCCCTCTCCCTTCCCCCCCCCCCCCCCCCCCGACACCAAAAAACAAAAGTTTACTTTGAAGATCTGGTTTAAATTCAAGGTTTGGTGGTTTAAACCTTTAGTTTGAAGGTTTGTTTTAAATTATTTTAATGCAGCGGTTCTTAACATGGGTTAGTCTCAGGTTTTCGGCGGAGGTCAATACACCACCCGACTCTTATGATTTCTGATCCGATTTTGTCAGTGCGGATCATATAACTGACGGCCGCGGTAAATGACGGTTCAAATGTAACACCACAACATGGTACTAAATTTCGTCAGAGCGAGATAACTCGTATCGTATTGTGAAATGTCTATATTGTGGCATTCCATGACGTCACGACACACATACGTCACGATCACGAATCGTGTCAACGCCGCCTATTCTTATCTTTGTTTAGTTTTAAAATACCATGTTATATGTAAATGTCATAAAAATTGCATATCACATTAATTAATAGAAAGAAGATACTCGATTTGATACAGCAGTATCGACTTATACCTAGGCAATTTGTACTATCTGACAAAACACAAACACAGAGCCCACAGTTTAGGGTGTTAACAATACTTATTATAACCCAAAGATGTTAACATAATTGCCTACACATTTTAAAATAATGTTAGCAGAATTATAAAATCCCATTTCTTTCAGTTGAAATGTGGTTGGGGTTTAGCGTGGTGTGTGTGTGTGGGAAGGGATTGGGGTTGTGCGCGTGTGTGTGTGTTGGGGGGGGGGGGGGTTTGGGTTAAGATGCAGCGTTTGGATTACGTTTTCTTGCATTAAAATATAGACCTACAACTAAAGGGGTGTAACCTTCCTGCACGAAATGGCGTATTTCACCAAATCTGGCGATCCATTTTGTGAGGCTCGCATTTTCTTTAAAAATATCTGAATTTATATATATATATATATATATATATATATATATATATATATATATATATATATATATATATATATATATATATATATATATATATATATATATATATATATATATATATATAAATGTGTGTGTATGTATAGGACGATTGGGGAGAGTGGCAAAAAAAAAAAACATGGTGGCTCGCCCATGACAGCTTTATTTTATTGTTGTTCTTCTATTGGTCCAACTGCCCGCATAAGAATAAACTGCAAAAAACGTCAGTGTGTATTCTTAAAGCTGTCTGTCTTCCCCTCATGTTGGAAAAATGTTCAACTAAAACAGCAGACGTTGACAGGAAGCTGACACGTTTTCATGACGCGTACAGACAGAAATAGGAAGACACGTCACAGCGCGGATTGTGGGGAATAAATAATTTGGTTCAAGGTGGTGAACACAGACTCATGGGACAGGGGAAGTGACGTGTTGCGTGGCGCTTTACCCCGGAGTTCTGGGCCCTCTTTTGCCACAACCCCTACCTATGTTACGTCTTATCCCGCAAGGTTTCTTGAACTCCCCCCCCCCCCTCCCTCCGACCACCCCCCCTACCCCTCCATGGATGAAGCTGTCGGGAAAGGAGGTTCGGGCTAGCTAAATGTTTTATGGTGTGGGCAGACAAGTGTTGCTCGTTTATTGGATGCGCTAGGATGAATGAAAGATCCGATTGGTGACGTTCAGGAGACTAGAAATACAAATTTATAACCAGGTGTACGACAGAAACAAAACAAAATATTTCACACAATGGAGCTTTATTTCCATATTTCTGTAATACTTCTTTCAGGCAAGTTATTTTATCAGTTATTTTATTTTCTAAAAGAGCTATTGTAATCATCTAAAAAGTGACAGTTTATTTACGATTATTCTATGAGATGCTTGAATCAATCTTAATGGCGTAGGATATGTTGCTATCAAATATCTCTAAGTAATAACATTATTTTAAGTTATGAGATCCAAAACATATTGTGAAATGTTTGAAAATGGCATGCATGCTTTTAATTTAATAATATTTTGAAGCAAGATTAATTTTAATTAATTTTACACCTCATTATCTAATATGAAACTTTAATTCTTTTGAATTTGCTTTAGTCTATTGTATTTTTATTTTAAATTACAAATTACAGTGACATTAAATAAAAGCGTAGATGCAAGATGTTCCTAAAATGTTTGCCCTGGTAATGGTACACCATTACCCATACACCAGCTAATTCTAGCTGTATCCAAAGGCCATTTAATCCTTATAGTTTTCATACACCAGCTAATTCTGACCCTGCACTATTTTAAACAGATCTGAGTAAAAGTAACACATTAAAAAAAAGCCCAACCCATAATGCCATCATACAAGAAACATATATACATACAACATACAGTTGTAAGTGCAAAAATACAAATGTATAAATTCTACAATATAACCCAAACATCAAATTCTACAATATAACCCAAACATCAAATTCTACAATATAACCCAAACATCAAACCACTTTATAGCGTCAGCTTGCAACAACAATTTTATTCGCATTTTTCTTATCGTTATGCACAGCTTCTGCACGAAGGGAGGGTGGGGTGGGGGGGGGGTGGGGGGTGGGGGTTGGGGGACGACACGACGGCCTCGTAAAACAGCAAGCACATTAGTTGTACAGTTAGTTAGGACATTTTAAACGCCCTTTAATTACAGAAGTCGCGTCTTACATAAGGGTTCAGGATTTCAGGACACAGGTGCTTGTATCGTCCTCGACACGGTTATCTGGCGTGGACCGGAAGTGGCCGTCTGGAATGTTTTTTTGTGAATGATGGCCGGCCCAGGAAGATTTTAGAACAGACACACCGCGCTTGTCGTCTGTAAACTCTAGTTCGTGTAGTTAGAGGTGTCGTCACATCCAACAGACACACCGCGCTTGTCGTCTGTAAACTCTAGTTCGTGTAGTTAGAGGTGTCGTCACATCCAACAGACACACCGCGCTTGTCGTCTGCAAACTCTAGTTCGTGTAGTTAGAGGTGTCGTCACATCCAACAGACACACCGCGCTTGTCGTCTGTAAACTCTAGTTCGTGTAGTTAGAGGTGTCGTCACATCCAACAGACACACCAGTGCTTGTCGTCTGTAAACTCTAGTTCGTGTAGTTAGAGGTGTCGTCACATCCAACAGACACACCAGTGCTTGTCGTCTGTAAACTCTAGTTCGTGTAGTTAGAGGTGTCGTCACATCCAATGGCAGGGCTGAAGTAGAGATCGTCTGTTGTCAGTTTTCTAGATGGTAATGGCGGCAAGTACTTGCAGTTCCGGTCTTTTTCGATTGGGTTGATAAATAAAGGGACAACACTCACACATCAAAGAGCCGATTTGAAAAAAAGTTAAGTTCCCTTACGAACCTTACGGTCCATGGGATAAGTGAAGTAGAGTTCATCTGTTTCTGTGACCTCGGCATATGAAGGGTTAGTTTGGTTTATGCCCACCCGCCTTTACTTTCTTTGACTTGAGGTGGGATTCGAACTCGAGACTTAGCAGTAAAGCGCTATACCGCTTGGCCACGCCTTCCCACATAGAGCCGGTGTGTATGTGCGCGCATGAGTGCGTGTGTGTGCGTGTGTGTGTATATGTCGCGCGCGAATGGTTTCCGTCGAAACAAAAGGATTATTTTCTCCCAAATCAATTGTTATTTCTCCAGATAATCTCTTGTTCGAACCAGTGGCGTAGACCCCTCGGTATATATATAAAGTATGAGGGGGGGAGTGTAAGTCGAAAGTTTGAGGGGGGGGGGGGGTGCAAATCGAAAGTTTGAGAGGGGGGGGGGGGTGCAAATCAAAAGTTTGAGGGGGGGAGGGGTGCAAATCGAAAGTTTGTTCCCGGGTAAAAATGTGAACACCCCCCCCCCAATGAGACGATCCACATCTCCCAGCGTCGCGTCCTCCCCTACAACCCGCCCAACAGACCAGTGCAAATGTTCAGTCTAACATTTCGGCCCGGAGTGAGCAAGTCGGTCAGCTTTCTCGTCCCTAAATCTCATTTTAATATCCAACAAACATGATATTTGGACATTTTTATTGCTATCTCTTTAACCAACAAACACAATCTTTGGACATGTACATTGCTATCTCTTTAATGATTAACAAACACAATCTTTGGACATGTTCATTGCTATCTCTTTAATGATCAACAAACACAATCTTTGGACATGTACATTGCTATCTCTTTAATGATTAACAAACACAATCTTTGGACATGTTCATTGCTATCTCTTTAATGATCAACAAACACAATCTTTGGACATGTTCATTGATATCTCTATAATCTTTATTCGACGGTTGTCCAAAGTCATTTGATGAACGAGAAATGTTATCATCAGTTATTAACGTTTTCGACCGAACCATGCATCCATCGACATCTTAATCATTCTAAGTTGATTTATCCTATTCAAACAACCGTCAACAATAAGTGCGTGTCCAAAATGGCCGACATTTTTGTGAGTAGTTGTCAACGCATGTGCAAGCACATGCTCCAACTTTTGTTAGCATGTACTGCCATCTTTATGTCGAATTCTGAAACTTTTGAGACCACCCTCGTGTTATAAAACCGTCCAATAGCAATAATTTATGGCGAGACTGCTGTCATTTTGAAGTCCTCCGGTCTCTGAGACTTCGCTGCCTACGAAACTGTTGTTGTAAAATGAATAGGCCCTACAGTCAAAGTAAAAATTTGTGAAGGGAATCTGCACTGTGTAACTGAACTGTCTTCTTTAGTCTAAATAAAACTGCTGTTATTAGATGACCACACAGGGGTTCATGGTCAGGTTTAGGGTTCATGGTTAGCTTCAGCGGTTTATGAACCCCTCCCCCTCTCGTAAGTTCCAAGTTTCCTAATGAAGGAAAATGTATGAGTATGAAAGAAACACTGGTTCATGGTCAGTTTCAAGGTTCATGTTCATTTGCGCGGTTCATGGTAATTTGCAGGATTTCATAATCAGCGGCATGGGTTAATGTTTGTTATGTTACCAATGACGTCATAGTCGGTGTTCAGTTGTCATGCGCAAATCCTTTCTTTGTCTCATAAATCCCCCATTGTTGTTTATTTCAAAACGGAGTTTTACGCTTCATACAATTGTATTTGTAACGAATATATTAGCCTATGTGCGTCGATATAATTCCTTCGGCCCCTGTAAAATGCTAATTTGAGCGGGTTATTAGCATAATTAAGCAGGCGTCAACACACATCAAACGTAAAACTAAAATTAGGCTTGTAGTTTAGGCCTATATATTTTAAACGTTGAAGTCTAAATTTAACAAAAAAAATTATATTGCTGCACTTTTGAGTTCAACAACAAAAATTAAATTAGATTAGAAATTTAATTTTAATCGAGATGCTATGTATTTTACTGCATAAAGACTAACGGACCGATGTTATTTAGTCGTTAAAGAATTGAACTGTTTTACTCGTAGGAGTCAAAATATTTGGGCCTAATTAAAGTTATTACAATAAAGTGGCACCTAAGTGAGGCCCAAATATGTATACATAGGGCACGGCATGAATATTTCAACACTTACATTTATAGAGTACCTATATCTGGTGCGGCAATTAATGGTGTCACCGCCCCCCCCCCAGAGGCGTAGCGACCCTTCCCGGGGACAAACTTTGAATTTTTTATTTGCACCCCCCTCAAACTTTCGATTTGCACCCCCCCCCCCCCCTCAAACTTTCGGTTTGCACCTCTTAAAAGACTATTTAACACTCGAATTAATCACTTAATTAAGTGGAATTATCATTTTTCTGTATATATTTTGCTATTTTTTGCCTTGGTGTCACCCCCTAAATGGTGTCACCCGGTGCGGTCCGCACCCCGCCCCCCCCCCTCGCTACGCCTCTGCCTATATCCACCCCTCCTTCCACAAAAAAAAAATTCCAACTAAACGCCTAGAATCTTTTCTCTCTTCCACATCTATGTCAGCGCCCGAGTTTGACGAAATGGGTTCGATCATTATTGTTGACATGGATACAAAAAAAAAGATATTAAAAAAAAAGATTTTGCCATCAAAGTGGCCATAAAAAATTGGACATGGTCTCCGTGATCGATCTTCTGAAAACCCCCACTTCAGTCATTTTCTCAAAACGTTGCTAATAAAATATTTTAATTTTTTTTTTAAAAACCACATGACCTAGTTCTGACAATTTCGTCAACATTTTCTGTAATAAGATGGCATTTTTGTTTAGTTTTGTCTAGTTACCGAAAATACATAAGTCCGATGAAAACCTGAAAAATTAAATTTTTGTAACCACATTTGTTTTAGCAGTTTACTTGGCAGACGGGCAGTCTAACGTACCAAACGATCCACTATGGCCAGTGTTTTCACAGACCCTGGCACAACAGATGCAGAGAACAGTTCAAGATATAAACACATTAGGTAGGTCAAGGTTGGTCATTAAGTAGATCATGTTTGGATATTAGGTAGGTCAATTTGGGTCATTAAGTGGGTCACGTTTGGTCATTAAGTGGGTCAAGTCTGGTCATTAAGTAGGTCAGTGTGTGGTCATTAGGTGGGTCAGGCTGGTGGTCATTAGGTAGGTCAAGCTTGTGGTCATTAAGTAGGTCAAGCGTTTGGTCATTAAGTAGGTCAAGTTTGTGGTAATTAAGTAAGTCAAGCTTGTCGTCATTATGTAGGTCATGTTTGATCGTTAAATAGCTCAATCTAGTGATCATTAGGTGAGTCCAGCTGATGAACATAAAGCTAGTGGTTAACATTCATGCCTAGTACGTCTATGTAGTTAAATATGAGAGATTAACATTGAACTAATCTGTCAAAATTGCGGGACGTAATTAAGCCTCTACTCTCCATATTCAGCCGGAAACTTGACATTAATGAACCATATTTTCCAGGTCTCAGCGACCCCTCCATCAATTACTTGTGGAACGCTTACAAGGCCCAAATGCCCGCCCCCACCCCCACCCCCACCACGACACCCCCACCCCTGCCCGACCTGTACCAGTCCTCGTACATGTTCAGCAGCAACACCCTCGCCCAGCCCGCCCCCGCCGCACCCGCCGCCCCCAGCAATGACGTGTACGCCACCCTCCTCAACATGATTCAGCAACCAACGTCAGGGACGTCAGGGACGTCAGCCGGGACGTCCACCGGAAGTACCAGCACGTCTTTACAGGACGTGTACAGGGCCTACTCGCAGATGCCAGGTATAGCAGTCATGTGTCATTACAGTCATGTGTTCTTACAGTCATGTGTCCTTACAGTCATATGTCGTTACAGTCATGTGTCATTACAGTCATGTGTCATTACAGTCATGTCCTTACAGTCATGTGTCCTTACAGTCATGTGTCCTTACAGTTATGTGTCATTACAGTCATGTCCTTACAGTCATGTCCTTACAGTCATGTGTCCTTACAGTCATGTGTCCTTACAGTCATGTGTTAACAGTCATGTCCTTACAGTCATGTGTCCTTACAGTCATGTGTCATTACAGTCATGTGTCATTACAGTCATGTGTCGTTACAGTCATGTGTCGTTACAGTCACGTGTCATTACAGTCATGTCCTTACAGTCACGTGTCATTACAGTCATGTGTCCTTACAGTTATGTGTCATTACAGTCATGTCCTTACAGTCATGTCCTTACAGTCATGTGTCCTTACAGTCATGTGTCCTTACAGTCATGTCCTTACAGTCATGTGTCCTTACAGTCATGTGTCCTTACAGTCATGTCCTTACAGTCATGTCCTTACAGTCATGTCATTACAGTCATGTGTCCTTACAGTCATATGTCCTTACAGTCATGTGTCCTTACAGTCATGTATTCTTTCAGTCAAATATTCATTCATGTGTTTTTACAATCATATATTCTTTCAGTCATATATTTTTTCAGAATTTCTTTCAAGCATCTCTCCTGGTGGTGGTGGTGGGGGGGGGGGGGGGGGGGGGGAAGGTGGAATCCCCCCCCCCCCCCCAAAGTTCGTCTATTTCCCCCCCCCCCCCCTCCCCAACGGAATATATTTTATATACAAAATATATACTTCAACCTTTGATTTACCAATAATACCACTTCATGTGTCTGAAATTATCTTTGATTAACCAACAATACAACTTCTAATGTGTGTAGTTATCTTTGATTAACCAACACTACCACTTCTAATGTGTTTAATTATCTTTGATTAACCAACAATACCACTTCTAATGTGTGAAATTACCTTTGATTAACCAACAATACCACTTCATGTGTCTGAAATTATCTTTAATTAACCAACAATACCACTTCTAATTTGTTTAATTATCTTTGATTAACCAACAATACCACTTCTAATTTGTTTAATTATCTTTGATTAACCAACAATACCACTTCTAATGTGTGCAATTGTCTTTGATTGTTCCAGCCGCCACCAATTCACAGACAGACCCCTACGCCATGTTGCGACAATACTCAGGCGCCATGGGCAGTCCGACTACCGGAACAGCCGACGTGACGTCACTCCTGCAGCAGTACGCCAGTATAATGCAGGCCGCGCAGACCGGAAGTAACCCCGCGCCAGCAGCCCCCGCCACCAGCACCCTCCTCCAGCAGGCTGCGCCCAGCGCCCCTAACACAGGCACCGCCCCCAACTACGCCCAGCTGTACCAACAATACCTGGCCATCATGGGCATGAACACCACCCTGGCGCCCACGTCTGCCAGCGCCCCAGCAGACGCCGGCGTCGCCCCGACTAAAGCAGGTCCCACGCAGACGGAGCAGCTGATCCAGATGTTCAACATGATGAGTGCAGCCTCCGCCCCGCAGACGACGCCAACCCCGCCCACCGTCAGCGCCTACGAGCAACAGCTGGCCACGTTTTTCCCACAGTTCAAAAACCTGTTCCCCTCTCAGGGCGCCAACTCCCCCTCTACCAACGGGACGGGCAACTCCAGTGCCGACGCCACTCAGATTGTGTTTGACGCCCTCCTCTTTGGCCCGACTTACACGACGTCCGCCCCGCCCACGGCCGCCCAGACAACGCCCAACCCAAATATTCCAGCTGTCTTGAACCCGCTACAGAACATGATCAACCCCCCAGCTGAATCTGGAGGTAACGCTAATCTTGCGTTTGCATGCCGGGGCTAACACTAATCTTAACGTTGGCATACAGGGGCTAACGCTAATCTTAACGTTGGCATACAGGGGCTAACGCTAATCTTAACGTTGGCATACAGGGGCTAACGCTAATCTTAACGTTCGTATACAGGGGCTAACGCTAATCTTGCGTTTGCATGCCGGGGTTAACGCTAATCTTAACTTAACGTTCGTATACCGGGGCTAACGCTAATCTTTACGTTCGTATACAGGGGCTAACGCTAATCTTAACGTTGGCATACAGGGGCTAACGCTAATCTTAACGTTCGTATACAGGGGCTAACGCTAATCTTGCGTTTGCATGCCGGGGTTAACGCTAATCTTAACTTAACGTTCGTATACCGGGGCTAACGCTAATCTTTACGTTCGTATACAGGGGCTAACGCTAATCTTAACATTGGCATACAGAACATGATCAGGGCTCTCACACATTATTCAAACAAAAGTTTTGGCTCCTAGTTTTGTAAGCAATCTCTAAATTCACTTTCGCTTCAGATCTTAGTCTGAGCGTTAGAGCTTACGAAGTAGAGTTTACCTGTTTAACAAACAACTTGGTGAAACCTTTCTGTGGCGAGTTCGATAGAAAATCTCGTCTAGTTTTATGTTTAGAAATAGGGTAAGGATATGGTAGGACTAGCAATAGGGTTAGGGTTAGGGTTAGCATTGACATTAGCAAGTCATTTTATGAGTTATTAATAAATTAATTTTCCACGAACTATATCTTGATGCGTATATTTATTCCCGCTCATGAATTTCCCCAGCCCACTTACTCTCAAACCACGTGGAGAACGTTTTTAAAACCAAGGCATCCCGCGAGCTCGGGTGCCGCTTCCTGCCAGAACTCCTGGAGCTGGACCTGCTGCCCACCGCACCCATCGACTGTCTAGGCAAGTGCCCGTTCCCCTACATCAACTCGCAGAAGTTCGGCGTCTACTGTTTATGCTGTCCTCCAGGAGGTATGTAACATCACGGTCATGTCAATTTTAGCATCATTTTCAAGTTCAGGGTCGCTCATTAACGACGGGAGTTTCTTTCAGGCATCTCTTCGGGGAGGGGAGTGCCTTAACCCCCCCCCCCCCACACACACACTTCCCCAAATACGTTTACCGCCCTCCGAACGAAATTGAATTTAAATATAGAATAAATACTTTTACTAGAGTCCACCCCAACCCCACCCTAACCCTTAGTTACAAGTGATGAGAGAAAAAAATGTCTGAAGGAAATATGTATATATACCCCTAGAGGGGATGGGGAGCGGGAGGGGGGAATGTCGGAAGAATTTGGTGAAGTTGTGTGTGACGATGTGTATCCAGAAAGTGTGACGACACACTTTTTTTACACAAATATTCAGTACGAGCTGACCCGCAGCGTAGCATACGCCGCTATTTAGTTGTTTTATTTTCTACTTTTCAGTAATTCATAATTTGTGAATTCGACAGTATCAATGCTGTCACTGAAAATATTTGTTTTAAAACACTATCAGTAGCTCGTTAAGGACGATAACCCCCCACCCCTCCTTTCCCCCAACCCCTACCGGTGAGCGGAAAAAAAAAGTCACAGGAAAAAAAAAAAAAAAGTCACAGGAAAAAAACAGAAAAAAGTCACAGTTTTTGCTAGGAAAAAAGTTACAGAAAAAAGTCACAAAGGAAAAATTTTATCCGAAAAAAGTCACAAATAAAGTCACAGAAAAAAAGTCACAAAAATCTTTTTAGAAAATTTTGATTTATTTGTTAAGAATTGTAAAATTTTGTATGTTTATTGTTGTGGGTTGTATTTTTTGATAGCATAAATTATTTAGAGACGTTAAAAGCATTATGGTTTATAACAATGGTAAGTAAAACAGAGGCGTAGCGAGGGGGGGGGGGGGGGCGGGGGGGGACATATGTCCCCGGGCGCCGACCTTAGGGGGGGGGGGGCGCCAAATTGAAAGTTTGAGGGGGGGATGCAAATGAAAAGTTCGAGGGGGGGGGGGGGGTGCAAATCGAAAGTTTGAGGGGGGGGGGGGTGCAAATGAAAAGTTCGAGGGGGGTGCAAATCGAAAATTTGCTCCCGAGGGGCGCGCCAAATTGAAAGTATGTCCCCGGGCGCCGGGAAGGGTCGCTACGCCTCTGAAGTAAAAATACTCCAACATAATTTACACAACAATCTCAACTTTGTTACGTATTTAGCCTCCTCTGAGTTACCTCCCCTAAGTTTAAAATCGTTTCAAACCGAATTATCTGCCCCTAAGAGCTGTCACTAAACCCGGCACTATGATTGTAAACATTTAGCGTGGACCACAGCTCACCATACCATGTGATATGCCTACAGAGGAAGAGAGGGGACTGCATGGCGCGCTTACAGCTTGTTTTCTAACGTCTTCAAGAAGAGAATTATATATATAGATAATATTGTAGGAAACTTAGCCGTTATATCGCATTTTTCATCGTATGTTTTTTGTAAATTGTTAATATAATCGAATTTTACCAAGCTCGGAATTTTTTTTTACAGAAATCGATTTAAAAAACAACTAAAACTGTAATTTGTTGAAGACATACATAGATGAAGATGTGAATAAAAATTTGGTAGTGGGGGTGGGGGTCCAGGCCTTTAATTCCGGGGTCGGCAACCTTTTGACACGGAAGAACCAAAAGTTACAATTTACAGTTTCCCATCTTTTAAAGAGCCACTACCATTTTTATTTCAATATTATGATCTTTGATTAGGATTATGTATATCAATGGATGTGTGTGTGCGTGTGTGTGTGTGTCTTTTTGTCTTTTATTCATTACTACACCTTTCACTTTCATCCGATCGCCATGAAACCTTAGAAAGTTGTTGAGAATACTCATGTGGAGGTATCTGCAACAAAAAAAAAAACACCTCAAATTTGCATGGGTGGCGCCCGGCAATGAGCGATTCGATTTATAAAAATTAAACTCGATTGCGGATTGACACCGTTCATCCGATCGTCATGAAACTTTGGATGAGTTGATTAAAACACTCCTGGGGAGGTTTCTGCAAAAAAAATATTTTGAATTACGTAAGGGCGGCGCCCCGGGAGGGTGCGTAGCATGAAAAAATAAAAGTCGGATGAGGTTCGATTTCGTTCATCTCAGTGCCATGAAACTTTGGAGAGTAAACAAGAATACTCCCGAGAAGATTTCTGCGAGAAAAAAAATTCTTATGGTCAGCGCCCGGGAGGGTTCGATTTTCGTCAATACACGGTTTGGCGCTCAGAGTTCCAGAGCGGCTATGTTAGGACTTGGCATCCGCGAAAAGCTTTGAATGCAATAGGTTGCTATAGTCGCTCACTAAATCAAATCAGGCGCGTCTCTGCAGGGCGCAGTTCGGCGCCCAAGTCTATCCCGCGAGTTCCTACGCGCCTACGTTAGTTTTAAGGAGCACCCTACAATATTGATAATGCGGCACACGACATTCGATTATTAAACCGAGCTAGGGGCCGTACGCGGCGCCCTGCGGTAATGTAATCGGGTCCCTGTGGTAGTGTAATCGGGTTCAGGACAGTGCTACTTTCCGTCCTCGACACTAAGCAGTGATTGATTAACGGTGATATTACAATGGGTGATTAACTTACACTCAAGGCTTTCATGCAGCACACCCGCGTGCCCCTGTAAATATGATCCAAGCACAGGCATTTTTAACATTTAAATAACTCAGTTTTAGAAAACAAGGAAGTACATTGAAATTTGAAATAACTAAATATTCTAATAGAATAGCTAGTGTTCATTGTTTATATTTATTATTATTTATATCATTCATTACCGAGTGTTGCAGACTAATTAATACTTTTATGAGTTTCCAAAAGAAAAGAAAATAATCTATATATATAATTCTCTTCTTCGAGCCGTTAGAAAACAAGCTGCAAACGCTCTCCCTACCTCCCCACCCCTACATGGTTTTAGTGAGCTGTGTTCACTCTAACTGTTTACAAGCAGAGCCAACGATTTTAAACGTAGGGGGGGGGGGGAGGAGGGGGGGAGGGAAGGAAGGGGGGGGGGGGTTATGGTCCTTAACGAGCTACTTATAGTGTTTTAAAGAAATATTTTCAGTGTCAGCGTTGGTACTGTCGAATTCACAAATTATGAATTATTGAAAATTAGAAACAACTAAATAGCGGCGTATGTTATGCCGCGGGCCGGCTCGTTATTAATATTTGTGCACGGAGCTGAAGAGCCGCACCTTGACATCAAAAGAGCCGCAGGTTGCCGACCCCTGCTTTAATTCTATTCATAATTTTTAGCGCAATTTCCATACGGACAATTGCGATTATTAACTCGTCATTTCTGGATGGATGGATGAATGAATGGATGTGTGTCTGCAGCTTTAAGTGGTATCTCCTCCTCAACGAAGCAATATCGAGGACTAGTTCCAAAAGCAAATATGTTAAGCAAGTTCCAAGGATGATTGTGGGCCAAAAAAATTCCCGGAATTCCTTCCTGGATTTCCCGGAAAAGCCAAAAAACCTCGAACAAATGCAGTTTTTGGTCCATATCTCGGCAACCAGACCACTTAGCGACTTGAAACATTTACCAATCGATTCCTGCCATAATTTAGAACAATATTGCCCCGAAGAAAGTTTTCAAAAATATCCTTTCGTTCGGTCACAAAAAACTAATTAAGAATTTTTAAACTGAGCATCCTGTAGGCCTAGGATGATATTTTTAATTTAAACTGAGCATCGTGTAGGTTTTTAGCGAAAAAAAAATATCATTTCGTTCGGTCACAAAAAATTAAAAATTGTTATGGATAACATAAGGAAATTGCGCTTAAATTGTCACTAGACTTTTTATTAACTTGTTACTTTCTCGTATATACGAAGTATAGAGAAAGTCTTGTAATAGTGCAAAAAAAAAAATCGAGATTTTTACAAATCTCGACATTTTACACCTCACTGATACGGAAAAACATAATTTTGCAATCTTGTCCGTATGTCTGTGTGTCTGTGTGTCTGTCTGTCTGTCTGTCTGTCTGTCTGTCTGTCTGTCTGTCTGTCTGTCTGTCTGTCTGTCTGTATGTGTGTCCGTGTGTAAACACGATAACTTGAGTACCGTTACAGCTAGTTTGATGAAATTTCATATATAAGTATTTTATCAAAATCGTAGATCCGTATCAACTTTTGAGCGATTTCCGATAACCGGAAGTGGTACTTTTCCTACTTTGAATTTTTCAAAAGCCTATAACTTAAGTATTATTTCAGATAGATAAATGAAATTTCACATGTAAGTAAAAGATCTAATTCTCTACCTTCTGTTAAATTTTGAGTAATTTCCGATGACCGGAAGTAGTAATTTACGCTACTTCCGATTTCTCAAAAAACTAATGTAAATTTTTAAAGTACTAATAATATTGCGCACTATTATGCACTTTTTTATTTAGCGTTCACTCGGTGTGCAATTCTTTTGTCTACGAGATTTTATTCTATTTTTAAAACTTTAAGTATTTAAAATGGATTAAAAATCATGTCTATAGCCCGAGTTCCCATCCCCTGTTATTTTATATAAAAATATTCGATACAGTTTAGGAGAGATCACTCCCGGTTTATTTTTTTTTTCTGAAACATTAAATTTCTATCGACGCTAAAATTATCATGTAATTAAATGTGTACTCTAAATTAATATACTAAGTATGAATTAAATACTCGTAAGCCTAACTGTTTTCAGTTTAAACTAGAATAAAAGGATAATATCCAAAATTTAAAAACATATTTAAAAATAACGTATAATATTTTAAAGAGACATATATAATGAGAAAACTAAAGATATTAATTTTTAGTGTCAATCTATTTAATTTCTAGTATTTGCATGAACTTTGTTGAACATAGTTATAAGTTGTCTATCTTAGTTAAATTGATTCTTTACATGGGAAATAACTAACACAAATTACTATTTGAGGCGATTTTTTTTTCTGCCCACGCCACTCCCCTGACCGTGAAAACCTGGTTACGCCCCTGGAAAACAGCTCACGAGGCTAAGAATGTAATAGAACTAGAACCACCAAACTTGTGACCAAACATGAAGGCAGAAAATTTGCCGTCAAACAACCCCTGAGAAAGTAAACTTAGGACAAACACAATCTCTCCATCCAACTGGCTCAGCTGGGAGGATAGCGAAGGACAAGACAAGGATAGGCCTGCACCTGCACTTTTTAAACGTCATTATTGTTTGACGTAACCTAAACAATTAAAATTCTTCATTTTTTTAAAACCTTCAATTGGATACCAGTTTCAACTATTAGATTTTAAAACGGAACCCCAGAAAACGTTTTTTTTTAAATGCATCTATTAAATGCCCCCCCCCCCCCCCCGTCCCTTCCCGTCTGCCATTGACTCTGGTGCTACGTTAAGATGATAGTGTTCTATGTTAACATGATATTGTTCTACTTTCAATTGACATTGTTCTTTGTTCAAATAATAATTGTTCTGTTAATTTGATATTGTTCCATGTTAAGATGATATTGTTCTATGTTCAAATTATATTTTTCTATGTTAAGATGGTATTATTCTATGTTAAGATGATATTGTTCTATGCTAAGATGATATTGTTTTATATTAAGATAACATTGTTCTATGCTAAGTGTATATTGTTCTATCCCCAGTGAACGAACACACAGCCGGCATGATGTCTATCGTGAGACGGGCGAGTTACATGGAGACGCCACTAGCTGTCATCTCATAACCACGTGCTCAAATGACATTTTTGTTTTTGTTTACATTCGTTGTCATGGTAACGTCATTGGCCACCAGGCTCAATCAAAGGGAGGATTCCGAACTTAGGTCAAAGTGTCACGAAAAATGTATTTCGTTTTATTGAAAGCGCGCTAACCTTGAGTAGCTTCGTTCCTTTATTTTTATGCTGATTCTGAATTTTTAAAATTGCTTACACGAAACTTTACAAATTAAAAAAAAATAATTATATAATTGAAATAATTTTAAACTATGTTAAATTTTGAACAACGACAACAGAACCCGTTGTCATGGTAAACATAGGTATCGTCCTAGATACTTTAAAATGTTACCTGATTTGCGATATATTGCGAAAATATGGGGGAAGGAGAGAGTAGGGGGGGGGGTAGTTTAAAAAAAGAGACGACACACATTAGTAGTTTAAAAAGTCACTTTAAAACTCAAGTATAAATGTTATTCGCATTTTAAAATACTTTTTGCTAATTGTAATAAAAAAGGATTGATGTACCTAACGTGACCAGATATTATGAGATTTGGAGGGGGGGGGGGGGTAAATGTGTGACAACATTTATGGAAGAACCCAAGGCTGAATATTCAAAATTCCTGGTTGCCAATACTTGTATGCTGAGCTTGATATTAATCAAATTAATGTGCGCATTTTTTTCTTTCCTTAAAATAGATCTACCTTCCTTTAATGGCAAATTTCTAAACCCCCAAGAGTAATCTCCCATGTTTAGTTTTGACTGATTTATATCCCCTGTCACGGAAGCATCAAGTGACAAAAAGTGTGGAAACTGATCTATTTGGCGTTCTAAAATTCATCACTTCAACAAGCAATGTCTGTCCTTCATACACCATATTTCTTGTTAGAAAGTTACTGTTTTTTATAGAAGTGATATATATGACTTGATATATATGACTTCTCACTTTTAGAATAAAATTACAAGCTTGCCTGGGGCACAGACCTAGGCAAGTGGGATATAAAATCATTTAAATCTTTTTTATTGACGTGTACATGTCTTTGTTCAGTGAAATGTACATCTATGACTGTGTACATATGTAGTAATGAATGGTTCAGCTTGTAATGTGTACATATAAATGTTAAATGGATGGTTCATTTTGGTGTTAATTGAAATGTACATTTCCTTTAAATAGCCAGTTGACTCCAATTTCAGCCTGCTTTTCTTTCAGGATTTGCCTCCATAGCCTTTGGCCACCCAAGAACTTACAACAAGGCAGCAGTTGTTTGATTTTGGAGTTTCCTCTCAGTGAGCTTTACCAGGTCATGACCTCTGTACTTCTCTGATGTGTACATCCCTGTTTAGTGGATGGTACTTACCACATAAGTGGATGGTATGTTCCTCTCTAATGTGTACATCCCTGTTTAGTGGATGGTATATACAATTAAGTGGCTGGTATGTACATCTCTGATGTGTACACACTTGTACAGAGGAAGTCACATACCATTGTAGCTACTAGAAAATTTTTAACCAACATTTATTTTAAAACTAAAAAGTATGCATGTGCAAAAATGACCCAATACTTAAATCAGGATTAAACTAATATAGCCCACAACAACGACAGCACAAAATAAAATATCTAGCAAGGCACATCAGTATATCGTGTGCCTATAATATGCTGGGCTGTACTGCCTTATTAAATTTAAATGTCCACTTAAAAAAAAAAATTAAAGTCACTGCACAACAGTTATTTGTAGAATTCAATACACATATAAGGCTAGGCTTTCAGCATAAAATATATAGTTATTTATTGAATGTTAGATGCAAGATGTACAGAAAAACATACATAATAAACTCAATCCTAAACAGAGTAAAGGTATTCCCCATGGGAAACAATCGTACATAAATATTAACTGCTAATAAAAACTTATGGTTTTCAATCTATCATAAGAGCTGATTCAAAAATATTTGATTCTATCTCACAATAAAAATAGATAGGTCTATAAAAGAAAGGGATTTTTTAAAATCACAATAAAAAATCACCAGAATTTGACTGGACTCGAAGTCCCATGGTACAGCCATCACGATATATGTCTAAAGAATCCCTGTAACATGCTCAAAACATAATTCTCTAAGTCTACACAAATGAGACGGGAGAGGATAAATATTTATCAATACTATCCTGGCAAGATGGCCTGTTTGCGACACATTATGTTCTCATTAATAACACTTGTCATACAGATACCTCTGATATATAATTTATTTTCAATATATTAAATGTATAAATATAAATGTTTATAAATATATCACAGAATGCTTAACAACATTAACATATTAAATAAAATAATTTTTTCCTGATATCATATAAAGGCTAGCTAAGCCATGATTTAAAAATGTATATTCATGTATATACAGTGTCAAAATAAAAAGTGATAAAAATAATGTTATTTCCCGATAACTACGACTGCAATAAAGTACAAATACTGAGGAGAAGATGTCTACAGCAAGTTCAATGTCTGTGGAACCAATGGTGGATTGGGAGAGTAGTAACTGCAGGACATTCTTTCATATCATGTGGTATAACTTGTGATGCTGGTTACTTTATTGCTTGAGTGAAGTTGGCTTATATCTCATGATGTTGTCTTAAATGTATAACTTGTGAGATGTTGTCTATAACTATGTGATGTTGTCTATAACTATGAGGTGTTTAGTCTTCTAATTTGTTATGTTGTCTTACTACTTGGGATGTTGTCTTATAACTATATGGTGTTTAGTCTTCTAACTTGGGATGTTGGTACCAGTTGTTTTAAAATGTTGGAAACCACAGGTATGAAACTTATGCTGATCTACAAGAATATTTGAACAAAAAATCTTTTTTCTTTTTATACATCAATTTAAAAAATTTTGAGACAAAGTTCATGGCAACACATATAAAATAGCTGCTGAAGTACAACAGCTATTGTAAACATCAAACAGCTTAGTTTTGTTTTTTAATTAACTATGGTAAGTTTTGTGTTGGCATGCTCATCGTCATCTCCTAGGTGATCAGTGGCTGTACGCTGGAAACTTCTCTTGTGTTTTGTCATAGTTTTATCTCTATATCCGTCTCTAAGGCCTGATGCTGCATTAGAGTGATAATATAAGAAGAAAGATATATAAAAATGTATACATTTGTTTTATAGATAATAAGTTTGAGATGGTGTGTGCCATGTCTGTGTTATACTACAATACATATAAAACAACACTAACCTGAAGTTCTCCTTTTTCCTGAGATATTTTCCTTGTCAGACAATGACGTGTCCTCCATTTTCAATCTGTCACTGTTTGATGTCCGTCTGAGCCCTGTCCCAGGCCTCCCTGCAGTGCTAGGCCTTCCCTCAGCCCCAGGCCTCACTGCAGTCCCAGGCCTTCCCTCGGTCCCAGGCCTCCCTGCAGTCCCAGGCCTCCCTGCAGTGCTAGGCCTTCCCTCAGGTGGTCTGCAGATTATTGGTCAGATCAAACAATGAGAAAGGAAACGGCAAAACCTTTTGTGCAGCAAAATTAAAAATATGCATAGAAACATAGAAACAATTTAATTTTTAAATAAACTTTAACACTTAGATTTGAATTAGCTGACAACAACTTGCAGGCTTACAACTACATATGAGATATTATATTTTTATTTACATTTTTAAAAAATTCTAGTTCTAAAATAAATTTAAAATCTTTTGTCAGTTGAGTTCATAAATCATTTTTTTTCTTTACAAAGTTGTCTTTTAATTCTAAGTGAACTGCATACCAGTAAATAAAATAAAATGCTAGAACAAGTTATGGTCCAAAGTATATACTTCAAAACAAACTCAAAACAAACTAACAATCCTCAATGTGAAATAAGCTTAATTCATTAAATAAGCAAATCAACAAAACAAATACTAACTTTAAGTCACCAAAATAACCTAGGCAATACAATACAATTTTCAATTTTAAACTAAAAGATAATATATAATATCATTTGAGTTTAACTGCAATGTGAAGGCAATAGTTTAGAAAACAATACTTGTTGAAGATATAATATTACTTAAGTTATATTCAAACTTAAAAAATGACTCAAAACTATTTGTAGCAACTGTAAAAAGTCATTAGAAAAATTCATTTATTTAGTAAATTATAAACATATCAAAAGAAATAAGTAATGCTTAATTAAAGATGTACATTTGTAAAAAAAAATAAGAGCAAAAATTGAAAACAATCATTTTAAAACAAAATATATGCTATAATTTGAATAAATAATCCTGAAATTAAAATAATTTTCATCAAAAATTCTTAGATTAAAATATATTTTTCAAAACATACATCTTTTCAGGCTGCTATAAAGTGAATTAAATATTTTCCAAGATATAGATGGCATATAAATATAAGCAGTAAAATGCTTGTTGACATTTGGAAGGACAGATATTTTAAATGATGCAGTCCTCTGTAAAGGTGTAAAGAAAACTGTTCTACAATAGCTGACATAGGATCCCATCAAGGGGTGGGGGAAGGTGTCTTGTGGCATAGGATCACATCAAGGGGAGGGTGACTTGTGACAAAGGAACCTATCAAGGGGGAGGGGTCTTGTGAAATAAGATTCTATGGGGGGGGGGGTTGTGACATAAGATCCTATCAAGGATAGGGGGTTACTGTGACATAAGACCTAGTGAGGTGAATTAACAACATGAGTACAGTGAAATATTCTGGACCCCCCACATATACAACTTATCAGTTCTTTAATCATCTTTCGAAGCAGAAATGGAGGTATCAGAAGTTTTACTGCCTTTTAGCTGTAATGTTGAATTTCTATTAACTAGCTCCTTAGATGATGAATCTTTAAATAGGGCATTTGACTGCTTCAGCGTTTGTTTCTTGCGCTCTCTCTCGCGCTGCTGTTCAGCTGCTGACTGCTGGGCAAAGACAGTCTTTCTGCAGAATTCCTTCCTGATGTCTGGCACCTCAATGTTCAGGTAGTTGCGGTACATGATGTAGTCTTCAATGTCGTACTCCTTGGCTTCAGGCTCCACGTCTGGATCATCTTGGAATCCTGGCCTGTCCTCAATTGGCTGACCTGGATACTGGGGGATACCACTAGTGACCGGGAGAAAAGTGGATGGGTTAGGGCAATTGGCTGACCTGGATACTGGGGGATACCACTAGTGACCAGGAGAAAATGGGATGGGTTAGGGCAAACTAGCCAACCACAGGAGTGTTGGTGGGGGGTGGTGGTGGTGGTGGGGGGGGGGGGTGTAATGACAGACCAAGTTTTCTATATCTCTCACCACAACAGATCTACAATAATTTTTATACAACAGGTAATCTCCTCAGTAGAGAAATGATAATGTTCCTTGTTACTGGAGGTTAGATAGTTTTAAAATACACTCAATAACAAGTACACACAAGTTTTACAAATAACAATGTCATCGTAAGTATATAAATATATAAATAAATGTGTAATATATATGAATATAAAACTAAATACATATGTAAATGGAATAATGGAATAATGGAAATGTATTGGGTATACACATAGAATGATTATTACACAAATATTTGAAATAATACCTTGTGAATTTAGCATTATGTGTTTAAATGTTTGAAGTAGAGTAGGCTACTTTACACCAATAACAATCAACTTTACACCAATAACAATCAACTTTTATTATTCTTTTAAAAGTTTTGTTGTGTAAGCATGTTTCAAGTCAAGCTGTTTGTCCATGATACAGTATGTCACAATGACAATGGTAAATGAACACCAGGACCTAAAATATTGCTGAAACATCACCACCTAATGTACTGCTCAATACAACATACAGCGTTTTCTTCATGTTAGAATGGTATGATCACATACATTTTTACATCATACTTTCACACACTGATGCCTGATGTCATTAACACTGCTAACATTATTGGTTTAAATAAATTGATTTACATTTACATAAGTAGACACAATGAAAACAATATGTGAATAAACATACGGTGTCAGGGTATTGGACAAGATATGGAGAAAAATCTACTAACCGTATTGTCTGGGCACCTGCAATAAAAAAAAACAATTATTTTAATATGCTTTAATTACTTTAGTTAATTAATAAGTATACATAGTACAGGTACAACTGTATTTAGTTGGCACACAAAATAACTTTAGCCATCATCATATGGAATAGTCTCATTTACTAGTTCAAATGACTTCAAATAACTGACTTTTTAAACAATAATTTTAAGAACCAACTACTTTAAAAGTTTTTTTAATTTCTTCTCCTATCACTGCTATTGATTAGAAAATATTGATAACAAAACTTTGATAGAAAATCAAATCACTGACCTCTATCAGCTACTGTCACCAGCTGTATGGAGAAATGAACACAAGTTGTGCAATGAAAATAGAGCAAAAAGTAATTTAATGTGTTATATTATCTAGCTATTATATACTTAATTTTATAGCTTTAGTTATTCATATTTCATAATACATATTTTGGTTTACCACATTTGTACTGGGCAGCAAAGGTAAAAGATAATGATTTTGGTTAATAATTAAATACAAATGTAGTTAAATACACGAGCTATATTGTCACTGTGTATAATAAAATTATCATTTCTAGGAGTGAAGACATGCACGTTTGCCTTATTTAAGGGGGTCTGGGTATTTATGTTGTACTTTTATACACAGACAGAAGTCTATTTCTGTAACAGATTAAAAACATTACCCTCATATTATCCAGATCAAAGTTCCCGAGGGCATTTTGATAAGCCACAAAGTCTTCCCAAGTGCCAGTAAGTTGAAACTTCTCTTCCAGCCTTTTCTTCCATTCCTCCTGTTCCCGAAGATATGCGTGATAGCTAAAACTTGTCCCCTCGCCTTTTTCCTCTGATTCATCTACTTCCTGTTCAGTTACGTCCTCGACACTCATCAAACCCATTTCTAAACGCATCTGCCTTTCCTGTCATTTATTTTACAAAGAAATGAAATTCTAATCTGGGTATCTTGGAACTAAACAATTTTTTTTTACGAAAAGACATGAAAAACCAAAATATAAATAGAGATATTACATATGACTTTTTTAACCACCATAATAAGGCGCAATTAACAATATTATTCTTGCAATTTTTACCATACAACTATTACAGTGATTAGTTCAGGGACTAAGATAAACAGGAATCTACTTATAGGAATCTAATTATAGAGGGAATGCTGTCTCTGACCTTTTCTCTCTGCTGCATGATCTCTGCTCTATGAAGTCTCTCCTTCTCGTCTGCAATCAATCGATGGCGCGCCAATGTCTTCATGACCTTGACATCTGAGTCCATGTTGGAACGGAAGTCACAGAAAGGTTGCCATTGTTGGAGGAGAAGTCTGAACACAGAAAGCTGAGGAGGGGGGGGGGAGGAAGAGAGAATTGACAAGAATTATAATCATTACTGAAGTGATGTGAAATGTATGAAAGGTGTGTATGTGGAACAATGCTCTGTAAACTCTGTGTGTGTATGTGGAATATTGCTCTGTAAACTCTGTGTGTGTATGTGGAATATTGCTCTGTAAACTCTGTGTGTGTACTGTTATACTGTGTCGAGTCTAGCTGGGTTTGTTGATGTGTATTTTGTTGAATGGTGTAAAAGAGAAGCGACTGGTCAAGTGACAGCGGGTGAGTTGTGTGTGAGTGGGATGGGGGGGGGGGGGGGGCGGCGGCGGCAGGAAGGTGTGCAACTGTTGCTGTGTGTGGCAGTTAATGGTGGTGATGAAAAACAAGTTGGTATGAAAATGACGGTGTCACTTTAAGTTGAGGTTAAAACAGTTATGATCCATCCTAAGCCTTACAACTTGTTTCTGACTGTATCTCACCCTCACAGTTATCTGAACACAGCACATCAACTCAACTACAATAATACTTATCTAAACAAAAAAGAACTTTCATATTAATACAGCTTTTGTGCTAGATCTGTTAGAAACATTACATTATAGTTTACCTGCAATAAATAAAACCTTGTATTATTTTTAAAGAAATATTTTACAAACCTGCGCTTCCCTGAAAAGGTAAGGACTTTTCTCATGTTTGTGTTCTAGAATTTTGTCAGCCTGTTCTTGTGGGATGTCAATTTGAAGACTTGGTGGGATGGAGGAGTCGATGAAGCAATTTATGATTGCATTCACCTTTAAAGCTAATGTGGCTTCGTCTGTATGTGTGTGATGTAGTTGCTGAAATAAAAGAGAACCATGTTCCAAACTGGGTAATAAAGTAATTGTTTGTTCAATACATGGCTAGCTCACAGTGTTGGAATCATGTGAGCTACTTGCAACTTGTGATCCTAGATTTCGGAATCCACTGCACTTGTTCATCTTGCAGGGAGGCTACTCACCTTGTATTTCTGTACTTCTAGCAGGGAGGCTACTCACCTTGTATTTCTGTACCTCTAGCAGGGAGGTTACTCACCTTGTACTTCTGTACCTCTAGCAGGGGAAGCTATCCACCTTGTATTTCTGTACTTGTAGCAGGGGAAGCTACTCACCTTGTATTTCTGAACTTGTAGCAGGGGAAGCTACTCACCTTGTATTTCTGTACTTCTAGCAGGGGAAGTTCCCCACCTTGTATTTTTGTACTTGTAGCAGGGGAAGCAACTCACCTTGTATTTCTGTACTTGTAGCAGGGGAAGTTCCCCACCTTGTATTTTTGTACTTGTAGCAGGGGAAGCAACTCACCTTGTATTTCTGTACTTCTAGTAGGGGAGGCTACTCACCTTGTATTTCTGTACTTGTAGCAGGGGAAACTACTCACCTTGTATTTCTGTACTTCTAGCAGGGGAAGTTCCCCACCTTGTATTTCTGTACTTGTAGCAGGGGAAGCTACTCACCTTGTATTTCTGTACTTGTAGCAGGGGAAGTTCCCCACCTTGTATTTTTGTACTTGTAGCAGGGGAAGCAACTCACCTTGTATTTCTGTACTTCTAGTAGGGGAGGCTACTCACCTTGTATTTCTGTACTTGTAGCAGGGGAAACTACTCACCTTGTATTTCTGTACTTCTAGCAGGGGAAGTTCCCCACCTTGTATTTCTGTACTTGTAGCAGGGGAAGCTACTCACCTTGTATTTCTGTACTTGTAGCAGGGGAAGCTACTCACCTTGTATTTCTGTACTTGTAGCAGGGGGAGTTCCCCACCTTGTATTTTTGTACTTGTAGCAGGGGAAGCAACTCACCTTGTATTTCTGTACTTCTAGTAGGGGAGGCTACTCACCTTGTATTTCTGTACTTGTAGCAGGGGAAGCTATCCACCTTGTATTTCTGTACTTGTAGCAGGGGAAGCTACTCACCTTGTATTTCTGAACTTGTAGCAGGGGAAGCTACTCACCTTGTATTTCTGTACTTCTAGCAGGGGAAGTTCCCCACCTTGTATTTTTGTACTTGTAGCAGGGGAAGCAACTCACCTTGTATTTCTGTACTTGTAGCAGGGGAAGTTCCCCACCTTGTATTTTTGTACTTGTAGCAGGGGAAGCAACTCACCTTGTATTTCTGTACTTCTAGTAGGGGAGGCTACTCACCTTGTATTTCTGTACTTGTAGCAGGGGAAACTACTCACCTTGTATTTCTGTACTTCTAGCAGGGGAAGTTCCCCACCTTGTATTTCTGTACTTGTAGCAGGGGAAGCTACTCACCTTGTATTTCTGTACTTGTAGCAGGGGAAGTTCCCCACCTTGTATTTTTGTACTTGTAGCAGGGGAAGCAACTCACCTTGTATTTCTGTACTTCTAGTAGGGGAGGCTACTCACCTTGTATTTCTGTACTTGTAGCAGGGGAAACTACTCACCTTGTATTTCTGTACTTCTAGCAGGGGAAGTTCCCCACCTTGTATTTCTGTACTTGTAGCAGGGGAAGCTACTCACCTTGTATTTCTGTACTTGTAGCAGGGGAAGCTACTCACCTTGTATTTCTGTACTTGTAGCAGGGGGAGTTCCCCACCTTGTATTTTTGTACTTGTAGCAGGGGAAGCAACTCACCTTGTATTTCTGTACTTCTAGTAGGGGAGGCTACTCACCTTGTATTTCTGTACTTGTAGCAGGGGAAGCTATCCACCTTGTATTTCTGTACTTGTAGCAGGGGAAGCTACTCACCTTGTATTTCTGAACTTGTAGCAGGGGAAGCTACTCACCTTGTATTTCTGTACTTCTAGCAGGGGAAGTTCCCCACCTTGTATTTTTGTACTTGTAGCAGGGGAAGCAACTCACCTTGTATTTCTGTACTTGTAGCAGGGGAAGTTCCCCACCTTGTATTTTTGTACTTGTAGCAGGGGAAGCAACTCACCTTGTATTTCTGTACTTCTAGTAGGGGAGGCTACTCACCTTGTATTTCTGTACTTGTAGCAGGGGAAACTACTCACCTTGTATTTCTGTACTTCTAGCAGGGGAAGTTCCCCACCTTGTATTTCTGTACTTGTAGCAGGGGAAGCTACTCACCTTGTATTTCTGTACTTGTAGCAGGGGGAGTTCCCCACCTTGTATTTTTGTACTTGTAGCAGGGGAAGCAACTCACCTTGTATTTCTGTACTTCTAGTAGGGGAGGCTACTCACCTTGTATTTCTGTACTTGTAGCAGGGGAAACTACTCACCTTGTATTTCTGTACTTCTAGCAGGGGAAGTTCCCCACCTTGTATTTCTGTACTTGTAGCAGGGGAAGCTACTCACCTTGTATTTCTGTACTTGTAGCAGGGGAAGCTACTCACCTTGTATTTCTGTACTTGTAGCAGGGGGAGTTCCCCACCTTGTATTTTTGTACTTGTAGCAGGGGAAGCAACTCACCTTGTATTTCTGTACTTGTAGCAGGGGAAGTTCCCCACCTTGTATTTCTGTACTTGTAGCAGGGGAAGCAACTCACCTTGTATTTCTGTACTTGTAGCAGGGGAAGCTACTCATCTTGTATTTCTGTACTTGTAGCAGGGGAAGTTCCCCACCTTGTATTTTTGTACTTGTAGCAGGGGAAGCAACTCACCTTGTATTTCTGTACTTGTAGCAGGGGAAGTTCCCCACCTTGTATTTCTGTACTTGTAGCAGGGGAAGCAACTCACCTTGTATTTCTGTACTTGTAGCAGGGGAAGCTACTCACCTTGCATTTCTGTACTTGTAGCAGGGGAAGCAACTCACCTTGTATTTCTGTACTTCTAGTAGGGGAAGCAACTCACCTTGTATTTTTGTACTTGTAGCAGGGGAAGCAACTCACCTTGTATTTCTGTACTTGAAGCAGGGGAAGCAACTCACCTTGTATTTCTGTACTTCTATCCAGAACAAGACGTCATTCTCCAGGTGTTGTTCCTGCATGGAGATAAACTTGAGGAACTGCTGGCATGTGATGGGGTTCATCAGGGCCCTCTGCAGCATGAAAATATCCTTGGTCGAAGATATCCATTTGTTCTCCAACAGCTAAGAATTACAATTTCAAAATGTCAACCTTTAAAAAATGTTTGGACAGATAATTAAAAAAAAAAAAAAAACTATCAGAGGCGTAGCAACCTAATCCGGCTCTGGGGCGGACTATCAATTTTGCGCCCCCCATCCCTTTTTTCTATATATAGTTATTCCTGTCTATGAAAAAGCCCCCCCCCCCCCCCCAGTTGGAAAGGTTTGTGGCACTTCTTACCAGTTACTACCCTAAAACAATTTCTATTTTGGTGTCACAAAGTTGTTAAACCCGTATGTGAAGCCTTGTAGCCGTTTATTTTTCGTAGCTTTGACAGTGTATAATTCAATACTTCAGCTTAAAATGAGCTTTCAAATTAATTTCTCTACCCCTTTTGGCGCTCCCTTAAGGGCGGCGCCCGGAATGGCCGCCCCACCCGCCCTCCCCTAGCTACGTCTCTGACAACTATCACTAGTATCACTGTGTATACACTAAACAAGTGCGTAAATAAAAAAATAAATATTTCAAAATATATATGTGTGTATCATTTGTATATACATTCATATAGACTAAGCAAATTATTATATATATCTCTGTGTAAATACCTACATCGATAAATATTAATAATTGGAAAAGGTTTAACATTTTAAAAATAAGCGATTAATTTATAACTTATTTAATTATTTATAAAAATCAATAAGAAATAATAGTACAATCCACATAAATAAAAGGAAAATCAAATGTGACCAACAATGAAATAAAATTATACAATTATATAACACCAGAAAAAAATTCTCCAAGCATAAAAACAAGAAACCCAAATTTGACCTGCTGTAGTCTTGATGTTGGCATCAAAGGGCGAGATGTTATATCTTCCTGAAGGTACAGACCCAGACAATCTCAGTACCCACACCAATACAAGTGTGGGCTAGTTTAACACAAATTTCTATTCATATACTAGTTACTGGTGGTGAACAGAAATACTTTCTTTAAGAGGTGAATTGATCTGAAGTTATTTCACTAGCATGCCAGTAAGGTGAGGAATAAAAATCTAAGTTTAAGGCGAGGTTCTTGTACTTGTTTAAATTTTGAGATTTGACACAAATGCTTTAGGACAGCTAGTGCTACATATGTTTTTGCTTTATGTCTAATAAAGCAACACGTAATTTTTTAAGGTAAAAGTCTGGCTCCTGCCTCAACAGACAAACGTAGAACCTACCTTGACTATAACATACGGAGATTCATCACCCGCGGTTTTAGATTTAACGTGAGGCAAAGATGTACTACCACCCTTGATATCAGTCGTAGACATGAAGCTACTTCTATAGGAAATAGATTGCTTTCTTATAGGAGGGAACACGACATTTTCAACCAGAGAGTAATCAGGGGCTTTTCTATTCAACAACTTGTAGAAAGAATTTTCAGCGTCCTCAATCACCTTATTCACTGCGTGTGCTCGCCGCTTCTTGGTCACAGACTGGTCGTCACCGCCCTCGGAGATGCTTTCTCTCATGACATTTCTAGCCTGGAAGCCTTTAGACAGAAGAAACAAGGGCAGGTGTTTCTTCTCCAGCCTCTCCCTGACAAACTTCTGAGCCTCCAGGATGCTGCTGCTGTGGGGCTTGTCCTCAAGGAATTTTCCCCATCCACCGCCTAGCTCCATCACCTACAGGATGACACCAATTTTTTTATACAACTTGTTATTATCAAATCTCACAAATGTTAAATTTTGTTTTCCATTTGATATGTCTCAAATTTTGTTATAAAACTTCACAAAGTTAATTTTAACAAGTCACAAATGCTGTTTTAACATATCACACATTTTGCTTAACTATTAACTACTAAGATAAGAAAAAAGCTAGCTATAAATAGATATAGACCTATTTATGTTTATTGATAAAGTAATTTATATATAAAAACTGTATTGGCTGTTAGATAATTTTAAACGTGATTTTGTGAATAAAACAACTAATTTTCTTTTGAGATGCTAGACCTGGGAACATAATTATTGTACATGGTTGTTTACTTTAAACTGTACGGTGTAACATTTTTTAGCAGCTGTTGTTACAAAAATTATTGTACATGGTTGTTTACTTTAAACTGTACGGTGTAACATTTTTTAGCAGCTGTTGTTACAAAAATTATTGTACATGGTTGTTTACTTTAAACTGTACTGTGTAACATTTTTTAGCAGCTGTTGTTACAAAAATTATTGTACATGGTTGTTTACTTTAAACTGTACTGTGTAACATTTTTTAGCAGCTGTTGTTACAAAAATTATTGTACATGGTTGTTTACTTTAAACTGTACGGTGTAACATTTTTTAGCAGCTGTTGTTACAAAAATTATTGTACATGGTTGTTTACTTTAAACTGTACTGTGTAACATTTTTTGGCAGCTGTTGTTACAAAAATTATTGTACATGGTTGTTTACTTTAAACTGTACGGTGTAACATTTTTTGGCAGCTATTGTTACAAAAATTATTGTACATGGTTGTTTACTTTAAACTGTACTGTGTAACATTTTTTAGCAGCTGTTGTTACAAAAATTATTGTACATGGTTGTTTACTTTAAACTGTACGGTGTAACATTTTTTGGCAGCTGTTGTTACAAAAATTATTGTACATGGTTGTTTACTTTAAACTGTACGGTGTAACATTTTTTAGCAGCTGTTGTTACAAAAATTATTGTACATGGTTGTTTACTTTAAACTGTACAGTGTAACATTTTTTAGCAGCTGTTGTTACAATAATGTAGTTTAGAGATCCTAAGAGAAAATTTGAACAAGTTTTCATTCATGGGCTTAGATCTAAACATAAAAGTATACAGTGGATGAGAATGTACCTTATTCTGTCCTTCTTTCCCTGCAGGACTACTTGGTCCAAAGAAATACTTCCTATTCAGGTAGTGCTTTTTAATTTCCCTCGCTCGAAAATCTCTTTTACGAGCATCATCATGCGGAGTTCTCCTCCAAGCTTCAATATCCATCCAACACTGGAATATAACAGGAAACAACAATTTCAACTTTTTTTACACTTGTTGCTGGACTAAACAGATTACCTCAGTAACTCTCAAACAAGAATATACACTAAAAATGTGTGTTTCCATGGCAAAAGTGAATGCCAAATTTTTATATAATCTGACATTTTTAAACTAAAAAATTCTGGCCTGTAAGCTATTCTAACCCAATCAAATCATGTTCACCTCTATTGTAATACTATCAAGATACTGAATGCTGTGACATCTTTACTTAGACAAAATTTACAAGATAATGAATACTGTGCTATATGTACCTCTGCAAAGTTAACAGAATAAAGAAAACACTGATACCTTTAAATCTATCTCAGCAAAGTTCTCAATGAGATACTGTCGGAAATGTTCAAGCTCGATGCGGTTATGAATAAGCTTATCTAAGGTCCAGTCTTTGAATTCTGATGGGACTCGTTGAAGGACAGAATCATCATACACTGGATCCTTGTAACCCTCCATAGGGTCGTCCGGTGTAAGAGATCTCTAAAGATAAAAAACAAAAATCTTTGGTAAACCATTTGAAATATTTACTGTTAGTTATAGGGTCATCCGGTGTAGGAGATCTCTAAAGATAAAAAACAAAAATCTTTGGTAAACCATTTGAAATATTTACTGTTAGCTATAATCATCTGATGAAACAAAAAATTACCACAAAAAGAATTTAGGCCTACTAAAAACCTACAAAGAACCTGATGTAAATTAAACTTACTTCCTTAATGATTCCTTTTTTTTGTAAGCCTAAGATGGAGGTGTTTCTTGTTTCCAACCTCCTTGTTATCTCAGCACGTTCAACCTGGCGGAGAAATTATCAGATAAAAAACCAGGGATACTATTTTTTACATCAATCCTGGGTCTGAGAGTTTGAAAATATACATTCCAATCATATAGGCTCAGGGAGTTAGAAATAATCTTTGTGGTCTGAAAGCCATTGTCTCCCATTGAGCAATGTTTGGCATACATTTTTAGTGAAAGATTGTTGAAAAATCTTTAATTGTTGTTGATTATAACACAGACTGAATTGTCCAAATTTAGGTCAGAATACATCCCAGTTCAGTTAACCTCTTTAAAAGTCTAGCTGCAGTTAATGTCACTGTGTTTTAAGCTAAAAATAAAATACTTGACATATGCAGCTTCCAGTAGTTTCATGCTCTAGCAGGACTGGCTAAGAGAAACTTGATAGACCAAGTTGTCACCTGTTGTCATCATGCTTACCTTACAGTAGTTTTTCACGTCCTGGTTCAGGTAACGCTGGAAGGCATCAAAGAGTACCTTCAAGGTAAACTCTTCTGCTTCGTCAAACAGGTCTTCATAAGCTGGGTTCAAGTGGTCCATGATGTCCAGTTCTACACTCTCACACACACCAATGCTGCTGGGGGCGCCTTCAACAATAAACTGAGCAAACAGATACTGGAGAAGAAGGATAATAAAAAAAATAAAAAATTAAAAATACAAGTTAAATGTCATTGCTTAAATTTGTACAAGTGAGTTTTCTTTTTATAATTCTCTTGAATTACACAACTATTTAGACAAAGTATAATACAATTTTAATGATATTTTTTTAAATTAAAGTTTATTAGATATATGCTTTCAGTAATAATAGCAAAGTAGAAAAAAAAAGCAATAAAAAAAGTAAATTAAAAACCCACAGACCTTTGCTTGCTTAGAAATCAGATGCAGGTCAAGCTTGTCTTTATAAAACAGTTTCCTATATTCCTGGACCCTTTCCCAAAAGTCAAGATGCTTAACCCAATCCTGAATTTAAAAAAAAAACATTAAGGCAAGATGCTTAAAGCAGTCCTGTTTTTAAATAAAACATCAAGTCAAGATGCTTAATCCAGTCCTGTTTTTAAATAAAACATCAAGTCAAGATGCTTAACCCAGTCCACTAGCTTTATTATAACTCTGACCAGTTAAGCTCTTACAGTGTTTTCACTTTTTTCAATAAACTTTCTAAAAGTTCTTCCTGCATCTTGCTCATGGTGAAGGGCCTGTAACAGAAACTCCATACGCTCGCTGCCCATGAAATCACAGTCCTTGATTTCTGCGTAGTGCACGCCATCAAGTTTCTCCTTCTGGGGATCTTTAGCATCAGGGGGGCAGACTTTAGCAGACTCCTGCGAGTCTTGCCGGTAGAATGTGTAGTTGGGAGTGCTGGATGAGAAAAATGGACTCCGGTCAACTAACTCTACTTTAATAAGGGTAAATAAATGTTACACCTAGCTTACTACTAGACAACCCAGTTTCCAGTTAATAAAGGTAAATAAATGTTACACCTAACTTACTACTAGACAACCCAGTTTCCAGTTAATAAGGGTAAATAAATGCAACTTTTAAATGAAAGTGTTTAACAAGCTGTTGATTCTACCAGATCACCAGATGCATATTTGTAGAAAATATTTTTGAGTTCTTTTTACTTAATCTCGGTAAAAAAGTAAAATCACACCAAATATTATTTTAAATAAAATTATATCAGAATTTTACAAATTCCATTGCTAAGAAAAAGATTTATATAAAATATTTAAGGCCTGTAGTAGTTTGTAAAGAAACTCAATTATTTACTGTGCTTTTTATACTTGTTTAGTTTTTAACTTATTAATTTTTGTTTGGTCTACTATTTTCGGCTTGCCTTAAATCTTGTTTATCGGTCGTTCTAGATAAATTCATTGTATTCTCGAATTAGGAGAACAGTCAAGTGTATCCTATTGAAAATTGATAATAATGTTGGCAGCTAATAAAAATAACAGATTTATCATTAAAGCTATAACCAACATAAAATTTAGGTTTATAATGCATTAAACTTTTGAATGGGCAACATGGTTTAATTTTCCACAGAAGCCTTGTTTGTTGTGAAAATAAGTAAATAAAATATTTTTTTCTGAACTTTTATAATTAAAGGTGTGTTTCTAAATCAGAATATTTCTCTGAATTATATTTAGTTTTAGGCCTACGTTTTTAAATTTTTTTTGGATTATACCTTGGTTTTAAACATAATTATTTTTTCTACATAAATGTGTATTTTAAAATTCTACCCATGTTGCAGGTTTTCTAATCTCTGGTTTAGACAAATGTATAAACAAAGAAATAACAAACTTGTAAACAGAGTTTTAGTGGCATATAGATTGTAGAAGATAATACAGTGCTTACTCTTTTCCTTGAGTAGACTTAGGTTTTTCATCAATAATTTTAACCATTGGAGTCAGTAAGTCTTTTGGCTTCTTGAGGGGAGTCAGTGGAACAACAGTTTCTGCGGTGTCCCCTAAAATAGAAGTCAGTGGCTTGTACGGGCATGGAACCACAGATAAAGGCTCAGCAAGTTTTTTTTGGCTGGGGAGGCCCTCCACCTTTGGTTTTAACTCCATGGCCACCTCCTCCACTAGACTCTTAGCCGTGATGTCAGGCAGTTTAGTGTTGGTGGATGTAATGCTCTCACGACCAGTTTTTGTTTCAGTATTAATTGATGGTCGCTGTGTCGTAGCTGCATCTGTCACTGTGTCATGGGAGGGGCGTCCCTTGGTTTCTGAAGTGGCTGAGACTGACTTCTCTGGAGCCGAAGGTTTCCTACTGGATTTGGCTGTTGGTGTAGGGGACTTAAAGGCAGCTTGCTTCAACCCCAGGTACTTCGCTGTTGGGGTGTTAGCCAAACGTTTGATGGTGTCTTCACCATACACGCGCCTGTTGCCCACCATGGGGGAAGTTCCAGAAGGATCTGGCCTTGATTTTGTTAATTTTAGAACGGCATTATCAATCGGCAACTGTGGAAAAATAGCAAATCATTACCTGGACTCTAATGGTTTTAAGTCAAGTAAAGTAATTTACTTTTAGAAACTTTTAGATATATCACACAATAATATCTAAACATACTGTTTATAGCCTAAAATTTTTCTTCTCCTGAGATGTATAAAATTATATGAAATAGTTTTTCTGATGCGGACAGTGTGGTCTTGCAGTAGACTGTGTGCTTCCTTACCCAAAAGAGAAGAGGATAAGACCAGCTTAATGCCGTCATGGCCTTCTCCTCTAGCCCCAGACTAACAGGTGACATGGTGTACTCACCTCTAGCCCCAGACAGGTGAAGTAGTGTACTCACCTCTCTAGCCCCAGACAGGTGACATGGTGTACTCACCTCTCTAGCCCCAGACAGACAGGTGACATGGTGTACTCACCTCTAGCCCCAGACAGGTGACATGGTGTACTCACCTCTCTAGCCCCAGACAGGTGAAGTAGTGTACTCACCTCTAGCCCCAGACAGGTGAAGTAGTGTACTCACCTCTAGCCCCAGACAGGTGAAGTAGTGTACTCACCTCTCTAGCCCCAGACAGGTGAAGTAGTGTACTCACCTCTCTAGCCCCAGACAGGTGAAGTAGTGTACTCACCTCTCTAGCCCCAGACAGGTGAAGTAGTGTACTCACCTCTCTAGCCCCAGACAGGTGAAGTAGTGTACTCACCTCTCTAGCCCCAGACAGGTGAAGTAGTGTACTCACCTCTCTAGCCCCAGACAGACAGGTGACATGGTGTACTCACCTCTCTAGCCCCAGACAGGTGACATAGTGTACTCACCTCTCTAGCCCCAGACAGGTGACATGGTGTACTCACCTCTCTAGCCCCAGACAGGTGAAGTAGTGTACTCACCTCTAGCCCCAGACAGGTGAAGTAGTGTACTCACCTCTCTAGCCCCAGACAGGTGAAGTAGTGTACTCACCTCTCTAGCCCCAGACAGGTGAAGTAGTGTACTCACCTCTCTAGCCCCAGACAGGTGAAGTAGTGTACTCACCTCTAGCCCCAGACAGGTGAAGTAGTGTACTCACCTCTCTAGCCCCAGACAGGTGAAGTAGTGTACTCACCTCTAGCCCCAGACAGGTGAAGTAGTGTACTCACCTCTCTAGCCCCAGACAGGTGACATGGTGTACTCACCTCTCTAGCCCCAGACAGGTGAAGTAGTGTACTCACCTCTAGCCCCAGACAGGTGAAGTAGTGTACTCACCTCTAGCCCCAGACAGGTGAAGTAGTGTACTCACCTCTTTAGCCCCAGACAGGTGAAGTAGTGTACTCACCTCTAGCCCCAGACAGGTGAAGTAGTGTACTCACCTCTCTAGCCCCAGACAGGTGAAGTAGTGTACTCACCTCTCTAGCCCCAGACTGACAGGTGACATGGTGTACTCACCTCTCTAGCCCCAGACAGGTGACATGGTGTACTCACCTCTCTAGCCCCAGACTGACAGGTGAAATAGTGTACTCACCTCTCTAGCCCCAGACAGGTGACATGGTGTACTCACCTCTCTAGCCCCAGACAGGTGACATGGTGTACTCACCTCTCTAGCCCCAGACTGACAGGTGACATGGTGTACTCACCTCTCTAGCCCCAGACAGACAGGTGACATGGTGTACTCACCTCTCTAGCCCCAGACAGGTGAAATAGTGTACTCACCTCTCTAGCCCCAGACAGACAGGTGACATGGTGTACTCACCTCTCTAGCCCCAGACAGGTGAAATAGTGTACTCACCTCTCTAGCCCCAGACAGACAGGTGACATGGTGTACTCACCTCTCTAGCCCCAGATAGACAGGTGACATGGTGTACTCACCTCTCTAGCCCCAGACAGGTGACATGGTGTACTCACCTCTCTAGCCCCAGACAGACAGGTGACATGGTGTACTCACCTCTCTAGCCCCAGACAGGTGACATGGTGTACTCACCTCTCTAGCCCCAGACAGGTGACATGGTGTACTCACCTCTCTAGCCCCAGATAGACAGGTGACATGGTGTACTCACCTCTCTAGCCCCAGATAGACAGGTGACATGGTGTACTCACCTCTCTAGCCCCAGATAGACAGGTGACATGGTGTACTCACCTCTCTAGCCCCAGACAGGTGACATGGTGTACTCACCTCTCTAGCCCCAGACAGACAGGTGACATGGTGTACTCACCTCTCTAGCCCCAGACAGGTGACATGGTGTACTCACCTCTCTAGCCCCAGACAGGTGACATGGTGTACTCACCTCTCTAGCCCCAGATAGACAGGTGACATGGTGTACTCACCTCTCTAGCCCCAGACAGGTGACATGGTGTACTCACCTCTCTAGCCCCAGACAGACAGGTGACATGGTGTACTCACCTCTCTAGCCCCAGACAGACAGGTGACATGGTGTACTCACCTCTCTAGCCCCAGACAGGTGACATGGTGTACTCACCTCTAGCCCCAGACAGGTGAAGTAGTGTACTCACCTCTCTAGCCCCAGACTGACAGGTGACATGGTGTACTCACCTCTCTAGCCCCAGATAGACAGGTGACATGGTGTACTCACCTCTCTAGCCCCAGACTGACAGGTGACATGGTGTACTCACCTCTCTAGCCCCAGATAGACAGGTGACATGGTGTACTCACCTCTCTAGCCCCAGACAGACAGGTGACATAGTGTACTCACCTCTCTAGCCCCAGATAGACAGGTGACATGGTGTACTCACCTCTCTAGCCCCAGATAGACAGGTGACATGGTGTACTCACCTCTCTAGCCCCAGATAGACAGGTGACATGGTGTACTCACCTCTCTAGCCCCAGATAGACAGGTGACATGGTGTACTCACCTCTCTAGCCCCAGATAGACAGGTGACATGGTGTACTCACCTCTCTAGCCCCAGATAGACAGGTGACATGGTGTACTCACCTCTCTAGCCCCAGATAGACAGGTGACATGGTGTACTCACCTCTCTAGCCCCAGATAGACAGGTGACATGGTGTACTCACCTCTCTAGCCCCAGATAGACAGGTGACATGGTGTACTCACCTCTCTAGCCCCAGATAGACAGGTGACATGGTGTACTCACCTCTCTAGCCCCAGATAGACAGGTGACATGGTGTACTCACCTCTCTAGCCCCAGATAGACAGGTGACATGGTGTACTCACCTCTCTAGCCCCAGATAGACAGGTGACATGGTGTACTCACCTCTCTAGCCCCAGACAGACAGGTGACATGGTGTACTCACCTCTCTAGCCCCAGATAGACAGGTGACATGGTGTACTCACCTCTCTAGCCCCAGACAGGTGACATGGTGTACTCACCTCTCTAGCCCCAGACAGACAGGTGACATGGTGTACTCACCTCTCTAGCCCCAGACAGGTGAAGTAGCGTACTCACCTCTAGCCCCAGACAGGTGAAGTAGTGTACTCACCTCTCTAGCCCCAGACAGGTGAAGTAGTGTACTCACCTCTCTAGCCCCAGACAGGTGAAGTAGTGTACTCACCTCTCTAGCCCCAGACAGGTGAAGTAGTGTACTCACCTCTAGCCCCAGACTGACAGGTGACATGGTGTACTCACCTCTCTAGCCCCAGACAGGTGACATGGTGTACTCACCTCTCTAGCCCCAGACAGGTGAAGTAGTGTACTCACCTCTCTAGCCCCAGACAGACAGGTGACATGGTGTACTCACCTCTCTAGCCCCAGACAGGTGACATGGTGTACTCACCTCTCTAGCCCCAGACAGACAGGTGACATGGTGTACTCACCTCTCTAGCCCCAGACAGGTGACATGGTGTACTCACCTCTCTAGCCCCAGACAGACAGGTGACATGGTGTACTCACCTCTCTAGCCCCAGACAGACAGGTGACATGGTGTACTCACCTCTCTAGCCCCAGACAGACAGGTGACATGGTGTACTCACCTCTCTAGCCCCAGACAGACAGGTGACATGGTGTACTCACCTCTCTAGCCCCAGACAGGTGAAGTAGTGTACTCACCTCTCTAGCCCCAGACAGACAGGTGACATGGTGTACTCACCTCTCTAGCCCCAGACAGGTGACATGGTGTACTCACCTCTCTAGCCCCAGACAGACAGGTGACATGGTGTACTCACCTCTCTAGCCCCAGACAGACAGGTGACATGGTGTACTCACCTCTCTAGCCCCAGACAGGTGACATGGTGTACTCACCTCTCTAGCCCCAGACTGACAGGTGACATGGTGTACTCACCTCTCTAGCCCCAGACAGACAGGTGACATAGTGTACTCACCTCTCTAGCCCCAGACAGACAGGTGACATGGTGTACTCACCTCTCTAGCCCCAGACAGGTGACATGGTGTACTCACCTCTCTAGCCCCAGACTGACAGGTGACATGGTGTACTCACCTCTCTAGCCCCAGACAGACAGGTGACATGGTGTACTCACCTCTCTAGCCCCAGACAGGTGAAATAGTGTACTCACCTCTCTAGCCCCAGACAGACAGGTGACATGGTGTACTCACCTCTCTAGCCCCAGATAGACAGGTGACATGGTGTACTCACCTCTCTAGCCCCAGATAGACAGGTGACATGGTGTACTCACCTCTCTAGCCCCAGATAGACAGGTGACATGGTGTACTCACCTCTCTAGCCCCAGATAGACAGGTGACATGGTGTACTCACCTCTCTAGCCCCAGACAGACAGGTGACATAGTGTACTCACCTCTCTAGCCCCAGATAGACAGGTGACATGGTGTACTCACCTCTCTAGCCCCAGATAGACAGGTGACATGGTGTACTCACCTCTCTAGCCCCAGATAGACAGGTGACATGGTGTACTCACCTCTCTAGCCCCAGATAGACAGGTGACATGGTGTACTCACCTCTCTAGCCCCAGATAGACAGGTGACATGGTGTACTCACCTCTCTAGCCCCAGATAGACAGGTGACATGGTGTACTCACCTCTCTAGCCCCAGATAGACAGGTGACATGGTGTACTCACCTCTCTAGCCCCAGATAGACAGGTGACATGGTGTACTCACCTCTCTAGCCCCAGATAGACAGGTGACATGGTGTACTCACCTCTCTAGCCCCAGATAGACAGGTGACATGGTGTACTCACCTCTCTAGCCCCAGATAGACAGGTGACATGGTGTACTCACCTCTCTAGCCCCAGATAGACAGGTGACATGGTGTACTCACCTCTCTAGCCCCAGATAGACAGGTGACATGGTGTACTCACCTCTCTAGCCCCAGACAGACAGGTGACATGGTGTACTCACCTCTCTAGCCCCAGATAGACAGGTGACATGGTGTACTCACCTCTCTAGCCCCAGACAGGTGACATGGTGTACTCACCTCTCTAGCCCCAGACAGACAGGTGACATGGTGTACTCACCTCTCTAGCCCCAGACAGGTGAAGTAGCGTACTCACCTCTAGCCCCAGACAGGTGAAGTAGTGTACTCACCTCTCTAGCCCCAGACAGGTGAAGTAGTGTACTCACCTCTCTAGCCCCAGACAGGTGAAGTAGTGTACTCACCTCTCTAGCCCCAGACAGGTGAAGTAGTGTACTCACCTCTAGCCCCAGACTGACAGGTGACATGGTGTACTCACCTCTCTAGCCCCAGACAGGTGACATGGTGTACTCACCTCTCTAGCCCCAGACAGGTGAAGTAGTGTACTCACCTCTCTAGCCCCAGACAGACAGGTGACATGGTGTACTCACCTCTCTAGCCCCAGACAGGTGACATGGTGTACTCACCTCTCTAGCCCCAGACAGGTGAAGTAGTGTACTCACCTCTCTAGCCCCAGACAGGTGAAGTAGTGTACTCACCTCTCTAGCCCCAGACAGGTGAAGTAGTGTACTCACCTCTCTAGCCCCAGACAGACAGGTGACATGGTGTACTCACCTCTCTAGCCCCAGACAGGTGACATGGTGTACTCACCTCTCTAGCCCCAGACTGACAGGTGACATGGTGTACTCACCTCTCTAGCCCCAGACAGACATGTGACATGGTGTACTCACCTCTCTAGCCCCAGACAGACAGGTGACATGGTGTACTCACCTCTCTAGCCCCAGACAGACAGGTGACATGGTGTACTCACCTCTCTAGCCCCAGACAGGTGACATGGTGTACTCACCTCTCTAGCCCCAGACAGACAGGTGACATGGTGTACTCACCTCTCTAGCCCCAGACAGGTGACATGGTGTACTCACCTCTCTAGCCCCAGACAGACAGGTGACATGGTGTACTCACCTCTCTAGCCCCAGACAGACAGGTGACATGGTGTACTCACCTCTCTAGCCCCAGACAGACAGGTGACATGGTGTACTCACCTCTCTAGCCCCAGATAGACAGGTGACATGGTGTACTCACCTCTCTAGCCCCAGACAGGTGAAGTAGTGTACTCACCTCTCTAGCCCCAGACAGACAGGTGACATGGTGTACTCACCTCTCTAGCCCCAGACAGGTGACATGGTGTACTCACCTCTCTAGCCCCAGACAGACAGGTGACATGGTGTACTCACCTCTCTAGCCCCAGACAGACAGGTGACATGGTGTACTCACCTCTCTAGCCCCAGACAGGTGACATGGTGTACTCACCTCTCTAGCCCCAGACTGACAGGTGACATGGTGTACTCACCTCTCTAGCCCCAGACAGACAGGTGACATAGTGTACTCACCTCTCTAGCCCCAGACAGACAGGTGACATGGTGTACTCACCTCTCTAGCCCCAGACAGGTGACATGGTGTACTCACCTCTCTAGCCCCAGACTGACAGGTGACATGGTGTACTCACCTCTCTAGCCCCAGACAGACAGGTGACATGGTGTACTCACCTCTCTAGCCCCAGACAGGTGAAATAGTGTACTCACCTCTCTAGCCCCAGACAGACAGGTGACATGGTGTACTCACCTCTCTAGCCCCAGATAGACAGGTGACATGGTGTACTCACCTCTCTAGCCCCAGACTGACAGGTGACATGGTGTACTCACCTCTCTAGCCCCAGACAGGTGAAATAGTGTACTCACCTCTCTAGCCCCAGACAGACAGGTGACATGGTGTACTCACCTCTCTAGCCCCAGATAGACAGGTGACATGGTGTACTCACCTCTCTAGCCCCAGACAGGTGACATGGTGTACTCACCTCTCTAGCCCCAGATAGACAGGTGACATGGTGTACTCACCTCTCTAGCCCCAGACAGACAGGTGACATGGTGTACTCACCTCTCTAGCCCCAGATAGACAGGTGACATGGTGTACTCACCTCTCTAGCCCCAGATAGACAGGTGACATGGTGTACTCACCTCTCTAGCCCCAGATAGACAGGTGACATGGTGTACTCACCTCTCTAGCCCCAGATAGACAGGTGACATGGTGTACTCACCTCTCTAGCCCCAGATAGACAGGTGACATGGTGTACTCACCTCTCTAGCCCCAGACAGGTGACATGGTGTACTCACCTCTCTAGCCCCAGACAGGTGAAATAGTGTACTCACCTCTCTAGCCCCAGACAGGTGAAATAGTGTACTCACCTCTCTAGCCCCAGACAGGTGACATGGTGTACTCACCTCTCTAGCCCCAGATAGACAGGTGACATGGTGTACTCACCTCTCTAGCCCCAGATAGACAGGTGACATGGTGTACTCACCTCTCTAGCCCCAGATAGACAGGTGACATGGTGTACTCACCTCTCTAGCCCCAGATAGACAGGTGACATGGTGTACTCACCTCTCTAGCCCCAGACAGGTGACATGGTGTACTCACCTCTCTAGCCCCAGATAGACAGGTGACATGGTGTACTCACCTCTCTAGCCCCAGATAGACAGGTGACATGGTGTACTCACCTCTCTAGCCCCAGATAGACAGGTGACATGGTGTACTCACCTCTCTAGCCCCAGATAGACAGGTGACATGGTGTACTCACCTCTCCAGCCCCAGATAGACAGGTGACATGGTGTACTCACCTCTCTAGCCCCAGATAGACAGGTGACATGGTGTACTCACCTCTCTAGCCCCAGATAGACAGGTGACATGGTGTACTCACCTCTCTAGCCCCAGATAGACAGGTGACATGGTGTACTCACCTCTCTAGCCCCAGATAGACAGGTGACATGGTGTACTCACCTCTCTAGCCCCAGACTGACAGGTGACATGGTGTACTCACCTCTCTAGCCCCAGATAGACAGGTGACATGGTGTACTCACCTCTCTAGCCCCAGACAGGTGACATGGTGTACTCACCTCTCTAGCCCCAGACAGGTGACATAGTGTACTCACCTCTCTAGCCCCAGACAGACAGGTGACATGGTGTACTCACCTCTCTAGCCCCAGACAGGTGACATAGTGTACTCACCTCTCTAGCCCCAGACAGACAGGTGACATGGTGTACTCACCTCTCTAGCCCCAGACAGGTGACATGGTGTACTCACCTCTCTAGCCCCAGACTGACAGGTGACATGGTGTACTCACCTCTCTAGCCCCAGACAGGTGACATGGTGTACTCACCTCTCTAGCCCCAGACAGGTGACATGGTGTACTCACCTCTCTAGCCCCAGACAGACAGGTGACATGGTGTACTCACCTCTCTAGCCCCAGACAGGTGACATGGTGTACTCACCTCTCTAGCCCCAGACAGGTGACATGGTGTACTCACCTCTCTAGCCCCAGACTGACAGGTGACATGGTGTACTCACCTCTCTAGCCCCAGACTGACAGGTGACATGGTGTACTCACCTCTCTAGCCCCAGACAGGTGACATGGTGTACTCACCTCTCTAGCCCCAGACAGGTGACATGGTGTACTCACCTCCTCAATTCCAGGTCCCTTCCTGTTCCTGGGACAGCAGGACTTGGGTCTGAGGGGGAGCAGTGCTTGCGTGTGGGGGTAGGGGTCAGACTCTTTCACAGGTGTGGCTGACTTCATTTGATTATAAAGGTAATACTTCTCAGGATGGGTACGTAGTAGGTGCTTCAGTAGATATCTGGGTGCCCTGTATTGTAACACATGACAACATTTAAATTAACAACATATACCCTATCAATTTACCACTTAAGTAATGATTTAGTTTTTGTACAGGCAATTAAAGATATCTAACCTTTCCTGGTAGCTCGTTACTTTTTATCTTTAGACATGGAAAAGTTTATGGATGTCATACATGTTTAAATTGAGTCACTGAGAGAAACATACAAGTATAAAACCACGAAATCTGCCTGGATTTCATACATGTTTAACATTGAGATACTGAGAACAACATACCAGTATAGAACCAATGGTTCCAGAACTTTAGCGTGGACCTGAAACAAATATTTAGGACACCAACTGGAAAGGTTTTCAAGGCCCAATTTCTTTTTGTCTTCATAGGACAGCTCAAAGGGTGAACCTTTCTTGTAGTAGCGGTCCCTCATATACATGATATATCTGAAAACATCAAACATTGCTCATATACATGATATATCTGAAAACATCAAACATCCCTCATATACATGATATATCTGAAAACATCAAACATCCCTCATATACATGATGTTTATGAAAACAGCAAACATCACTCATATACATGATGTATCTGAAAACATCTAACATCAGGAATACATCCCTACATGTGGCCAAAATGTAATGATGACACCGGTTTCTTCTAATAAACCAGTCAGCCTGATTTAGCCAATTTGTGGTATGCCTGGCTAGTGCTCCCCCCCCCCCCCCCCCCCCCCCTGTAAGAAGTCTGATGGTATAATTCAAAATGTGACACAAACCTTTTTTTTTCCTCTTCAGTGTTGATGAGCCTCCCTTTATCAATATCTACCCAAAGCTCCCAGTACTTCTCCCCGTGTGTGCCTTCCAGGAACTTCTTAAAGGCCATGATCCCTTTCAAACTAGTCAAGCTATGCCACTTGTCCTTCTTGCGGCGGAAATGAATGTCCCGCTCTTCAAAGTCCTCGTCACTGTCCAGCAGGGAGTCTGCATCACTTTCCTCCTCTGCGGACTTGGGCATGGGTTTATCCCAGGTTATGTGGATTGGCTCTTTGTCAGCCACCGTGTCTTCTTCATGGGGGGCTTTTAGGGACTGCAGAACATAGTTTAGCTCTTCCACGTCGCTAGCCTTGACCACGGACAGACTCTCCAGTCTGTCCACTGACACACAGGTCAGGTCCATGGAAGGGTATATGCTGCTGACCGCTGGGTCAGCCAGGACTATTTTCTCATCAATGTCCAGCATATCCGCCAGAGTTTTCTTCATGACGGCACCAACAATAACTGAACCCATCTCCTCTATGGATCTCAGTATGATCTGGCCGGTGCCACCAGATTCCCAGGTACCGTCGTAGTAAATTTGATCTATTATAGGCTGGGCAAATAAACGCTTCTCGAAATCCTCATCTTTCTCATCTATTTCACCAATACCAGACTCTGCATCAGTGCTCTGGTTATCCTGCTTGGGATAGATGAACATAACGTTGCCAGGGGGGACCATCTCCTCGTCAGCCTCCTGCTCCCCTGGGATCTTCCTCCTCAGCATTGTTGTTGAGGAGTGAATCTTGTCAGAAGGACGTGGAGTGAAAGGCTTTTCTTTGACAAACAGATGCTCATCTAGCGCTGTTTGATCATTAATGGAAGGCTCTGTTTCATTGGGGCCTTTTAGCACTGTAAATTAATGTAAATCATCAAATGAAATTGGTGAGGTCAAGTATTAAGGCAACTGTAAAAAATGCTATGAATACCATAAAATCCTTTAGAATAAGTGGAGAGTCCAGTGAATTTATAGAAGAAGAAATATAATGGGTGTAAACCTCAACATGAAAACAATGAATAAAAACAAATTAAAAATAAAACATTCAGCTGCTTTAAAACATTCCAAAAATTTCAAATAGTCTCCTTTAAGTCCATTGTTTGCTGTCTATCAGCATGAAAAGACCATGTCCATCACATCCCAAACTAAAGCTCCCTACCTGGTGTATAGACCCCAAACTAAAGCTCCCTACCTGGTGTGTAGACCCCAAACTAAAGCTCCCTACCTGGTGTGTAGACCCCAAACTAAAGCTCCCTACCTGGTGTGTAGACCCCAAACTAAAGCTCCCTACCTGGTGTGTAGACCCCAAACTAAAGCTCCCTACCTGGTGTATAGACCCCAAACTAAAGCTCCCTACCTGGTGTATAGACCCCAAACTAAAGCTCCCTACCTGGTGTATCAACCCCAAACTAAAGCTCCCTACCTGGTGTATAGACCCCAAACTAAAGCTCCCTACCTGGTGTATAGACCCCAAACTAAAGCTCCCTACCTGGTGTCCCAAACTAAAGCTCCCTACCTGGTGTGTAGACCCCAAACTAAAGCTCCCTACCTGGTGTCCCAAACTAAAGCTCCCTACCTGGTGTGTAGACCCCCAAACTAAAGCTCCCTACCTGGTGTCCCAAACTAAAGCTCCCTACCTGGTGTATAGACCCCAAACTAAAGCTCCCTACCTGGTGTGTAGACCCCAAACTAAAGCTCCCTACCTGGTGTCCCAAACTAAAGCTCCCTACCTGGTGTCCCAAACTAAAGCTCCCGACCTGGTGTGTAGACCCCCAAACTAAAGCTCCCTACCTGGTGTCCCAAACTAAAGCTCCCTACCTGGTGTATAGACCCCAAACTAAAGCTCCCTACCTGGTGTATAGACCCCAAACTAAAGCTCCCTACCTGGTGTCCCAAACTAAAGCTCCCGACCTGGTGTGTAGACCCCCAAACTAAAGCTCCCTACCTGGTGTCCCAAACTAAAGCTCCCTACCTGGTGTATAGACCCCAAACTAAAGCTCCCTACCTGGTGTATAGACCCCAAACTAAAGCTCCCTACCTGGTGTCCCAAACTAAAGCTCCCGACCTGGTGTGTAGACCCCCAAACTAAAGCTCCCTACCTGGTGTCCCAAACTAAAGCTCCCTACCTGGTGTGTAGACCCCAAACTAAAGCTCCCTACCTGGTGTGTAGACCCCAAACTAAAGCTCCCTACCTGGTGTCCCAAACTAAAGCTCCCTACCTGGTGTGTAGACCCCAAAATATTGGCTGTGAAAGACGGAGCTTTTCTCCGCAGGAAGTATGGCTGTCTGTACGGTGGATGCCAGCTTGGGGCCCAGGCTTGTGTACGTGGGCTCTAGCTTCAGCTCCTGCTTGGCCTGGGTGAACCACGCCTCTTTAGCCGCACCACGGACATCTCCAAAGCTGACAAACATTTCTTTCATGATGATGTCCTCCACATTGGGGGGCGGCACCTCCACCTGTGTGCCCATGTTTCAAAGATGAGAGGAAGCCACAATAGCTAGCAAATTTTAAACTACATAACAATAAAAAAAAATTTAACATTTCAAATTACTGGTGGCCTATGTGTCAAAATAAGAAATTATTCTTTAACTCTGAAACAGCAAAGCAGAATAAAGTTGGACACCTTGAATAGTAGTGGCTGAATAGTTCGAGTTAGGAAACAATGTTTAAACAACATAATAACAAAACTATGTGTAACACTCTAAATCGTACCACAGTTTCACAGAAAATGTTTAAAATAAAAAACACAAAATGATCAAACTAGTACAAAAAAACAACCCACCAAAGATTTTTAAAAACATTTTTTCAGTAAAAATTTCACTTACAGCACTTTTCTTTTTCTTGATTTTACTGGAGTAATCAATTTTCATGACGACAAACTCCCCTTTATCATTGAAGATACGAACTTGAGATATAACTTTAGCCAGACGATATTGAAAATAATAATCACTTTCCAGGAAGATGGGTAGTCGCTCTGCTTTGATCCAGTAGATGCCTTGGTCTTTGTTTAAAGTCTGATGTCAAAAATAGCCTTTAAACATCTTACTAAAAAATGGAGCCAACATTATAAAGCTTACGTATTTGTTTATATGATGCATTTGTATGGGCTTGTGATTTTGCTTTTGAAATTCTAATCTAATAATTGCAGTGAGATATTTCTACTTAATTACTGTCTATGTTAATAAACAAAAGTCCTTGATAAAATGGTTTAAGTTCTACAGACTAAATCAATGTATGTTTGTGATAAAAGCTAGAACAGTTCAACAATAGGTTTAAGTAGATGCTGCATGATTGTGACCAGAAGCTGACCCCCCCCCCCCTAACTCCTGTCAATCAGTTGTTGAAACTTCCGAAATGTTAAATTCCCACTTGATGTGATTAAAAAGTGAATTGCTGTGGGTTGGTTGAAAAGTTTAGTTCAGAAAATCCCTCTAGTGAAAAATGACTGCATTCCAATTCTTAGGTCCACCCAACCAAGATGGCTATATGACTGAAGTAGGATGTTGTCCACCCAACCATGATGGCTATATGACTGAAGTAGGATGTTGTCCACCCAACCATGATGGCTATATGACTGAAGTAGGATGTTGTCCACCCAACCATGATGGCTATATGACTGAAGTAGGATGTTGTCCACCCAACCATGATGGCTATATGACTGAAGTAGGATGTTGTCCACCCAACCATGATGGCTATATGACTGAAGTAGGATGTTGTCCACCCAACCATGATGGCTATATGACTGAAGTAGGATGTTGTCCACCCAACCATGATGGCTATATGACTGAAGTAGGATGTTGTCCACCCAACCATGATGGCTATATGACTGAAGTAGGATGTTGTCCACCCAACCATGATGGCTATATGACTGAAGTAGGATGTTGTCCACCCAACCATGATGGCTATATGACTGAAGTAGGATGTTGTCCACCCAACCATGATGGCTATATGACTGAAGTAGGATGTTGTCCACCCAACCATGATGACTATATGACTGTAGTAGGATGTTGGTCACAGGGCAGACAAAGCAGTGTTTGTTTCTTTGACCCCAGCGTATGAATGGATTGTATTGTCATGCCTTTACTTTCCCCAGCATAAGTCAGGTACTCAATAGAGCTGGGTGGACTCAGGGGTATATAACCCAGGTTGTAATTGTGTGCGCACAACTTGATCAACTAAAAAATAAAGAGAAGTTCTATCCAAACATAAACTGCTTACTATGACTTGAAAAGATGTATGATCAACTGAAATATAAAGAGAAGTTCTATCCAAACAGAAACTGCTTACTATGACTTGAAAAGATGTGTCAATCTTTACAGCCTCAGGCCTGTTGGAATCTTCTATTGGAATAACTGGAATGTCTGAAAAAGCGTGGTGTCTTGTCACTTCATATTTTTTGGACATTGTGTGCTGTGATCTAACTGCCTCTTTAATCTGCTGTGCCAACTTCTGTTTGCCATCACTAACCACTTCAAAACCACCAGTCTCAACATTAAAACAGATAGGCTCTGGAAAAGACTGCAAGTGTATTCATATAAGCAGATGTCTACAAGTTTTCTGAAATAGTTCTTTTTATTTTAGTTTTTTTTAGATAGAAATAACTGAATTGAAGTTTATTTTATGTAGTAAATAAGGTAAATATAGTAAATTAAAAAAAATGACTATTTAAGTAAAAGATCAATATGTAGAAAAAAAATGTCTTACTGGGAGAGATAAGAATGCATTGAAGAACTCCACAAACAATGGATCATGAACTAGGAACTCTTCCTGTTGATGACATAAACAAGTCGATTTTTTAAAAACTAAAAATAATTTGTTTTCAACTTTCTACATAACATAATGGTAAACAAACAACAGCCCCCCCCCCCCAACATTCACATACCACCCCAGCAACTTACTCCTCCAAACCATGCAGTGCTGGTGGTAGTTCACCAACACCTCAACGTTCATCACTCTACAAACTTCAACATCAACAACCATTGATAACAAATAAATGCAGCTCTCGATCTGTTTCATTCTTTGCATTACATGATGTCTGTCTATAACAGTATTACATGATGTCTGTCTTTAACAGTATTACATCATGTCTGTCTATAACAGTATTACATGATGTCTGTCTATAACAGTATTACATCATGTCTGTCTATAACAGTATTACATGATGTCTGTCTATAACAGTATTACATGATGTCTGTCTATAACAGTATTACATGATGTCTGTCTATAACAGTATTACATCATGTCTGACTATAACAGCATTACATGACTATAACAGTATTACATCATGTCTGTCTATAACAGCATTACATGATGTCTGTCTATAACAGTATTACATGATGTCTGTCTATAACAGCATTACATGATGTCTGTCTATAACAGTATTACATGATGTCTGTCTATAACAGTATTACATCATGTCTGACTATAACAGCATTACATGACTATAACAGTATTACATCATGTCTGTCTATAACAGCATTACATGATGTCTGTCTATAACAGCATTACATCACTATAACAGCATTACATGATATCTGTCTATAACAGTATTACATCATGTCTGTCTATAACAGCATTACATGATGTCTGTCTATAACAGCATTACATCACTATAACAGTATTACATCATGTCTGTCTATAACAGCATTACATGATGTCTGTCTATAACAGCATTACATCACTATAACAGCATTACATGATGTCTGTCTATAACAGTATTACATCATGTCTGTCTATAACAGCATTACATGATGTCTGTCTATAACAGCATTACATCACTATAACAGTATTACATCATGTCTGTCTATAACAGCATTACATGATGTCTGTCTATAACAGTATTACATCATGTCTGTCTATAACAGTATTACATGATGTCTGTCTATAACAGTATTACATGATGTCTGTCTATAACTGTATTACATCATGTCTGTCTATAACAGTATTACATCATGTCTGTCTATAACAGTATTACATCATGTCTGTCTATAACAGTATTACATGATGTCTGTCTATAACAGTATTACATCATGTCTGTCTATAACAGTATGACATCATGTCTGTCTATAACAGTATTACATCATGTCTGTCTATAACAGCATTACATGATGTCTGTCTATAACAGTATTACATCATGTCTGTCTATAACAGCATTACATGATGTCTGTCTATAACAGCATTACATCACTATAACAGCATTACATGATGTCTGTCTATAACAGTATTACATCATGTCTGTCTATAACAGCATTACATGATGTCTGTCTATAACAGCATTACATCACTATAACAGTATTACATCATGTCTGTCTATAACAGCATTACATGATGTCTGTCTATAACAGTATTACATCATGTCTGTCTATAACAGTATTACATGATGTCTGTCTATAACAGTATTACATGATGTCTGTCTATAACTGTATTACATCATGTCTGTCTATAACAGTATTACATCATGTCTGTCTATAACAGTATTACATGATGTCTGTCTATAACAGTATTACATGATGTCTGTCTATAACAGTATTACATCATGTCTGTCTATAACAGTATTACATGATGTCTGTCTATAACAGCATTGCATGATGTCTGTCTATAACAGCATTACATGATGTCTGTCTATAACAGTATTACATCATGTCTGTCTATAACAGTATTACATCATGTCTGTCTATAACAGTATTACATCATGTCTGTCTATAACAGTATTACATGATGTCTGTCTATAACAGCATTACATCATGTCTGTCTATAACAGTATTACATCATGTCTGTCTATAACAGCATTACATGATGTCTGTCTATAACAGCATTACATCACTATAACAGTATTACATCATGTCTGTCTATAACAGCATTACATGATGTCTGTCTATAACAGCATTACATCATGTCTGTCTATAACAGTATTACATGATGTCTGTCTATAACAGTATTACATCATGTCTGTCTATAACAGTATTACATCATGTCTGTCTATAACAGTATTACATGATGTCTGTCTATAACAGTATTACATCATGTCTGTCTATAACAGTATTACATGATGTCTGTCTATAACAGTATTACATCATGTCTGTCTATAACAGTATTACATCATGTCTATCTATAACAGTATTACATGATGTCTGTCTATAACAGTATTACATGATGTCTGTCTATAACAGTATTACATCACTATAACAGTATTACATCATGTCTGTCTATAACAGCATTACATGATGTCTGTCTATAACAGCATTACATCACTATAACAGCATTACATGATGTCTGTCTATAACAGTATTACATCATGTCTGTCTATAACAGCATTACATGATGTCTGTCTATAACAGCATTACATCACTATAACAGTATTACATGATGTCTGTCTATAACAGTATTACATGATGTCTGTCTATAACAGTATTACATGATGTCTGTCTATAACAGTATTACATCATGTCTGTCTATAACAGTATTACATCATGTCTGTCTATAACAGTATTACATCATGTCTGTCTATAACAGTATTACATCATGTCTGTCTATAACAGTATTACATGATGTCTGTCTATAACAGTATTACATCATGTCTGTCTATAACAGTATTACATGATGTCTGTCTATAACAGTATTACATCATGTCTGTCTATAACAGTATTACATCATGTCTGTCTATAACAGTATTACATGATGTCTGTCTATAACAGTATTACATCATGTCTGTCTATAACAGTATTACATCATGTCTATCTATAACAGTATTACATCATGTCTGTCTATAACAGTATTACATCATGTCTGTCTATAACAGTATTACATGATGTCTGTCTATAACAGCATTACATCATGTCTGTCTATAACAGCATTACATGATGTCTGTCTATAACAGCATTACATCACTATAACAGTATTACATGATGTCTGTCTATAACAGCATTACATCATGTCTGTCTATAACAGCATTACATGATGTCTGTCTATAACAGTATTACATGATGTCTGTCTATAACAGCATTACATCATGTCTGTCTATAACAGTATTACATCATGTCTGTCTATAACAGTATTACATGATGTCTGTCTATAACAGTATTACATCATGTCTATCTATAACAGTATTACATGATGTCTGTCTATAACAGCATTACATCACTATAACAGTATTACATGATGTCTGTCTATAACAGTATTACATGATGTCTGTCTATAACAGTATTACATGATGTCTGTCTATAACAGCATTACATGATGTCTGTCTATAACAGCATTACATCACTATAACAGTATTACATCATGTCTGTCTATAACAGCATTACATGATGTCTGTCTATAACAGCATTACATGATGTCTGTCTATAACAGTATTACATCATGTCTGTCTATAACAGTATTACATCATGTCTGTCTATAACAGTATTACATGATGTCTGTCTATAACAGTATTACATGATGTCTGTCTATATCAGTATTACATGATGTCTGTCTATAACATTATTACATCATGTCTGTCTATAACAGTATTACATGATGTCTGTCTATAACAGTATTACATGATGTCTGTCTATAACAGCATTACATCATGTCTGTCTATAACAGTATTACTTCATGTCTGTCTATAACAGCATTACATGATGTCTGTCTATAACAGCATTACATCACTATAACAGCATTACATGATGTCTGTCTATAACAGTATTACATCATGTCTGTCTATAACAGCATTACATGATGTCTGTCTATAACAGCATTACATCACTATAACAGTATTACATCATGTCTGTCTATAACAGCATTACATGATGTCTGTCTATAACAGTATTACATGATGTCTGTCTATAACAGTATTACATGATGTCTGTCTATAACAGTATTACATGATGTCTGTCTATAACAGTATTACATGATGTCTGTCTATAACAGTATTACATGATGTCTGTCTATAACAGTATTACATGATGTCTGTCTATAACAGTATTACATCATGTCTGTCTATAACAGTATTACATGATGTCTGTCTATAACAGTATTACATCATGTCTGTCTATAACAGTATTACATGATGTCTGTCTATAACAGTATTACATCATGTCTGTCTATAACAGTATTACATCATGTCTGTCTATAACAGTATTACATGATGTCTGTCTATAACAGCATTACATCATGTCTGTCTATAACAGCATTACATGATGTCTGTCTATAACAGCATTACATCATGTCTGTCTATAACAGTATTACATGATGTCTGTCTATAACAGTATTACATCATGTCTGTCTATAACAGCATTACATGATGTCTGTCTATAACAGCATTACATGATGTCTGTCTATAACAGTATTACATCATGTCTGTCTATAACAGTATTACATGATGTCTGTCTATAACAGCATTACATCATGTCTGTCTATAACAGTATTACATCATGTCTGTCTATAACAGCATTACATGATGTCTGTCTATAACAGCATTACATCACTATAACAGTATTACATGATGTCTGTCTATAACAGCATTACATCATGTCTGTCTATAACAGCATTACATGATGTCTGTCTATAACAGTATTACATGATGTCTGTCTATAACAGTATTACATCATGTCTGTCTATATCAGTATAAGGCATCACACAGTGTCCATACCATGAAATTGTTTACAACTACTCAATGAACTTTACATTATCCTTAGATTTGAGTCAGGCCCTTTGCTTAGAGAACAAACTATCTAATGCTTAATTTATCCTATCCAACATATCCTGTGCTACCAAGAGACACCTAACTGAGAGCTAAGACAAAATTTAGCCTAAAAGAAAAAACTGAGCTTTATATTTATCCGTGTGAGGCCAATCATGAGCTGCTGGACGGTGACATTATTGTTAAATCAATAGCTAATGGCTAAACTCTAGACTGTGTAGGACTAATCAAGCATGGCATATTTTCTTAATGCATTAATCATGCACTACCTACATTTGGGGCTATGGCTGGCTTATCAAGGCTTAAGGACAGGATAATCAAGCAAGTTTTTACTTTTATTGCTAAAGCAATAACTTGGAGATACAGACTAAACCACACCATAGAGCCCAAAGCAAGTGCATGATAAATGTGGCTTTAAAAGCTTGACTTCCGCAGCTCAACAGGTAATCTAACATACATAAAGCACTGGTCATTTACATACTCAGACAAAAGAGCTAGTGGAAATATTGACTGGTTTAATCTCATTTTAATAGACGGATCTACACATTTACTAGGGGCTGCTAACAAAGTAACCCAGGTCAACATTAGAGTGTTGGCGGGTTAAAAAAAAATTAACACTTTACTTACACAGCTATTCTAAACTACAGCGAGCATATAAAAAGACTCTAGAATTAGATACAGGCCATCTCACACTTGATTATGTTGGGACTGGGGACACGGGTGTGTAGTGTTAGACAGTTGTCTTTTGTACACTAATATAGCATATAGGCAGCCTAATTGTAATACCTAATTGTAATACATTATCCATAATCCATAACAACACCTATTCTGCCTCAAGTTTATAAGCCTACGCTTTCTGTCAGATTAGCATGGAGACTAAAGTAAGGGGAGAACACCAGTAAATAATCATAATCGCCATAACCCTGTCGTTACAAGTAGTCTCCCCTCCCCTGGTACAGTTGGGCATGTACATGATCTAGTACATAAACTACCTGCCCGTGGTGGCGACCGTCTACCTGATAATCCACGCCGACCCGCGTCTTTCATGGCAATTATCGATTCGTTATTACATACTAGATAAACTCGGGTTCTGTATCCAAACTTTGTCCACCTACATTCCCGTTCAATGACACGTATCGATTGGTTATCGATCTAGCAAATATAGTTTCAAACAACACTGCGTGTAACACGGAGAAATCCTGTTAGGGCAGAATTAAAAAAAAAAAAACTTTTGTAACTTTATAATGGCTTTTTGATGGCGGCAGGGTAGAGCCGATGTCTCACTGTAGCGGACTGTAGCCTATATGGTGAGGTTAGAAATCATGGGTTCCGACAGGTTTTTTTTATTGCGGGGGTGTGGGAGGGGGGGGGTTGAAATTGCATCTTGCGGGGAGGGGAACTAGCACTTAAAATCTCCAGGGACGTACACTGGATAAAGTATATTTTTTGTATATAGGGGTCATCCATAAATGACGTCATGCTTTTTTTGACGATTTTTACCCCTCCGTCACACGTCGTCACAAAAAGCCAGACCCCCCCTAAAATGACGTCACATCTCAACCTACACCCCCCCCCCCCTCAAAATTGCAGTGGAATGTTTTTAAAACGTCGATATTTTTTCTAAAATCTTGTCTAAACTATTATTACAATTTATTAAAACAGTTATCTAAAACGCGAAATAACGTCTAAAATTAAAATTCATTTTCTAACATTGCTTTTTTATAATGCAAAAGTGTGACGTCGCAACATCTGAACCCCCCCCCCCCCCTCATCACACATCGTCACAAAATTACGGACCCCCCCCCCCCTACGAGTGTGACGTAATTTATGGATGACCCCATACACCAGAAGTGATGTCTGAAAAAAGCTGGTTAGAAAACAGGACGCTACTCCTCCAGCCATCAGACCCTAGCAAAGATCTTCAAGCATATCGCTACTAGTGTTTGTTGACTTTAGGCTTAATGTGTTAGGATCTTCAAGCATGTCGCTACTAGTGTTTGTTGACTTTAGGCTTAATGTGTTAGGATCTTCAAGCATGTCGCTACTAGTGTTTGTTGACTTTAGGCTTAATGTGTTAGGATCTTCAAGCATATCGCTACTAGTGTTTGTTGACTTTAGGCTTAATGTGTTAGGATCTTCAAGCATATCGCTACCAGTGTTTGTTGACTTTAGGCTTAATGTGTTAGGATCTTCAAGCATATCGCTACTAGTGTTTGTTGACTTTAGGCTTAATGTGTTAAGATCTTCAAGCATATCGCTACCAGTGTTTGTTGACTTTAGGCTTAATGTGTTAAGATCTTCAAGCATATCGCTACCAGTGTTTGTTGACTTTAGGCTTAATGTGTTAGGATCTTCAAGCTTATCACTACTAGTGTTTGTTGACTTTAGGCTTAATGTGTTAGGATCTTCAAGCTTATCACTACTAGTGTTTGTTGACTTTAGGCTTAATGTGTTAGGATCTTCAAGCTTATCACTACTAGTGTTTGTTGACTTTAGGCTTAATGTGTTAGGATCTTCAAGCTTATCACTACTAGTGTTTGTTGACTTTAGGCTTAATGTGTTAGGATCTTCAAGCATATCGCTACTAGTGTTTGTTGACTTTAGGCTTAATGTGTTAAGATCTTCAAGCATATCGCTATTAGTGTTTGTTGACTTTAGGCTTAATGTGTTAGGATCTTCAAGCATATCGCTACCAGTGTTTGTTGACTTTAGGCTTAATGTGTTAGGATCTTCAAGCATATCGCTACTAGTGTTTGTTGACTTAAGCTTAATGTGTTAGGATCTTCAAGCATATCGCTACCAGTCTTTGTTGACTTTAGGCTTAATGTGTTAGGATCTTCAAGCATATCGCTACTGTGTTTGTTGACTTTAGGCTTAATGTGTTAGGATCTTCAAGCATATCGCTACTGTGTTTGTTGACTTTAGGCTTAATGTGTTAGGACCTTCAAGCATATCGCTACTAGTGTTTGTTGACTTTAGGGCTTAATGTGTTAGGATCTTCAAGCATATCGCTACAAGTGTTTGTTGACTTTAGGCTTAATGTGTTAGGATCTTCAAGCATATCGCTACCAGTGTTTGTTGACTTTAGGCTTAATGTGTTAGGATCTTCAAGCATATCGCTACTAGTGTTTGTTGACTTTAGGCTTAATGTGTTAGGACTGGTGTTGTGTTACGGATCAATATGACTACATTGTATGACGTAATGGAGAGGTGGCCGACAGAAAGACATAAACCATATGAAAATAAATAGTAATGTAAAACTAATGCAGCTTACGACTAGATATTGTTGACATGCCCCGACCTGTTGGCTATTACATAGCTAGACGAATTACGTAAGAGTTATACGGTGCCTGACCGAATGCCCTGGCCGCTACTGGTGTGTAAAGATCTACTATAACTTATGTGATATATTATGTCTGACCTATTTTTTACACGTGTAGTTCTGGCCAGGCTTAATGGAATTTACTTGCTTTAATTTTTTTAATTTTCAAAAACTCTAATTAAACTATATGATATATATATATATATATATATATATATATATATATATATATATATATATATATATATATATATATATATATAGTACTATTATATAATAGAACATTTGTGGGAGGGGGATATAAAAAAATCAAGGCCTAGGATTAGTGATGCCAACATATCAAACCCCCTCCCCTCACCCTCTTGATCCGCCACTGATACATACCAAAATATTTTTTACATTTTTAACTTGATTCACATACAAGCCAAGGTAATTTTTTTATGTTCACTAGATTCACGAGCACATTTTTTTCTCTCCCAGTATGATTATTTATAAATCTACAATACGTATGGCTAATGAACAAAACAGCCCGTTTCCATCAGAAGGTTTACAGTAGACCAACAAACCGCAATGGCCACTTGACGCGAATCAAATCAGTAATTCTTCGTGTTGTTGTTTATTGTCCGGTCTCCCTCCTTTCCCACAACACAGCAGACTTAGAGGAGCCTTTATGCTAATCTCACCACACAACTGTACCCAATCCTTTGTGTCATGATTAGGGAGGACAACCTGACCAGTGGACACAATAACCCATTCATGTCGTTTCATGACAGCAAGGTTGACGCTTAGTGGTGACTCAGTACATATGAGTTGTCACTCAGTGGTGACACAGTGGTGATACAGTAACAGTACATATGGGTTGTAGCACAGTGGTAGCACAGTGGTGATACAGTACATATGGGTTGTCGCTTAGTGGTGACACAGTACATATGAGTTGTCACTCAGTGGTGACACAGTGGTGATACAGTAACAGTACATATGGGTTGTAGCACAGTGGTAGCACAGTGGTGATACAGTACATATGAGTTGTCGCTCAGTGGTGACACAGGACATAAAGGTTGTAGCAGAGTGTTGATCCAGGACATACAGGTTGTAACAAATTGGCGACACATAACATTAAGGTTTTAGTGCCGAGGACAGATTGTGATGACACTGAGTACATAAAGAAACAAAAAAATATAGATTTGAAGGGCAGTGTGTGACCATTTCAACAAGAAACGTAACCAACGCTCACTGATTGTGCCCTGCCCTGTCTTGCAGTGGCTTGACCCAACTTGTAGAATGTGATGCCCCAAGTGACCCCGCCCACCCCACACAACAAACACAGGCAGGTATTAACATATGTCAATCAACTTATTTATAGGATACTTTGTTCAAAACTTACCACATCATCTTCTTCTATTATTGGTGGATCTGAAATGACAAAAAAAAATGTGTCCTGAACCTAAATGAACTAGAAGTGACCTGAGATCATGCTACTATGATGCTCTACAGCCATTGTATCTATACTACCCTGGCAATACAATAACACTGGTTAACTATAAACTTACTACTTTTTATAAACACTACATGTAGATCCCAACTCAGGAAACTTATCAAATGAATAACCACCACAACCCAACTCAGGAAACTACTAACACTTTTTATAAACACGACATATATATCCCAAATCAGGAAACTTACCATTTATGTATAACCACCATACCAAAAATCAGGAAACTTACCATTTATGTATAACCACCATACCAAAGATCAGGAAACTTACCATTTATGTATAACCACCATACCAAAGATCAGGAAACTTACCACTTATGTATAGCCACCATACCAAACATCAGGAAACTTACCATATGTATAGCCACCATACCAAAAATCAGGAAACTTACCACTCTTGATGACGACAACATTCCACGGCAGGTCTTTGGGCCGAGGCCGCCGTTTGACCACGAGAGACATCTGGCACCGAGTGGCAGCGCCCAGCTCCTTGTCAATGTCTGCGATCTCGATCTTAGAGGCCAGCGTGCCCGGCTTGATGCCGCTAGTCCCGGGGAACAGACCTACGGGGTCGGGCCATACCAGATCTTCTGCCCAGAAGTCTTCCTTCGAGCTGTCAGTAGAACCAGTCAAAACACTCGTTACACACGCTCAATAAGTTAAAGCTAATTAACTAACACAAGACAATTGTATTGTATAGGACTAAAGTAAAAACAATGTCCTATTCTGGATATATCAAAATAATGTTTTATCGCAATTATAAGTAGGTTTTTAGATGTTGAGCAAAGTAAATATTAGACATTGCCTAATGAAGAATTAAAACTAATTGCACCATAAGAATAATGCCAGTCTATTCAAGCTACAGTTGAATGCGGCTTCTATTCAGCCGAGCGTATCCGGCCTCAAGATCGCCCTATTGATTACGGAAACGTTCAATAAAGTATCAATGGAAATTGTTTTTTTACGTCCTACACATGATACCGTGTATTTTTACTAGATCAGAACAATATAACTGTATATATAACAACATTTAGCCTTGGACATTATTTGTTACACTAACGACTGGCGGTTAGACCGATGTTAGAATGGTTAAGGTTGGATAAATTGCAGGTAGATGTGTAGGTGAGAGAATAAGAAACAGTGGCGATGCAAGGCGGAGATCCGGACCGCACCAGGTGACACCATTTGAAGGGGGGGGGGTGACACCAAGACGAAAAAATGAAGCATTTTCAAAGAAATAAATTGTTGATCATTAACATTAATAAATAGCTATAGAAAAACGGTATCATTAAAAAGATATTGAAATGGTGTGTGTGGGAAAGGGTGACACCAAGAGACAAAAAGTTTATTTCACAGAAATAGCAAAGCTTAAGTGAGTAGACTTATCAGCCTGATCAAAGCCAAATACGCCGAGAAGTTTATAAAACCACGCATCTACATTAAAACACGCGAATCCACCGCTCCGGGTGATACCCGACCTTGCTCCGCCACTGATCAGAAACATAAACATTTACAATCGTCTAATTAAACCAGTCCTGGAATCGGTTTGAAAATACCAGGAAAATAATGACAGTAAAAACGTGAATGTATAGTGAGTCTCGACACTTTCAGCAGGGAGGGGTTAGGGGGGGGGGAGGGGGAATGCAAAAAATACACTTTGTTGCAAGATCTTAACTGACCATGTACGGTTAAAAAATACATCAAAGCTTGAAGTTTCAAAAACATTTTAAAAACAAAATCTTAGGAATAGGTGTTCATATAGATGATTATTATGCTTATGGGGACAAACATAGTAACAGGAAAGCAGGAGTGAAATTGATTATTCAGATTTAGAGAAGATATTAAAGTAGTTTATTTTTGTGAAAAGTTAACTGTTATAATTAGTTTCTAACCAACACTGGAGCTCAGTCATCAAGTTGAGGGGAGACCAACATAAACGTCACAGCAAGGCACGGGGTCGGCTAGTTCACCCCCCCCCCCCCCCCCCGAAAATAAAAATAAAATAAAATTTATATAGAAAATATTTAATTTTATCAGTGCCCCCCCCCCCCCACTACCACGGTGAAAATGTCTGAAAGAAACAACGAGGCCCAAATTCAGCACGGACAACAATACAAGTCGTCTCTAACTAACACAGGAGCTATGTCGTTAAGTTGACCGTCATAAACGTCACAGGGTGTCACAATCGTAAACCAACAGACGCCCGCCTGGTCTAGAGTTCACCAACTCCAAGGGTTCAAGTCATTCGTGGGACAACAACAACACGTCGGCCGTAGAAGGGTTTAGGTACACAAACAAACTTGTTGCTTGATTAAGCATCTCGAACAGTGTCTAGCATGTAGGAAACTGGGTACACAAGTGGCAAGTCTTACATTTAAGAACAATTGATTGTGAAAGATATTTTCCCTGTGGCCAGAATCTCACAGAATAACACTCTTCAGTAGCCTACTCAAAACGTGCCCATTACACCATAGCCCGGCGGTATTTCAACAGCTGCCGATATGTTTACTGTAGCATTGGTGTGTCTACACCACACCAATGCTACATAATGAATTCATACCACTGCCTGCTACAAGAACTAGCCATGACTACCCAAGTCTCACCTGTGTTGAGCGGCCTTGTATCAAATGTTATAGTTACCTTTTAGAGAGTACGACGTGTGTCTAACACAATTCTAGAGGGATCTCAATCTCTTCCTACCACAACAGAAACACAAGGAATGAACAGAAGAAAATCCCCTAATAAAACCACATTCCGATCAGAGTTTGTCTAAAGCTCTAGACAATCACAGTAGTGCACCAAAATCCCATTTAACGTCGATGTATGCTCAATAGAATAAAAGCTTGTCACAGTACTGAATAGAGCTATCCCTCGTGCTTTACCGGAATCAAGTTGACAGTTTAAAGGTACTTTCCACGTTGTACCAATCTACTTCCATAGAGCTTGGTGCAAGCAAATATCGATCACTGATTTGATTGATATCACCGGGCACTGATAGGACAGCCCGTATAAATCTTGTGATCACAACAACGGCAATGTTGAATTGGGCCAAGATTGTGGGTTGTAAAGCTCTTCAGTGCAGTTCTCACACACCTTTCGTCAGTAAAGACCTCTCTACCTAAAGGTGATTCGTTGACAGCTTTTCTCACACAACTTTCGTTAGTAAAGACCTCTCTACCTAGTGGTTGATTCCTTGACAGCTTTTCTCACACAACTTTCTCTAGAGACTTCTCTACCTAATGGTTGATTCGTTGACAGCTTTTCTCACACAACTTTCGTTAGTAAAGACCTCTCTACCTAGTGGTTGATTCCTTGACAGCTTTTCTCACACAACTTTCTCTAGAGACTTCTCTACCTAATGGTTGATTCGTTGACAGCTTTTCTCACACAACTTTCGTTAGTAAAGACCTCTCTACCTAGTGGTTGATTCCTTGACAACTTTTCTCACACAACTGTATACAATACTTGTATGAGAGACGTCCACTACACAGTTGATAACATGAACAGAAAATACTTGTATGAGAGACTCCACTACACAGTTGATAACATGAGCAGAAAATACTTGTATGGTAGACGTCCATTACACAGTTGATAACATGAACAGAAAATACTTGTATGGTAGACGTCCACTACACAGTTGATAACATGAACAGAAAATACTTGTATGGTAGACGTCCACTACACAGTTGATAACATGAACAGAAAATACTTGTATGAGAGACTCCACTACACAGTTGATAACATGAACAGAAAATACTTGTATGGTAGACGTCCATTACACAGTTGATAACATGAACAGAAAATACTTGTATGAGAGACTCCACTACACAGTTGATAACATGAACAGAAAATACTTGTATGGTAGACGTCCACTACACAGTTGATAACATGAACAGAAAATACTTGTATGGTAGACGTCCATTACACAGTTGATAATATGAACAGAAAATACTTGTATGAGAGACTCCACTACACAGTTGATAATACGAACAGAAAATACTTGTATGGTAGACGTCCATTACACCGTTGATAACATGAACAGAAAATACTTGTATGAGAGACTGGAGATTTTGTGGAACGCCAAAGAGATTTATCTAATACTTTGAGCTCTAGACAAGATTCGGTTAATGGGGGGATCACTACAGGCTACAGAGAGACTACGGAACCACAACCAGCAGTCATGTGGAGCAGAAGACAAAAAACTTGAGCAGGCATTAGCCTAACTGGCGTGCCGTTAACGATTTTTTTTTACCTCTGAAAATATTTTATTGAACTTTGACAGAAAGATAAGCATAGTAAGGTGTCACTCAAAATAGTTAAAGAAGTTTTTTAAATGGAAATAAACATTGTGTGTCTTCTGGGTAGGTGTGAGACTACACGGCGATCAAAACGACTCACAGTAAGAAGACATGTGGAAAATAAAGCTAAGGATTAGACAGGGTTGTCAATGTAAAAAAAAAAATTAGGCCAGTCTCTGACGATATAGCAGAAAAACTTAAAACCGACTAAGAGTGGAAAAGTTTAGGACTAAACTGAAGCTCGCTGTTGAACTTGATTTTACTTTTAGACATTCACCAAAAACATGATTGAATTATTTTTTTTAAGCGTGTTCAACTCTAACCTTCTTCGTATTTTACTCAACAAAATCCCGTTTCGCTAATAACAAAAGGCAATACGACCGTCCACAAAACGCGTTAATTCATTTGTCCTAATGTGTAAACGATAGCGGTAAATAGCGCCTAAGAATCTAACAACGGTCGTTAATAATACACACGGAATAGTGTATTAATACACACGGAATAGTGTATTAGTACACACGGAATAGTGTATTAATACACACGGAATAGTGTATTAGTACACACGGAATAGTGTATTAATACACACTGAATTAGTACACATGAAATAGTGTATTAATTGAACACTGACAAGTTTGAAACAGTGGGCTTAATGTATAGATCGATAATATAATAATACTAAATTGGCGACAAACTTGTAACACGCCACAAAAAAGAACGTATCTAACACATGAGTCCAATTGTAGCACTGTGATGACAAGTATAATATAGTAATACTAAATAGGCGACAAACTTGTAACACACCACAAAAAAAGAACGTAGCTAACACATGAGTCCAACTGTAGCACTGTGATGACAAGTATAATATAGTAATACTAAATTGGCGACAAACGTGTAACACACCACAAAAAAGAACGTAGCTAACACATAAGTCCACTGTAGCACTGTGATGACAAGTATCGTTTGGAGAGCCACTTAATCCCACAGGAAGGCAGTGCCAGACCTGGCTAGTGGCAAGCAAACACCACACCAAGACGTCACCTTAAGACGGCTTTTTTTTTCTTCTCTAAGACACGGCAGCGCTACCTGTTTATGACGTGCGGTCATGAACGATCACAACAGTCAATACACAGCGATCGCTGTGAATAGCGAAATGGGGGGAGGGGGGGGGGGGGGGGTAATCGGAAGAAGAGAAGGAATTTTAAACAAGACAAAATGTAACGACAGCCTCGGTTATTACATTAATTATAGAATAGCTTTGTTAATAAAACACACACATAGATACAATTATGTGCATACCAGAGGCGTAGCGACGGGGGGGGGGGTGTACATATGTCAACGGGCGCCGACCCTAGGGGGCGCCAAAATGGGTTGGAAAAAATGTAAAGCTCTCTTAGCTGCAGCTTTGAATTATAAATATTAAAAATATATGGGGGGGGGGGGCGCCAAATTGAAAGTTTGTCCCCGGGCGCCGGGAGGGGTTGCTACGCCTCTGGTGCATGCACATAGATACACACTTATTTATCACCCATTTAACTTGGGAACGCAGGACAGATACATAATGTGAAGGGCAGGCACAGTACAGTACAAATGATCTAATTAAATCTCCGATCAGTTAATTTGCCTAACCAGCGTGTACGTGTCACCAACAGAGATCTTCGTAATTGGAGGTATAATGTATTAGTACACGGTGTGTTATGAAGCGGTCAAATAAGTAAATATCAAAGCGCTCTTTGAACGGACACGAGAGTCTGACCAACAAACGAGCAATATGTTTACATAAAGCGCACTCTAGCGGTCGGATAAACAATTTAGCACACTTCTAAATGACTGGCTTCAATAACCCCTAGCTAAAGAATCTTGATGAAATAGCATCAATCCTTAGTGACCAGACCAAAACGATTCATGGCAAAAATTAACCACGACAAAACGGCTCCAACGAAATGGCCCATGGCAATAAGACAGTGGCGTAGCTAGGGGAGGGCGAGTGGGGCGGCCGCCCCGGGCGCCGACCCTAAGGGGGCGCCAAAGGGGGTAGAAAAATTAATTTAAAAGCTTATTTTAAGCTGAAGTATTGAATTAGCCACAGTCAAACTTACGAAAATAAACGACTAAAAGGCTTTACACAATGATTTAACACTTTGTGGCACCGAAATAGAAAATGTTATGGGATAGTAAGTGGTAAGCGCTACAAATCTTTCCAACTGGGGGGGGGGGGGTGCTTTTTACAGACAGAAATAACTATATATAGAAATGGGAGGAAGGGGGGCGCAAAATTGATAGTCCGCTCCGGGCGCCGGAATAGGTCGCTACGCCTCAGCAATAACAAGAACACCAACAGCATCTCGTCCAACAAAGAACCCTGTTTTCTGCCGAATACATCCCCGGCGATTCTGTTTTTTATCGGCAGCCGTATGAAGACGGTTTCTGTGTCATCGGTGAATCGTCGGGAATATACAAATTACTGTTTAGATCAGTCCAGGGTCTTTACAGGAGCTTTATTGTCAGGAGCTTTATTGTCAGGAGCTTTATTGTCAGGAGCTTTATTGTCAGGAGCTTTATTGTCAGGAGCTTTATTGTCAGGAGCTTTATTGTCAGGAGCTTTATTGTCAGGAGCTTTATTGTCAGGATCCGTGAAAGACTAAGTGAAGTGAGATTAGCTTATGTAAGTTAAATAATTGTCACTGGTCGCCAGACTGATTTAGTAGGGAAGTCTAAGATTATCTTAGAGTTTAGAGTCTTAGAGGTTTAGACTAGATTCATAGAGCAGAGTATTCACAATTAGATCTAGTGACTCTTACTATTTAGTATTTTAGATTAAAGTATTAGAATATTAAAGTCTGATTAGTGTTATCATAGATTATACTTTGTCAATTATAGTTACTAAGTTATATCATTTGATAGTTATTATATATATCTAGGCCCTATAGAGTTGAGTTCAGTAATCATAGACTCTAAGACTCTTATACTTATAGAGGCTAGATTAGTCTAGTTAGACATTACTAATAGAGTAGTTTAGACCGTTTAAGTTAGAGTTTTAGAGACTTACCACCCCCCCCCCCCCATACACACGCAAAACATTCATTAAATTTAATATATAGATCTAGAAGAATATAGCAAGCTAAGGTAAAAACATTACAAAATTATAAACGGTAATGTTCTACTTACTAGTACTACACTAGTAGTCTACTACACTGACTTACCTTTCGGGCGAATCTTCTTCTTCTTCGTGGACACCCAAGTCTGGCAAGGCAAATGCACTCATGTCCACTGTTTCATCAACGCTAGACTCAGAATGTACAGATGCCACATCTTCCGATGATGTTTTTGATTTATTTTCCTCCATGTTTATTTCTAGATAGAGATTATGTTTGGATCCTAGGCCGAAATGAATGAACACTATAACTCTGAATCACTTGACTAACAAGGCCTAGGCTAACTAAATTGATTTAGAATCTACTAGATCTAGAAATCTAGATCTAGATATCTAGATCTATATATTAACTAACAACAAGACTGGTATTAGACTATTAGTGGTATACTCCTTCGAATTCAGTTAGATCGCAGCACAATTGTGAAGGATTTTATTTTCTACACTGAAGATCGTTTAGGTTTCTAGTTTCATTACGTTCTAAACTCCACACTTTAAAAAAAAAAATGTATTCGTATTATTGTATGTAAATAAATCATTATTAGTTTTATAGGGTACGTTAACTTTAAATTTCAGAGTTTTTCGGGAACTTGAAGGTCAAAATTTGTTTAAAATAAATATTTTTTATAGACAGTGTTCTGCGATCTGCTTTTATTGTGCCATGTGATGTAGGCACTTTAATGCGGTTTTTAGAGTGACAGTGCCGCTTCGGACGGAGGAGCCCAAAAGGGAGATGTTCGATTTTGTGACAATTTGTAACTAGGATGCTAATACCAATCGTAATTAACATTATGTAAATATATATTTTGGAATCTTAATTTGTTATTTTTTTAGTTGTGTATTTATGTCAGTGTTAGAGCATTTACAGATAATAAAGGAAAAATACACCAGAATATGTGTGCACATAAGAGTCAAAGAAAAAATTAATATTCTATTTCTATCCCTTCGAGTTAAGCAAGATTTTTTGTGTCGATGTGTGATGAAGGGGAGAGGCGGTATCAGGTCGTGTAACGTCACACTTTTGCATTATAAAAAAGTAATGTTAGCCTATTGTTAGAAAACTACTTTTAGCCGTTATTTCGCGTTTTATAACACTTTTTTTAATAAATGGTAATAGAAATCGATTAAATTCTATGTAAACTAAACCACACTCAGAAAAGATTTTAGAAATAACAAAATGATGTTTTAGGAAACACAAATACAATTTTGAAAGGGGGAGGTTGTAGGCTGAGGTGTGACGTCATTTGGATAAGATAAGGCGTTATAGTCATTCCCTAAATTAAATCAAGCGCGTTCGCCGGCGCCCCGGCAGGGTGCAATTTGGCGCCCTGGGCTATCTAGTGAGCGCTATGGCGCCTACATTCGTTTCAAACAGTGCGATAGACTATGGGTGAAATGGGGCGCTATAGTCGCTCACTAAATTGAATCAAGCACGTCCGCCCTCGCCCCGGCAGGGTGCTATTTCGAGACATGGGTTATCATTTGAACAGTATGACGCCTACGTTAGTTTTAAGCAGCCAGGGGCCGTACGCGGCGCCCTTGTGGTTGTGTAACCGTGTGCTCTCAAGAGCTTCCCACTACGTCCCTGACACCTGGGCGGTCACCGAAGTGTGTTCTACCTCATTATTACGGTGAGTGATTAAAGTATACTCAAGGCTTTCATGCGATAGTTAAACCCGTGCCCCGATAAATATGATCCGAGCGCAGGCATTGTTTACATTTAAATAATTCAGTTTTAGAAGAAAAGGTCACGCGTCTAAGAATATAGGATTGGTAACGCATTGATCAAACCCTTCTTATATATTTCGTCAGACGTTTTTCTATCCCCGCACGTTGTCGCGGGGACGGGCACGCTATATATATATATATATATATATATATATATATATATATATATATATATAGATATATATATATATATATATATATATATATATATATAATATATATATATATTATATATATATATATATATATGGAAGGTGGGGTTAAAAGTACAAATTTTGTATTGTAGGCCTAAAAACACATAAATACAATTTTGCCTTAAATTGTGAGTGTGGCAAACGTCACATGTCTCCCCATCCAATTACCCCACGATAATTTTTGATAGATTTAGAACTTTTAAAATGCTTTTTGTGTGGTAATTAATATTACGGCATATGGAATACTCTGAAGAATGTACCAGTTGGGATTTAATTATAATAAATAGGCCTAATATTTGTTTATTTAAATAAAATATTTTTAAAATTGATTCTGGATTTATACAAACCTGCTCTAAAAATTAATTAAATTAATTAAATAATTAATTAATTTTAATGTTAATATAAGCATAATCTTCAATTTAAATTAGTTGTTCCTTAGGCCAAGATCTAGTTGTGTTTTCTAAATGACCTGGCATGATCTTGGCCATTTCACATGTAAGCTAAACAAAATGGGACTTGGTGATAAGGTTTTCGCTGCTTCCGATCCTAAAGAAGAGGTAGACTGTGTTAAAATTAAAACATGACAGTGATTTTATTTTATTTATTATAACAACCTCCTGGTCCCTTGTTTTTGCTAATTATTTGTAGACACTAACTATTCTTAGGCAAGATAATGACGTTCTTTCAAATGACCTTGCTTGGTCAACTTCTTTTTTTCCTTTCGTTTTTTTTTTAAGTTTTTTGTTTTTATCACAGATTCTTTCTAGATCTAGATCTAGATTCTAGATTAGAATCTAGACTAGATCTAAATCTAGGTTAGTTCTAGATAATCTAGATCTGGAAATTCTAGATTCGGGGTATGTTTTAAAGCAGTGTCTGATAATGCCACATTCATAGACTTCTTTCTAGAAATAAAATCTCTGTACTGTAGGCCTAATTTTTAATTTAGATTTTTGTGGCTAAATCTAAAAATTAGATTAGGCCTAGGCCTACTCAATTTTCAATTTAATTAGGCCTAGGCCTAAACATTAAACAATGAAAAATAGTCATCCATATTTAATCCATTTGGCACTAATTTGATGTTATTAGTTTGTTTTAAACAAAATTATGTAATTTTAGGGCCTATAGTTAATAATACTTGTCACACAGCTATGGCACGGCACACCCTTCCATAACAACCAAGGTAGGCCGTTCGTTTCAACGCTTCCGGGTTTGTCATTTTCGTGGCATCTCACGGCTCATGCGCTTACTAAAAATGGCGACCAGTTTCGCTTTCACTAAACGGTAGAGGGATAAAACTAATAATTACGAGGCCATCGTTAATTTTAGACATCGGAACTATCCGTTTCTATTTCAGTCTGTTATTCAAGAATTCCCAGATGTACCTTTGACCTAATTTCTTTGTCTCGCAAGCGACGCGTTAGTGAAAATAGCTCTAGGAATTCTTGTCTTTTATATATAAAAAAACTCTTACATATCGCTTCACGGCGCAAACCAGCTTATGTCAGATGTAAACTCTAAAGTATTAATTGTACACACATTACAATTAACTGGTAATAATTTATTGTGTTAATGAGATATGTGCGTGGGTAAACGATCACCCCCAATAATGCCATTTTATTATAATCTTGTTTAGTGAAAACGAGGCGCGGGAAAATGTGTGCTGCGCAAGAATCCAATCATTTGGCTAGATTTATGACTGTTTTTTTATGTCACACCTAAAAATAGAATGTTTACGCTTTCTTCATTGATGATCGTTTTTATTACTTTTTAAACTGAAAGTATGAATTATTAGTTAGATTGCAGGTTTTTTAACTTGGTATACTTACTATTTATCAATTTTAAAAGCATAGCATCCTGATTGTGTACAAATATACTAATATAGTCATAAAACACAGAAACATTAAGTTATAATTGCGATGTGCCACACCCCCTCAAGAAAACACGTGTTTATTAAGCTGTTTATCTCACTTTACAACAGTAATTAAGATTAATTTTCAAATTTTTATCACTTATTGGGTAAGATTAAGCACATGTTTACTAAAAATAAAAAAAAAGACAAAAGCAAATTCTGTTTTAATGAAGGTCACAGGTCAAGTTTTTTTTCCTTCTGTCAAGTTCAGTGGAGGGTGCCACAGACTGACCTGACTTTGGAATTTTTTTCAGTAATAATGACTTTACACAGAAAGTTAAAATATGCTAAATTAGCTTAGTTTACTAGTGTTCTAGCTATTATTGATACATTTTTAATAAAAAAATCATTCTGTAATTCTCATCAAAAAGCCTAACCAAGGGTAATTGTTTTAGGTACGTAAAACATCCGCCGCTAGTAATGTGAAGGAAAGTTGACTCAATAATGTGCTTTGATACAAGTATATTGTGATATATTTGTTTCAAATATATAAAAAAAGAATAATAGGGGCCTAAACAAAAAGCAATGTAGTCTAAATATATCAATATAGGCCAGAAATTAACTTCAAACAGCAGTGTTTGAGAGCAAGGTTTGCTAAAAAATACCTAAACAAGATGGCTGCTAAAGTAAATGAGCTTGGTTTCATCTGATGAAAACATTGTTAATCTTTATTTATTACTGAAAAGTTTTCATAAACATGTTGAAAAAAGTAGGCTTACATGAAGGGAACTATGATGCATTTATGTGATTTTAAAACATAAATACTCCTATAAATGTGAAACTGTTAAAAAATTTAACCTCTAAAAAAAACCCCTCTAAATTTAACATTACCAGACATGCCTACCGTCCCGCCAAAATCGGAACTGTCCCGCTTTTTCACCTAAAAAAGTAATTTGTTCCGTCATCCCGAAATTGACTCAGTTGGTTCCGATTTTTTTTTTGAAAAAGAAATTAATAAAGAAAGGTAATAAAGTAAATTGAAAAAATGTCAGGAAAAAGCGATTATCTCCCTTTGGCACACGTTTCTGTTTCCTAGTTTACTTACAATATTTACAAGTATCATCTTAATGCTAGATCTAGTTAGTAGTATAGCTACTACTACTAGATCTAGAATTGTAACTAGATCTACTAGTAGATACTGAAATAGTGAATACTGATCTATCTTGTAAGTTTAACTTAACTAGTAACTACTATTATGAAGAACTTAGTAAGAAGTAACTAGGAGTTTTACTAGGTAGATCAAGGGTCTTTGCTCGTAACTTTACATATGATGAAGCCTTCAGCATTTGTTATTCATATAGCCTAGAACATAGCAAGACACAAATAATCAAATCAATAATGTTATGTCAAAGCTATGATTTTTATTCGGGGGGGGGGGGTCTCAGGTTATTGGTTAATTTATTTTTTAAAATGTAAGCTGATATTAAGCAGTATTTAAGTGTATCCTAGAGACTAGTTATATAGGACTAGAAGCCTACTAATGTCATTAGAGTAATTTTTAATTAATTATTTTTATTTCTGACTTAGTAAAGTTGCGTCCGCGCATATGTTCCTCTTTTTGGCTTCAAATTCCTCTTTTTAGGCATAACTGTTCCTACTTTTGGCTGACAGGGGTAGGCATGTCTGCATTACTAGCCTCGGACAATTTTATGTACCTAAAACGATCGATTACCCAACCATGTTATATCACTCTTACATTTGAGGCCATGGAAAAATCTTTCTGATTATTATATAATTACACAATATGGGGGCCTAAATAGATTTATGGAAAATTATAACCCATTTCTAAATATACAAAAAATATTCTAGGCCAAGTAGTTTTTTTTTATATGAATTTAATGTTAAAGATTACTAGCATCACTCTAGATCATCTTTCTGTAAATGCAAATAATGAAGAATGTGGGTAACTAGGAATCAAGAGTCAACCTCTGACTTAACCCAAGACCTAACGTCTACTTAACCAGGTTCCTACCTTGACCACTAGATCTACCTGTTACCAATTCTCACTGCATTTTTTATTTTTGAACTGTCAAATGATGCTTGTTAGGAAGTGTCATTAGGCTTAAATATTAGGCCAATGCTAGCCGGAAAAAGATGCGCAATGGAGAGAAACTATGACTTGCCTTCGCGGCGATGTTTTCGATGGCGCTGTGTATGCTTGTGTTTACAACCGCAAAACCCTATCCTTAACCATAACCCTAGTCATAGGTCACTGCGCATGCGCAGAACTATCTTTTGCTGACTAGGTGGAGACGTTGGGGCGAAAAATCTTTTTCCGAGTAGTCACTTCGTAAATATTATAAATATCTCGGATGCACAACCAGTAGCAACTTTTTAATGAACTATCTAACCCACTTATCCAGGTTTATGTATCTCAATTTTCCTTGTATTAGTTGTATTTAAAGGCAAAATATTCTTCTCTCAATGGCTCATATAAAAATGGGCTTATTCTAGCCGGTAAAAGTTGTGCATACTAATGTTTACAAAACAGTTCTACAGTAACCTAGTTTTTTTGTTGTCATCTAAAGGCTTGTTGTTTAGGCATATGTGTTGTCTTGATGGAACAAGGATTAACATGATAAAAACTTATTATATTTAAATAGGTTTATTTTTAAAAAGATTTTATACTGTTTTAAATTGATACATTAGACAAAAGAGCTGCATTAAGCGTATAGTCTGATCTTAAAAATATAGCCCTATACATGAATAATTTTTTTTTCAGTTTCTTGAAATATCATTGTCATCAGCTTCATATATGAAATTATTATATTACCAATTAAAATGAAAATTTGTTTACTAATACTATCAAGTTCATCGAACTCTGTAAACTATAGTACCATGATTTTGCTCATGTTGTTGTCACTTTTCAGCTAAAGGTTGAAACATTAGAAGAAAATGAAATAATAGCAAAAGCAGATGAAGTTAGTTTTTGTGATGAAAAATCTGGTGAAGTAGGAAACTATGTTATTTTTTAAAAGTTGCTTCTTGTTTTTGAAAACCTTGTGTTCAATTATTTTTTATTTTTTTTTTTTCTTTTAATGATCGAATCATGTACGAAGTCTGTTATAGTTATATGCACAGTCTGCTGTGGTCAACACTGTTGAGTTTTTGTTTTTTGTTTTTTTTTTTCTGTTCTTTTTGTTAAATATTAATTAAGCCATAAGTTCAAAAACAATCCAATATCAGTAGCTTGTTTAAGTTTTTATTATCTCAATTAATTTTTAAACTGCTAACCTTTTAGTTCTTGTAGAATTTCTTTTGCCCTTCTTCAGTGCTTTAAATTTTTTTTGCCATTATTTAAAAACAGGATTTAAAAAACATGGGACAGCGTGGCCTAGCGGTAGAGAGCTAGACTGCTAACCCGATATTCGCAAAAGGGGGTTAAAATCAGTGGAACGTCCCTGATTCCACCTAGTTCTGATGGGTACCTAGCTCACGTTAGAGGGATCAAGGGCTGCTGGGCATAGTGGTGACCACGCTATCCCTTCGTATGATGAGGTCTCTGAAGCAGTTGAATTCTATTTCATAACCCCATGATTCTTGGGCTCTAACAGGAAATGATGATGATTTACAAAACATCAATCTGAATGTGTTCTCTACTAGTCATTCTTTATTTTAAAGAGGTATATAGATCATTTCAAACAAACATGTATTTCAGGTGGGTGAAGTAGACAAAAATTTAAATGAAGGGAGTCAGAAACCACCAGATCAAGACTGTATGTGTTTTTGTTTTTGTGAGGATCCTGAGGATAGTGAAAATCCAGAGGATGATAAAAAAGAGGGTGCTGGTGATGTAGGCAGTTGACTATTTGTATCATGATGTACAATTTTATTAAAATCTTAATTACAAAGATCAATTATTTATACCATTAGCACACTTGGAAGTTATTTCCTATTATTAGATTACCATTTCATATTAGAAGAACGTCAATGTTAAGAACTAATCTTGTTGTAAAACGTTCTCTATTAAATCATAACAGCATTATACATTGTCTACTACAATACTTTACATTCACAGCCCGACTGTGCCTGCTTTTGCTTTTGTGAAGACCCTAAAGTAAACCAATGTTTTTAAAATTAAGCATTTAAATTCTTTTGCCTTAGCCATTAAAATTTTTTTTTTAAATCGTCATTCCCTGGTAGACAAATTTAGTCATTAAAATGTCTATGAAATTTATTTTAAAATGTTTTAACAAAACATTTCTGTACTTTCATTAATTTTGCTCCGGAATTTTTTTTAGTTACTAAACCTTTTAATGTTGTTCTAAAGTTAGTCTTTTTAGGTGAATGACGTTTTCTTTGTTGAATTTACAGTTTCTGTTACTTTTGTAATTAAAGAGATCCTTTGATTTCAAGTTTTCCAAGTCGCAAAAATTTTCATCTGTATTTGTGGTGTATTTGTTAGCTATTTGAAAATATGTTGTTCACTTTTTTCCAGAATTCATTCTCATTTCAACTTTACTGATAGAACCTCAAAGCATGAATAACTGTTGTCTAATAATTTTCAGACTCCACACATAAATCAAGATAGTATTTTAAAATTAAAAAAAATGCATTTTAATTATAAACAGTTTTATCATTTCCATAAACCTTAATTTTTTAGGGATTTCAAATATACCAGCAGCCCTCGGATATTTATCATCCTCTTGATCTTGATGTCTCTAATTTTTGCGTGTTCATTTTAACATTTATTATATACACTCCTTTTTTTTTAATTCCAGGAACCAGAGGAGCTGGTCGTAAGTACCTATATGTTGTTAATACTGCAGTTATATAGTCCAGTCTAGGTTATCTTCTCTAATTAATATAATTTTTAACTGAGTTGTTGCATCTGATTTCTAACCCGTCATTCGGAATTAATTTTAGAAATAGTTTCATTTATTCTTCCCTCACAACTCTGTTTAAAATTAGCTTTCCTCACACCAATGTTGTAAGTATGCCAAGAAGAATCAATAACTATATATATGTATTTCTTAAATTTTATGGACATGGTCATGTGATAGAGTTCTGATTCCAGCCTTGAGCCTGTATTGTATTCCTGAGCCCACGCAGCTCTTATGGGTACCTGACTCATGTTACGGAAACTAAGACCACACTATTCTCCTGTATGTCGTTTATTGAAACATTGATTGTACTTCATCTGCATCATGTGCCTTGGGCAGAATTGGGAAAAGATTTCTAAACTTTAATATATCATTTGCAGGATCCTTTAGAAGAGCTTAGGAAATCATGTGCTGAAAAGGAAGAATGCAGTAAATTAAAGGACAAACTAGACAGCTGCAGTGCTCGTGTGGATAGCAAAAGTCAAACTTCAGAAACTTGTGTAGAAGAACTAATAGATTTTATGCATTGTCTAGACCATTGTGTAAGTATTACCCCTTCTCTGTGTTCTAACACATCAGGTGACATCCTATTGTGGAACGTTGTCAGTGGAAACAACTACACATTTCACATAAATATTTTTATGAGTGATAGTAATGCAAAAATTGTTTTCAAAAAGGGAATTCTACTGATTTATTAAACTATGTGTTGTTGTAATCTCAGAAAGAAAACAAATTCAAGGACACTCGTTATAACAACATAATAAACTGACTGCAGGTGCTTAGGTAGCTGAAGGGAAACTCGTTGCCCAACAGTACACCACCAGCTGCAGTTTCTTAATATCTCCACCCTTTTTATGATCAAAGGGAAACAACCAAGAATATTTTTGGAAAATATTCTTAGTTAAGTTATCCTTCAAAAGATTTTGGGTTCTGTGTTTAATATTGTTTTGCAAAATAATCTAAACTTAGTTGTCCTTGAAAAGATTTAGGAGGCCCTTGGAGTGGATATTTAAATTTTATTATCACAGAAACCTTCCCATGAATATTCTTAACATAATTCCCAAAGTTTCTTGGCAATTGGATGACAGGTGTATTAATGCATAAGAGACAGAAATATTTTAATATCTAGAAATACGGATTAATCAATATTTTTTTAATTAAAAAAATTATTCTTTGAATTTCATATATAGGTAGAAAAACATGGTTTTTTTTTAGGGATTTTATATTTGACGTGCAAAAATAGAATATTTAAGAATATCATAGCTACTTGTAACAGATATGATAAAGTAGGGTGAGATGAAATTGTAATTATTTGTTATTCAGAAGGTTGTTTAGAATTTCAAAATAAAATTCAATAAGAAATGCTTTTTTTTTACAGGCATCAAAGACCCTTTTTTCAAAGTTGAAGTAATGTGTTAGAACTGGCCAAGAATAGTGATAGTTTGCATTTGATCAGCTTATTCTGCACAGGATAACTGAATGCATAACATAAATTATTAAAGATGGATTATAATTTAGGGTTTTTTTTGTAGGATGTTTATACAAAAGTGCTTTGAAATGTGGTGTCACTGAGTTGACAGTGTCATGACTGAAGGTATCAGCCATGTATGAGCAAGTTAACTTATGTATGGGCTAGTGAGGGAAAGGTTAAGTTCACTGTTTGAATTGTTACATTGTCAATAAAAATGATTTTTATGAACTTTTTTTGGTTTATTACATCTCTTAGCTGTATTGTCTAAAGGTTAATTATTCATTTTAGATCTTTCAGTGTTTAGTCCAGTTAAAAAAGGAGAATAGGGCTGCATTTTACACCTCTCTGTTATTATTTTTGGATCACTCCAGTACTCTTGTTAGTTTTGAAATATTAAAAAATACATTGTTACTTCCCTTAGTTTTAACCACTACATTACATCATTCCTGATTTTATTTATTTTGTTGCTAGATCTAGTATGGTCTGTATAGTATTGGTTTTTGTATTCAGTGACGTCAAACTCGACTAAAAGTCAGTTTCTCTTTCGTCCCCCATTCTGTAATTGACGGCATATTATACTGCCATATTTTATAGGTTTGAATGGTACAAATGCAATATCAAGTCCTCTAAATAAAATGGCTGCCTAAATGACCATTATCACGTACAACCCAGCAAATTTACAAATAGCCAACTTTAAAAAAAGTTACACTTCATGTAAAATCCTGTGGGGTGTTTTTTTTTCGTGTCCGTCACGGATTTTGCATTCAAGATTCAGGTTTCTTCTATATCTGTCCAATGACTATAAATCACCGTGAAACTATTGAACAAATCCTTAGAGAAAAAACTTTCACTAGATCAAGGAAAGATGCTTTACGCTGTATTTTGTAAATCACCTCTTAATTATCCATTTAAAAACATTACTCATGCACACTTCTTTTCTGCGCAAATTTTCATTGCACATTTTTCCAGTCACAGAAACAACCAAGTTTAGATTACCTACTTAAATTAGGTCATCAGAGGCGTCTGCGAGAGGGGAAGGAACACCCCCGATGGATGTTGTCTTCTGAAGTTACAGCTATTGGCCGCGGCGCTCTCGTTTCACCAGTTATGGCCAATAACTTGATCCAGTAGACTGCCTATAAACAATCTTTAAAATCAGAATGGAATGTGTATTGTATTTAATTACCCCCTCTCACCAGTTCCTGGCTACGCCACAGATAGGTCAATAATTAAACGGCATCACTTTAACATTACATTGTCGAAGTAAAGCTTATTAAGTTATTGAGGACAAGAAATAATTTGAACATGAAAGCTAGTGCATGGGTTTTAATTTTATCAAACACATTTCTCAGCAAGTTTTAAAGGATGTGAACAGTTATTTGCATTTACTGTACATCTGATACCATTCTGATAACCAGAAGAGAAAAAAAACAATGGAATCTGACCTAATTAAGTTATCACAAATGGCCTGTCATTAACAAGGTCAGAGATAGGGGGTCGATATAATAATGAGAACAATATATTGTTTGGTGGCGTCCAATGATGATGGACACAGGTTTCTTTCTATATTGGTGGGGGGGGGGGTGTTCAGACCGCCTGTACTTCGCAGAGAGAGGGCCCTAAAGAAACTGACAGGCCTAATCCCCGCGGTAATTACTGTGTGATAAGGTGATACCTGCTATGTCGGCAGGTAACCACAGGTAGTATGTCCTCAGGCAACGGCCGCCACTTACACAGCGGTGTCGCCTCAGCTAAATTCAGCGACGACGGGTTAGGTTCGAGGCTAATTTAAGCCAAGTGGGTTGCCTGAGATAACATTTCTTGGAAAATATGTTTAAATTTTTAAAAAATAAAGCCAATATATTCAGCAGGTGGGGAGGAGTTTAAGCCTGTCACCGTGTGCACCAGTGTCAGTCGGTGAGATGGCACCAAATTGTACCACCAGATAAAGCAAATGTGTAGACTATCTCTCGTACGTGAAAGTTTATCAGACGGGACAGTCTATCGCTGCTGATAACAAGAGAACAAAGTTTAGGTTAAATGCTCCCTTGGTTCAGAATAACTCCTCGATTAGCCGGTACCAACTAATGTTATAGCTAGTATTGCCGGTAACGGTAAATCTGCTCCAAACCTTAAACTAATTTATCCTCAACTCGTATTCCTACTGGACCTAAACTTAACAGTACAGTTATCCTAACACTTATGGGTAGATTATCAATATCGATTAAGTATCTGTTTGCAGGAATATTTGATAAGATTCATCTCATGTTTTTACTTTTAACAACAACATGACGATCACAGATTATCATGACTGACGTGTTTTTACCCCCTAGGAATGTGCTTTATGTGCGTGAATGGGGGGGAGGGGGTTATTGGCGAGGTAAACAAATTTCTCGCGTCTGTTGTTGGTAGGGTGGTGGATGTGTTAATTATTTAAACGCCGACTACCTAAAATATGGAGAAATGGAAAATCGCCAAGTCCTATTCCTACGTTAAGCATTAGACCTAAAAGTTCTTTCTTTTTTAATAAAAAAAAAAACACTTAAAATACCTTATGTTTTAAATTATACTGTACGAGCCGACCCGCGGCATATCATACGCCGCTATTTTTTTTTTCTACTTTTCAGTAATTCATAATTTGTGAATTCGACAGTACCAATGCTGCCACTGAAAATATGTGCTTTAAAACACTAACCCCCCCCCCCCCCGTGAAAGCAACCCCTTCTTAGTTACCTCCTCTAATTTTAAAATCGTTTCAAACTAAATTATCTGCCCCTAATAGCCGTCACCAAACCCGGCTCTATGATTGTAAAATGTAAACATTTAGAGTGAACTACAACTCACCGGGCCATGTAGGGGTGGTGGTGGGGGGTGGTGGTGGTGGGGGGTGGTGGTGGTGGGGGGTGGTGGTGGGGGGGTGGTGGTGGGGGGTGGTGGTGGGGGGGGGGGGGTAGCGATACAGAGGAAGAGCGGGGACTGCAAAGGTGCGCTTGCAGCTTGTTTTCTAAAGGCTCCCAGAAGAGAATTATATATATAGATGTTCTCAAAAAGCAACGGTACTGCATTTTAAAAAATAATTTTGAAAACATTTTGGTCTATTTTATTAACACTAACGCCGAGAATTACTCGATTGTAACTTATAAAACATTGCGTATGCCTTCTTGGACAATTAGCTTGTCTTCTTGCAATATTCTCCATTGAAACACACATATATTTACTAACGATCGAAGTTTAGTTTTAATATTTTCCAAATGCGCAGTTAGCGCAGTAAATTTCATCCGTAGTTTCCTTGGAAAATTTTACTGTCCGTCCAGTTCAATGATATTTTATAATTAGGCTAATTGACATCAAATTTCAAGTATCCACAATATTGTTGACAACAAAAGTTCAAGTATAGGAAGTTAACAGAACAAAGAAAATAATGTAGCATCCGTTACAGATATTGACCCATGCTCTTAATTTAAAACAGTAACTTTGGTTTGACCCAGAAGAAAAAAGTTTAAAAATTAGTAAAACAATAGCTGCTCCCTAAAGTACAGACACTGTCATGTTTATTTTTAGAAACTGACTTATATTAACTTCACAAAGCAAGATCTTTTTTCCTACACATTGTTCTAGGGCTAACAATAATAAACAAATAGTCATTTGTAAAAAAAAAAAAAAAACAATAAGTGTTTTTAAATAAAAATTGGTTTAAGCTAGGAACTAAAGCTTTAAACGAAGATTCTAGAAAATCTAGATCTATGAATGGTTTGATGATTATAATTTTATGAGGTCATAACGGTCGGGAAAGACCGTTCTTATGACTAATGCGCCACGTTGTCATTGATTGCAGTGTAATGTTGACCCGTCAATCATACAAGGTCATCACGTGGTTCTGACGCATTAGCTGCGGTCACGAGCTAGACGCCGGTATCTCTTGCCGGTGTGTAGTGTTGGTGATAGACCGAATGCTAGTGTGTCGGTAGACTGAATGCTAGTGTGTCGGTAGACCGAATGCGAGTGTGTCGGTAGACTGAATGTTAGGCCTAGAGTGTCGGTAGACTGAATACTAGTGTGTCGGTAGACTGAATGTTAGGCCTAGTGTGTCGGTAGACTGAATGCTAGTGTGTCGGTAGACCGAATGCGAGTGTGTCGGTAGACAATGTTAGGCCTAGTGTGTCGGTAGACCGAATGCTAGTGTGTCGGTAGACTGAATGTTAGGCCTAGAGTGTCGGTAGACTGAATACTAGTGTGTCGGTAGACTGAATGTTAGGCCTAGTGTGTCGGTAGACTGAATGCTAGTGTGTCGGTAGACTGAATGCTAGTGTGTCGGTAGACCGAATGCGAGTGTGTCGGTAGACTGAATGTTAGGCCTAGAGTGTCGGTAGACTGAATACTAGTGTGTCGGTAGACTGAATGTTAGGCCTAGTGTGTCGGTAGACTGAATGCTAGTGTGTCGGTAGACCGAATGCGAGTGTGTCGGTAGACAATGTTAGGCCTAGTGTGTCGGTAGACCGAATGCTAGTGTGTCGGTAGACTGAATGTTAGGCCTAGAGTGTCGGTAGACTGAATACTAGTGTGTCGGTAGACTGAATGTTAGGCCTAGTGTGTCGGTAGACTGAATGCTAGTGTGTCGGTAGACCGAATGCGAGTGTGTCGGTAGACAATGTTAGGCCTAGTGTGTCGGTAGACCGAATGCTAATGTGTCAGTAGACCGAATGCTAGTGTGTCGGTAGACCGAATGCTAATGTGTCAGTAGACTGAATGCTAGTGTGTCGGTAGACTGAATGCTAGTGTGTCGGTAGACTGAATGCTAGTGTGTCGATAGACTGAATGCTAGTGTGTCGGTAGACTGAATGCTAGTGCGTCGGTAGACTGAATACTAGTGTGTCGGTAGACCGAATGCTAGTGTGTCGGTAGACTGAATGCTAGTGTGTCGGTAGACTGAATGTTAGGCCTAGTGTGTCGGTAGACTGAATGTTAGGCCTAGTGGTCTGAATGATAGACCGAATGCTAGTGTGTCGGTAGACCGAATGCTAGTGTGTCGGTAGACCGAATGCTAGTGTGTCGGTAGACTGAATGCCAGTGTGTCGGTAGACTGAATGCTAGTGTGTCGGTAGACTGAATGCTAGTGTGTCGTGAGACTGAATGTTAGTGTGTCGTTAGACTGAATGTTAGGCCTAGTGTGTCGGTAGACTGAATGCTAGTGTGTCGGTAGACTGAATGCTAGTGTGTCGGTAGACTGAA